TTTTACTTTTCCCATAAACATTTCCTTCACCACATTTTCTAATGACATTGGATTCGTTTCGTTTTACGGTCTCATCTGCAATGCTGCTTACAACGAAATGCAATTTCCATATACCAAAGAAAAGCATTTCAATACGAAACTAACGTGAGATGCTTTATGTATGATAATTGAAAACGAAGAGTAATCGAACTTTTATAAAAAAAATTAAAATTGCATCGCGGAAGTTTACAACTCCGAATCTGTTTTAAGTTTGAGAAGAGTGTTTTAGTTTTTATAATCAGTCTGGACAAACTTGTTTATATGAAAAAACTCCTTATTAAATGAAATTTATCAAGGTCGACATATTTATTGAAACGATTAAATATAGATTCGCGAAAAGAACTGATTTAATTAGATTCGCACGACATTCCAGACATTAAATCTCATCGACCAGCTCATTAACGTTTTGGTTGTTTCCTATTAAGTCGATGAGCTTTTAAGAACGCACTAACCACAAGCAATAACATGAACATTGTAAGATCAAATCTCAAAACTTGAAATTTTGTCATCAAAGGTTCGTTGTCTGTGATCTCGTTTATTCGCTCATTGAAGTCTTTCGTTTTATGAAATCCCAAATAAGTTTTTATTTACTTTGGGTCGTAAAAATATTTCATGAAACCTTTTTAATCAGAATTAGACATGAAATGGAATTGCGTAAGGCGAATAATTAAACATTTTTAACAGTTTAAGTCAAACAAACAATTAAACATTTGTTAATTTTAGTTCAACCTAAAAGCTCTCATCAAGGAATTGTTTTGAAGAATAAATTTAATATTTTCACACATTTTTCATATTTCTACTTCTAACTGAGACACTCGTGCGAGGTCATTTCAATGCCGTCATTCGAAAGAATGCACCATGAAACGGATTTAAATGAATTTTTATTTATTTTGTACTTAGGATTAGGAACACCGAACATGACTTCATATTCTCGACATGGATGATGAAATATTTCTCAAGAAGAAATAAAAATATAATTTAATTTAAATACTTCAAGATGAAAAGTTCATTCTGACTAATTTCAGTGCAATTTGCAAGTTCTATGAATTTTTAAAAAAATCCCAATAAATATTTTAAACTTCACTTGCCATTACTTATGATCTAAAACTTAAAATAATATCACTTTTCAGCACGATTGATCTTCATTTTTTATTTCAAATATTCAAAAAGCATTAAAACTTCAGATTACCGTGGGAGATTTTTTGTTATTCTAGAAATCGATTAAACTAAACTGTTACAGGTATAATTGATAAATACTTCAAGATTTCATGTTTTCGAGTGGAATGAAAAGACAATAATAGAAACGTGCAGATTTTGATTTAAATATCGCTCTAAATGCTAAAAGTTTGTGAGTAAAAGAGATAAAATTTTGATGATTTTGCTCTTCAGATTCAACACAACGTGGGTTAATTTTAGCGACCCAAAAAAAAACGAAACTCAAAATATCTCCGATTAACTGTTGAACAATACCCCGGCAATTGACCACAATTTAGAATCTTCAAGAGGCTCATGAAATGATTTAACCTCAGCAAGTCATGGTTCACTGAATCGGCCGCTCATTGCGGTATGAAATATTAATTGCATCATTTTATTTTCATCGACCCATTCGCTCGAGCTTCTTCCTTAACGTGAGATTCATTTAAGTGCTTCTGCTTAATGCGTGAGAAATTTATGTCAATAGCATGTGATCGCGATGTAATGAATGTCGTTGTGTGATGTCTGATGCTCAAAAATAAACAATTTAAAAACTTTGCAAAATCTCTTTCTTTCTTAAAATATTGTCGCCTCATGTTGAATGTCAAAGAAATATTTATTAACCATATTTTATGTCATTTTAAGTATTTTTATAAGATTCTCCACCCTCGCTAAGTGTTCCAATAAAACATCTTCAACGATTGCATAATCGAAAAGAAAGTGTTGAGCAACTGTCATGACATTCTTCGTTAAGCTGAATCAGATTCAATGGAGGGAAAAGATTATGTCAAGTCATTGCCAAAAACTTATGAAAATTTAATTCAACAATGATGCAATTCGACAGAAACTGATTTGATGATGAACTACGGAAATGACAGTTACGCTTAACGTAATAACGTCAATTACACTAAAAGATGAAATTGAAACAGTTTAATGTCTATTTTCTCATGTAAAGTTTTGCTTGATTATTAATTTACAGGTTTTATTATCACGACTTTGTCATCATATCTTCGCATCATCTCACATCAAAGAATTTCTCTCACATACAACAAACATTTTTTGTTGACGATCGAGTGCCTTTCTTTCTCTTTAACATGATGTTGCTTTACACCAGAAAACATCAAACTATTAATCTTTCATTTTTTACATAATTTTTCATCTAAGCAACAATCACCTCATCTTCATTGACTCGGTGTTGTCTGATTCGTTTGTTTGATCTAATTTCACGTTGAACGAACTTGAAACTATCGTTGGAAATTAATCGATTTTTTCTCCAGCAGTCTTTTCACTAACCGCATGAGATGATTGCTTATTTAATGTAGACTTCAGTCCATCAGGCATCACCACATTATTAATATTATTTTGCATTCTCATGAATAAAGAGTTTTTATTTTGGTAATTTAACCCAATGCAGCAACATTGAGACTTTTCTTGTCTATTTCAACATTTAAATTTCCGGATTTTGTGATTCATCATCGTATTCGCACCAGATTCAAATGCGGCAAAAGTATAAATAACATTTTTTATTTCTGCATGATCTTCTCTTATTTTATATCGTTGACTGGAATCTTAAAATCTTCATTTTCTACCAGGCAGAAGTTACATAAACAATACTTTCGTGTAAACAACACCTTTTCAAAACACGGCACAAAATAAAATAAAAATAAAATCGTCCCCAGCTAAGAAGATCATTAAAAATGTATGACGAGTCAAAATTGTTTGGGAAAAAGTTCGAAGTTGATTGGGAAATGCTTCAAGTTTCAATTATCTATCATTTAACCATCATAGAAATTTTGATTATACGAAATTTAGCAAAGAAAACGACATCTGATCCATTGAAATCTTGAGACTACCATTTAAGTGTTTCGATGCAAACTGTTTTGCAAATCAATTTCAAAAAACCGGTGATTAAATGAATATAAAAATGATACTCTTATTCATTCGACCAAGAGCTAAAAAGCGATTTATGGTAAATCAGGATGAAATCAACAAAGATAAAATGTGTGGAATGATATTTGGGAATGAAATTTGACTATAAGTTTATTAAAATTAAAGTTTTGTCATTAGTTGTTTAGTATCCATGATAAAACTCATTTGAAGATCAAAGAATTATCAAGATCTGAAGTTATTGCAGTTGTGGGATTGAAATGAATTCTTCCATTTTACATCTCGCACGACTAAGTCATTATCGCTATGAGACTTTGTCGATTTCATTTAAGATACTTGTAATTTAACAAATGAACAAAAAATCATGTTGGTGATAAATTAGCGCCACGAATTTGTGGTTGAAAAAGTTTCTTTTCTCCTTAAACATTAAACCTTTTTTTCTCTTCTAACCGTCTAACCTCCTGAAGAGAAATGGTTTTTTTTTGTTTAATTTAATTGATAGTTTGAAGCAAGAAAAAATGAAATGTGATGAAGATGACGATGTCGTGAATTCGAGCGGTTGTTTGGCAGTAAATTAAGAAGAATTTTCATTGAATAACTCACAGCGTTACGTATTGTTATGTGACTGCAGAAAACAGCAGGAAGGAAGATGTTGAAGATGAGCATTGTGTGGCTTGAAATTTCTTGTCGTGATTAACAGACATTCTTTTCGTGGTTTTGCGGATTGTTGAGAAGAAGAAGGTGAAGAAGAAAGTGAAAAGCAATCTGAGGTGGGCTACGTCGTTACATTGCCATGGCTATTAATCAAGCCTTTAGAGGATTTATTTATTGTTTATAATTGGTGTTCACTTTCATTAGCTCCTAATTAGACTTCATATGTGGTCTAGGTGAGATATTATTTGAGAAGCTTTTACGACAGAGCGTGTGACTTTCTCATTAGATAACCATCACTAACTTTACAGCTCATATCAACAAACTTTAATCAACTTTTCGAAGAAACTTACCTTAATATGCAAAGATCATCAATTTATCCAAAATAAAATTCCAGTTGCGAGGTCTGATCGATTATTGAGCTTTTCTCGTCTATAAACTGAGATTCTTCGATGTGCTTATTTTGAGACGAATCCTTGACTCACTTTAAATCTCTTTTGCTTGAATCTTTTTCTCACGAAACAAATTATTCACAATTAAAATTTATTTCTTTTGTTGGAAACTAGTTTTTCATTTGACTTTTTTTAATTCAACGTTTACTGTTGAACTTTTGTTCAAACAAATTATTTTTCCTTCCTTTAATTTAAATGTCGAATTAAATTTCTCCAAACTTTTTTTCCTTCTTTGTTAATGAAGTTAATTTTCGATATTTACAAATAAAATTATTAATTCCGAGTTTTAAATAAACGTCTTCGCACGACCGCCTGCAACATAAGAATAAGACAAAAACTGAGTCGCCTCATGAGGTGGATTGAAAACGAAATGAAAATAAAATAAAAAATCTCATAAAATATAAATGAAAGAAGGCAAACACAATGCAAGAAGAAGTAATTGTGCTTCTCTCGATGTTTTCGTAAAAAAATGAATTTGCAACGTTTGTCTAGGTTTGAATGGAAGAATTGAGAGAGTTAGCTGAGAGTTTGACACGAGCGCTATAGAGAAGAAACATGTATAGGAGAAGAAGTTGGTTTGCTACGTCAAAAAAGGTCACAACGAGTACCACGAGAAGATACAACGTCGAGACTTGAAGAATGAAATCGAAAGTGAATGGAGAATGAATCAGTAAAAGTTGATGTTGTACTTGATATCTTCACGAATGAAACCTATGACTTAATTATACAATAAATAAGAATTTTATATTGTACTGAATGCAGCATGCTATCAAATAAATTCTCATTATATCAGATTATTTTTCTTTTAAACTATTCTTTGAGAAAAAGTTGTAATTTTTTTTTCTTATACTTCAAAGTCATTCACTTTTTGTTTACTTTCAAGTAATTAATGAACGAGCTTTAATTATTTTGTTATTTTCTATAAAGTGATGATTCACAATTTAAATTTGCATGAAAAATATGTCATCATTACAATCTTCCAGCCTCATTCCCACAATTACTTTTTATCTTGATCTAAGCATAAATTGTCCGATCTGTGGATCCCAATAAATGCAAACGTTTTTCTATTGCATAATGAATTGCTAAATTATCTACCATAATATATCGCATTATGTTTTAATATGTTATCATGATTCATTAGCTAGTATGAATAATGATTACCTTAGGCTGCTAACAAGATATCGCTTATTGCCCATTAAGATTTTCTTTTGTTTACACGAAAACATCAGCATCTCTCCCGCCATTGCACAAGCCTTTCCATTGTCGATAAGCTCTCTTAACCCAGTAAAATCCACGCCATCACCAACTCATTACACTTTTTGGACATGCAAATAAATAGATTTTATTGTTGTTTAAATCTCATCGCATTATTGCACTTCATCATAATCATAAACTATAATCATATTCATTCAAATTGTATAATGATTCTTATTCAATTTTATTAGAAGCATTCAATTGCATTAATGAAAGGCGTGAACGAAAGCGAACAATTGATGGTCGGCAGAGTGTAAGAGGTGTAAGAAAGTCTGATTTCCATATCGTTAGGTGCTTTTTTGAATTTTCTACCTCTCATGATCACAGAAAACTTTTTGATTTTAATCTTTACGAGAGAATTTTGAAATGTTTCAAATCAACTACACAAACAAATGACAAAATCTTAAGAAGCTCGTTGACTTAATTTTCTTTTAATTGAATTCTCTTACCTCATTCAACTCTCATCGAAGTGTGAAGTTCAACCTTCATTCCCAAATATTTTTTCGATATTTTGCAACAGTGCAAAGGCGTTCATGTAGAAGAAATTTTATTGAAAGCAATTTTCCACTTGGAAGAGAAAAATAAGTTGCAATATTATTCTTATAAATTTCACACATCACTCATGAAAAATGCTTGAGGCGCTTGAAGTCGTCGCTTGGTGTTAAATGTAACAGTTTTTTCGGCAATTTCTCGCCTTTCAAAAAAGTTATATTGTTGGATGATGAATCGATTTCAAAACATCTTTTGTTCAGTGTATATGACCACTTAAAGATCGTTTTAAGTAAGTCACGCTGAAATTAAATAATCAACATTTGGATTAATGGGTTATGAAGAAAAAAATATTGATCCCCATCAAGATAAATTGTTAAATATTTTTCATGCTCGGCAATTATGATGGTGATAAGAATTTATGTTGGTCATGTTCGATTAGAGTGAAAAGAAAACTTAAAATGACGCAATAAAAATTGCTTGAACATTTTTGTGCAACATTAAATTGTGAAAAATATTCTTGAAATATTTTTCAATAATTATGACTTTGAATTTGTACTAACGATTGTCCGAAAGAATTCCAACATTCCGACATGAATACACCGACTTCTTATGAATAATTGCATTGATAAAACAACATCTAAACATTGAAGCATTGAAACATCAAGAAGCTCAACGATTTAAATCCTCCTTCCACTTTTAATTTCAACGGAGAGTATCAACATTTCATGACATTTTTATTTGCTGTTGTTGTGTCGTCCTAAAACTCGAATTACTTCTCTCATTTCTTGATTACACTAAGATGTAAGCAGCTTGAATGTTTGTTTTATTCCATTCATAATTAAAACAGCAGCGAAGTGATTTTGAATTTTTAAGGAAATTGGAATTCTTAGATACTTCGTACAATATGGATTGTAGTTGTCAAACATTGTCACTGACGCAAGCTGCCATGCGAAGCTTTATAAACTCAAAAATTATAAAATAAAAAGATCATGAAAACTTCAATGCGAAAAATAATGAAAAATGTGTGAACTACTTTAATATCTTGTTTTCGGTTATTCATTTTTTTTTTGGTTCCTTCATTGTTTGTTCAAGGGTTGTCGTAAATGATAATCAGACATTAAATTATGTGGATTATGTAATTTTTTTATATTATTATTAAATAAACGTGGGAGAAGAGTTTTGTGATCATAATTTTCTAGAAAAGATATCATGTGACGTCAATGGTCAATTTTACTTTCCATTTCATAATTGGGAAGGTCGCAGGGATTTAAAACCGTCTAGAGCAACTGATAAATGTCGGAAGAATTTCTCTTTCGCTGCTGACAGAAACTTTTATCGGAATCGACACGCTTCAACTTACATTGGTAGATATTCAATTATCATACATAAAGCATCTCACGTTAGTTTCGTATTAAAATGCTTTTCTTTGGTATATGGAAATTGCATTTCGTTGTAAGCAGCATTGCAGATGAGACCGTAAAACGAAACGAATCCAATGTCATTAGAAAATGTGGTGAAGGAAATGTTTATGGGAAAAGTAAAAGGAAAAGTCTCGCTTTCTCTCTCTCGATCTCAATGACTTCTCTAAGCGCAACTACAGAATATTCCCAATTAAAAAACTTTTATTATTACTTCTGATAAGAAGAAGAGACGTCGTGAGAAAGTGAACATCTCTGCATGTGCTGTTGTTGCTGGCGATGGTGCATCAAACGATGCGAAACATTCATCGAATGAACGATCAGCGGACTATTTACGCAACTTCAAACCTTTACCTTCTCATTCTCACAAACAATTTAATGCAAATCAGAATTGAAGTTTCGTTTTTTTGTGCAATATTGCGATGCCGTCGACCAGCCATCGATGATGTTGATGATGAAATTCTGAATGGGAAAACATCGCTCGTATCGAATGCTGGAGGCTTCTAAATATTTTCTCAGCTCCGCTAATTTCATGTTCAACCGTCCGATAATGTAATAGTTTAATTGATTCAATGATATAATTCGATTGTTGTACTTTATTTGCTTCTGCAGTCAATTCAGGTAATTAAATGACAAAAGAAAATAAGCAGAGAAGGTTTTCTCGCCTTTAAATACTTCGAACCTAATCCATTGTATTCAACTTGAAGTCGATGCTGCTGGTGTTGTATTCAACATCAGTTGGAAGTCTCTGAATTTCCACCGATACGAGCTGATGTTGAAGAAAGTTTCGATAAACTTTTCAACCACTGACAATGTTTAATGTGCATACAAGAAATTCGTGTTTGATAAAGAAGAAGAAAATTAATAATTTTAAATACAAATTCAACAACAATTCAACATTGCAACAAGAAGGGGGAAAGAGTTGTGGATGAGAGAATGAACGAGAGTCATCTTCATTTCACTTTTTTTAGATTGGCGACGGATATCATCGTCGATTAAGTGTGACAAAAGTAGCTTCATGCAAATTAAAAATGATGGCACATGACGTAATCGCATAAAGTTGAAAGACATCGCCGAGAAAAGAAATAAATTCAGACTTCCGTCTATCATTGTACATCATAAAGTTAGCACATTCAAAAGTTTACGAGTGGCTTGAGGTTTACGTTCGTTGAGTAAACTTCTTCACTTCTTCACTTCATTTCTATTGCCAATAAATCATCAACTTCAATATTCCCAAAGAAAGTTTTATCATGCAGCGGTTGTTATTGATTTTGTTCCTTATGGAAGAAAGAAAGTTGCAAGCATGAATGCAAATCAGCGATCGACATTCAAATAGAAAGAATGACAAACTAACATGCTATCGCCTTTCTTTGAACATTCTCGTTGTGCCATCATCAACGAACATGTTCACTTCTTTCCTTACCTCGATGAATGTTTTCATTGAGAGTCTCAAGTCATCGACTTACATTCATGAATGACCCATTTCGGATGAATCTTACCTCACATATTTTTTATAAACAATTTCCTTTCGTTATTGCCTTTCTTCATAATTTAGCTGCAGGCAATGACAATCACAAAATGTATCAAATTTAAATCACTTTCAATTTGCTTTCAATGATTATTTTGCGTTAAAAAATTGATGTTGGTTAAGAGACAATGATATTAATTGAATTGTTTGGGTCATTACTCCTTTAGTGTTATTGTTAACAGTGTGTTGTTTACCACTAAATTACTTCCCGCCATCTCCATGTTCGGAAGCTGTGTAATTGATTTAAATCTAAATATTAAACCGCGAATCAAGTTCCATTCAACAAGCGATCTAAACATGACTTGCAGTAATCGATCTACATTTTGACCTTTAAATTTTCATTCAAATCTCAGTCTGCAGTACGTATTCGTGTAATTAAAGTTTAAGCATGCATAGAGATGAACACACAGAGATAAAACAAACCTAAATGACTGAAACTATAAGCCTCGTGGTATTTAAAGTTCGATGATTATCGCTTTAAATTGACTGTTTGATATTAGATAATGAACTGCTCAATTAAGGGAATGTTTAAAATGAACTTGATAATGAATCATAGCGATTGTTTAAATATGTTTGTTTGTTTATTTTAAAAACTAGTATGTACTGAATTGATGATAAGATAACGAAATACCCGCACACTTCATGTTGAAGATTGAGGGAATCTCCTCCAACGATGAGTCATTCAACGCGTTATCTTATCAACGAGATAATGTTCAATCATTCCTAAGTTTTGTCACAACTTTCTTTCATGCAATTTTAATTTCAATATCAATCAATAATTTCACAAAAGAAAAAAACTTTACAAATAAATATTACTATTGGTCACAATCATCACTTATCCGTCAATCATTTGAAAACTTTTCTCATGAATCACAAAATTTGTTATCTATCAACGAACCAAACAACAAAGTAAAATTAAACGTTTTCACATCTGCTTCTTTTTAGTTTTTATTTGAAAGCCATTTAAGTGACAAGCAAAATGAAATGGTCAGAAGTCAAACGATTAAATCCGTTTAATTATAGTGATAGATACCGGAATCATCAAAAACTTGTTGTGTGTCGATATTACATTGTTTACTTTTTGAACACAAAGAAGCACATTGAAGACATTGAACCGAAGATTAGGCAACTGATGGTTACAAGTAACTTTGAGCCAGATGTTGTCTTTATCGTTGATGAAATCAAATTTCCTGCTCACAAAAGAATTTTGAAAATTTCTTGTGAACAATTTTATATCGAACATGTTGAAAGAAATGAAAATTCTTTGAAAATTATACTTGACAACGTAAACCCACGAGGATTTCAGCAGTTTCTACGATTTTGTCATTTCGGTGACGTTAATTTGAATCCACTTAACATGATGCAAACTTACGATGTTGCACAAACTTACAACAATTCAACACTTATTGCTTTTTGTACGGAATTCATTTGCAACAATGTCGATGAATCAAATGTGCTAGAAATTTTGGATTGGATTTTAAGTCATCAACAACAAAACTATCAGTTGATGAGATTTTGTCGAGGATTTATAATTGAAAATGTGATGAAGGTGTTGGAGATTGAAGAACAATTTGCAAAGATAACTAAAAGATTATTAAAGATGATCTTAAGCCTTGAAGTGCTTAATTGTTCTGAAATGTTCCTTTTCCAAAAGACCCTTGAATGGGCTGAAGAAGAATGCAAAAGAGTCAAATTGAATCCTACACAAGATAACAAAAAGATTGTTCTTGAAGATATTCTTTATCTCATCAGATTGGAACTGACAGAGAAACTTGAAGTTTTAAATGATTTTCCTACAAGCTCAAGAATGAATTATTTTACTAAAAGACGATTTGATAATTTATACATCGAAGATTCAATTCAAGAAACTATCGAAGAAGTGCCAGCTACAAATGAAGACGTCACATGTCATGGACTGAGTGTCATAATTTCTAATCCTAAATTAGAAAGAAATTCAAATGAGCATTTCATAATGACAATTGATAACTCTCGTGAAATTTTGATGAGAAAGGAATTCAATGTTCGAGCATCGGAATACTTGGCAATCAAAGATTTTGTGTTTGAAGAGCCAATAATTTTTAAAAAGTTTATCCGACATTTTGTTAAAGTGGAATTTATCAACTCAAATCGACAAAGATATCTTGGTAAAGATGACTCGATGAATAATGAAACTGGGAGAATATTGCGACTATACGACTAAATAAAACTTTACAACTTTTTAAATCAATTAATAAAAAGCTTTGAAAATGTTTTCAAAAGATCTGATAGTCTTTTTATTTATATTTTTATTCATCATCATGATTTCTTAATTTAAAAACTGAAGATTCAACGAAGAAAGTTAATTAAATGATCATCATAAAACTTGATTGAGCATTAAAGCTTCTGCTAATGATTAGGTTTTCCTGAATGTTTTGTTTAGTTGTTACAGAATCTCCGTTGTTAACCTTTGATCAACATTTTCATGTTAATTGACTTTGGAATTGGAAATAATTAATTTTATGTTTTTCGTGATGTTTAAGATCACTTACTAAACTAAACGATTTAAAAGTTACATAAATATTACAGAAATGAAGAAAACAGAAATGAAGATTGGTCTTAGAAACCTTGGCTCGAATACGCATATCAGAATTGACATTTTATTTGATTATCGCAGTTCATTACTTCGTCATTGTTTCTTGTGGTTAATCAATAAAATTAGTTTTACACTAAAATGAATCAGAAAAAGCAAAAACAAAATATTCAACCACGAACTGGTGAAACTCATGGACTTTTCGGTGTGAAATACTTGAAGAATCATAACATGCGGGATCCCCTCTGGACAGCTGATGATTTAATTACGCAATATGAGAAATTGAGCGGCATTTATCGTAAGTTTAGGATTCTACTTTCATGACATTTTTGTGCATTAATTTGTTTTCAGGAAAAGCAAATAAAGTCGCTGGCTTGCGAAGGGAACAAGACAACATTCAAATAAATCAACAAAAAGAATCATTAAAGCGATTAGTGAAAGAAAAGGGCGAAATTTCTCGCATTCTTTACAAAGGCGACATGCAACGGATGAAGAATATTTTCAGAGATCAACCGAGATATCAGAGAATGTATTGTCATTTGTTAGCACATGAAGTATTGGAGAAGATTCAAGAACAAACATTTCATAAGCAAACAACTTTGGATGCTTTGATTGGTGAACGGAATAAATTGTTGAGAGAATATGAACAGAAATTGGTAAGAAACTTAAATCATAATTTATTTATTTATTAATTAACATTTGATATTTTGTAAATAGAAAGAAGCTGCTGATAAACAGGAAATCAATCGATATTATGATATAAAAGAATTCCAACAAGAACGTGACACGAAGCGACTTTATGCTGAATTGAAAAATTCCGAAACACGTTGTCGAGCAATTCAAAACTTGAACTCCAGCTACAAGAAAATCATCGATAAAATGCTTCACGATTCACTTTATTATCAGCCAGTTATTGATGCTTTGAATGCTGATTGGAATGAACAAACAATGTTGGTAAAACAAACTCACAAAATTGGTTACCCAGCAATTCAAGATGTGGAGAAAATGGAAAAGAAATTGAAGTCAATGAACAGAGTTGCCAAACAAGAATTCAACAATCGCTTAAAGACAATTGAAGAAAATCGTCGAATCTTGAAGGAACATCCAAAGATTGTGAAGCAACTCGTTCGAAGTGACGTAAGAAAGCTCGAATAATTTCTTTTGACCTTTTCGATAATTTCCACGTTCAGTCAGATTTCAGTTTTTCGGGTACTCGATACGATCGGGATACTCGATCAATGACGAGTCTTAAAGTCAAAATGGATAAAATTGAGCCAACAATTGACATGCTGAAAAGTGCAACATTGTGTGAAAAAGTTGAAGAAATCTACCCAAGGTATGCTTGTAATGTTTGCATGTACGACTACATACATAGCTAATGAGTGAGACATTATGAAATGTATCTTGCTTCTAATGATTCAACGCTCGTGAAATGATGAATACTGTCTGATATGGAAAACAAAGGCGATGAAGAAGAATTTAAGAGACGCGAGTCAAGTGAAGCACCGACAAGGTGTTAAAACAAATGTTTCGTTGAAGGAAGTTGTCTCGGATTTTTGTATTTTTCTCACTTTCAACTTAGTCACAGTCAAATCAAAAATTCAACTCTTGTCTTATGAAAAGTTAATTAATGTATTCTGTTTCATTTCGTTTCTTTCTTTCTCTTTTCACTGTTGCATTTAATTAAGTCTTTCCGCATGCAATTTCAAATATGAACAATCATAATGGAGCAGCAGATCTTTCGAAACTATTTTTCATGCTTCTCGCAAGACTTTTTCTTTCTTCTTTAAGAAGCTATTTAACTCTGTACTATATATTTGCGCTTTTTGGGTAACGAAAGTTCCCATCATCATCATCATCGTAATAATTATCGTTCTCCATCGTCATACCGAACCTTTTACCTTCAATTATCTGTTGAAGTTTCTTCATGCGGCAAAACAAAAAATTTTCCATATTGCATTCTTTGTTTTTCTTTGATTGCATAATGAGAAGAAATAAAAATTGATTTATTATCAATTATAAATGAAAATATTCAATTAACTCAATTTAATTCCGTAGATTTGTAAAACAATCGGAAGGCAACAATCAGAAAAAGCTTTTGTTGAAAAGGCAAGAAAGTATTCGTGACTCAATAAAAGAAAAAAGCGAAGTTTTCAAATATTTTCTTGAGCGAATACTTGATGATCGACCAGAAATATTTAATGAAGAGTAAGTATTCAACTCACTTAATTAAGTGCTTTTAACAATCGTTAATGGTTCTCTTCTGACCAGGAAAATGAATGAGATTAAAAAGCTTAATGATTGTGTAAAAGGCGAAAATAGGAAGCTTGATGCTTTGAGGAAAGACATGGCAGAGAAATCAAAAATTATTGTTCAGATAAGGTTTGACTTCATTTTTAATTACTTTTTAGTCTTAGTAAGTCTATTAATTATCCGAAGATTGGCATTACAACATATTCTTGATGTGTTACGTCATGTTGGGAAAGAAGATGCTTTCAAAAGCTTGGAATTTACAACATCTGATTTGAATCTACCTCTTCTTGATTTCAATTCTGATTTACCACCAATGCCTTTAGTCGTGGAAACAGACCGTAAGATTTATAATCATTTAACTTATTAAATATTCTTTCTTACAAATAAAATTATTCAATTTAGTCTCAAAGCTTCTCTCATCGGTTAAAAGTCGAATTCAACTATTGATGCAACATCATCAGAAATCAAAGAACAAAAACGAAAGCAATGACTCAACAGTTAAATTCCAGAAAGCAATGATTGAAGATTCCGTCCGTGAATACAAACCGCGTGTTCAAAATTATGATTAAAACTAAATTCATTCAACCAATGATTTAATTGGACTGCTAAATTCCTTGTCGTGATTTGATAAAAGAATTTAAATTAAATTTCATTTCTTTATTAATATATCCGTAATCTGCATTGTTATGAAAGTCTTTTAACTATAATAAGTCAATCGAACTATCAAAATGATAAATTTATATTGCAATATTTTTAAATGAGAATGAAAAGCTTAAATGATGATTTGCGGTTGTTCCGCAGAACTTTCACCTTTGACTTCAATTTATTAAAAATCATTCTCAGATAATCAACGCGATCTCAGTTATTGCTGCTGGTCTTTTCCATTTTATATCATGCACGTTTCTCGACTTTGTTAAATATGTTTATTTTGCAATAGATGAGAGCAAGAAAGCTGTTGGATATTTTGGATACTTCAAAACCTTCGATCCAAGGAATGAATAGAAAATGATAAAAATTTTACTACCAAGGTTGTAAATGTTGATGTTCAGTGGACAATAAGCAGTATGTGGCTCGATTGTTTAGTTTTCTGTTTCATTACCATTGTTGAGACAATTTATAACAATTGCGTATGAGATTGAAGTTAATCGAATTCGATTTGAGAAGTCGTTGCGGTTTTGAAGGAAAATCATTGCGAAAATATGTATTATGATGGACAATTAAATGTTCCTTTAAGTTTAATTCAATAAGTAAGTGTGAATAATGGAATTGAGTGCACTGTCCATGTACTAGTTTTATTGAGCTCGATCATCATTAATCTTAAAAATTTAATACCCGCTGTGATTAAGAAAAGTTTTCCTCCGTTCAATGTTACGCAATTTATTTAATTCTTCTTCATGCGTGACTTTAACGTTAATTGGACAGCCGAGTGACACAATTTGACGCAATGAGAAATTATGATTATTAAATGCAGTCAACAATGTTATCTTAAGAAATCACACGAACATCTTCACTTGATTAATTAAAATTCATGTGCGAAAAGCTCTCTCGACATGAAACATTCAACAATCCAACAATGCGTTGTTGAATGTTTCAATCTTGTTTCATTTTTAATTGAACAAATTTAACTAAATCTTAATCCTCAAACTTCCTAATTTAACTGCAAATAAGAAATTAAAAATTCAGCTTAATGCTAATCACGAATGATAAATGTTCACCATGTTTTTAGTTAACAAAAGTTTTTTGGTTTTGAAATCTCCTTCGGATGAATTTTTCACTAATTAATGGAAGTTTTTTTTAAATGAGTTTCTGGAATCTCAAAAAGTCACAGTAAATGCAACTCTTTCATCATTGAAGCATGGAGAATGAAGTATGAATGAGAGACTCGTAAATAACTAATTGATTCATCGTCATAAAATTCATAACTCAATCTAAGATTGTTTAAAAACATTAAAGATATTCATTGAATAATCAGTTATGGAACTCCCTAAGTTGAACCTCCGACATTGAGGAAAGAAAGTTTTCTGTTGTTTGTTACTTGTTCAAGTTATTCTCAAAGTTAAACACCGCAGGAAATCACAAAAGTTCATCGTCATTCCTTTGGGGTCAAAATCTGACGTTGAAGATTGCACAACAACTATCCATGATGGATGGCGTGGGCAGATAAAATTAATAACGAGAATAACTTTTTCATGACAATTTCTTCATAAAACCTCCAAAAATAATTGTTATTGTTAAACCTTAAAACATAATTTTTTCCACTGTAGGCTGTGAAGTTTAAAATCATTAAAAATTAACATGAACGCTTATCCTTGGTATCTTTAAGTGAATCTTTTAAATTAAAATTTTACTCGTCTATCTGGATCTTGAACACTTAATGATCTCGTGACAGTTGGATTGGAAAATATTAAATTAGCTTTGTCTGGATGTAAATATTTCAATCATAAGCTGGTTTAGGTATTGCTGCAAACGACAAACAACTGTTAGTAATCTCTTGACTGTTGTCAATCTGCATTTGCAGTGCAGGTAAATTTTAAAGGTTCTTATTAAAAACTCCTTAAAGAATATTTGAAAAATTATAAAATAAATCAAGAACAAGCGAAACATTCTAAAAAATTGTGAAGGTTTTTTACAAGCCAATTCACAAGAAGTTGATAAACGACTGCACTTGCAGAAGCTTCTTTCAATTTATTTTCGACTGAAACTGGATCGAAACTTCTGCTTCAGTGATGTAAAAGTTGCAGAACCGCAATTACTCTCACATAAAAAAAATTAAATTATTAACTCATCGATCCATTCTTATCGCTTAGTTCATAAGTCTGAAGGTTTTATTTTATAACTTCAGTGATTTAGTAAACATTAAATGAAACTCGAAACATGTTTTATGACATTGTACAGTGAGAATGTCTCATGAGATTCAACTGCATTGACCATGAAACTTAATCTTGAAATCACGAAAAGTTTCCGTTTTGGTTTCACTGTCTGCTAGCTTCTTGTTGGTTTGGTCAGCATTTGTGTGGACGTTAAGAAATGTCGTCAATATTCTAAATCTGCTGAATTGCCGGTTCTTTAATTTCAATATAAAATTCTTCCATTCCATATTTGATATTTTAAATGTTGATGACCTTAAAATGTTGAATTATTTTTATTCAATAAAAAACATTTTTTAGATCAACAAGAAGTTGAGAATTGAAGAACTTTTCATGAATTCATTTCATCGAAGTTGTTCGCAATTAACAAATTTGAAATGATGGCAAAAGGTGAGAATGATAAATTTCTTTATCAGCTTTCACATCTCTCGTGTGTGGCATGTGCTTCATAACTTCAAGTGACATAAATGACTAAAAACAACGATGAACGATTGTGTCGAACATGAATGACATTTCCTAATATTCCTGATGACAATAATCTCAGATCTTGAGCTTTGATCAGATCTTGTCGCAACATTTAATGTTCGATTTCAGCTTGTTAATCATTTCAATTACATGTTCAACTTCTAATAGCTTTTCTCTCTTCAGTCACGATTAAAGTTTCGTTGAAAAGAAGTCAACGAAATAGAAAAACGAAATTTGAGACGACGAATTGAAGTTTTCATTGTTTGAAGCTCATAAAATTTGACTCGTGTCGGATATTTGATGATCAAACTGTGATGATTTTGACCTTGCTACGTAAAAGACAACCGCGGTGCTATAATTAATATCGTTCTCTCTTAATTTGACTTCCGTTGAAGTTGGTTGTTAGTAATAAATAACAAAATTTATAACGATCCACTTAAACATTTCATTAAATAGAAAAAACGGCTTCATGCTTAATACCTGCGTGAAAAATTTTAAGTTAAATGAAAGAATTTATTCGTGCAACGATAATCAGGTTGAAGATGATGGTGAATCGTGATAAATCAACTTCCATGTTTCATTCACACGTTCTGGTTCTTGTTGAGATCATCAAACACTTTTCAGCTCTGTTGCCTTTGCCTTTTACATGACACAACATAATTTCATGTTATATTGAGCGCATTCTTTTCAATCTTCTCATTGTTTGTCATCGTGACTTAACAATCTCGCAATTCTTTGACATTATGAGAAAAGCATGATTAATTATTTAAATTAATAAAACAAATTAATCAAGCAGATAACATGTTCGTAATTGTTATCTAAATATCATGAAAAACACGATGAAAGCTTTCAGAAATTCACATAACAAATGCTTGAAATATCATGAATAATTTTTACAAACTGATATTAGCATTAACAACAGCAAATATTCACGAATTTCTCCAATAAATAGATTTCTTATAATTTCTCCCATGAATTAAAATATTACAACAACAACGGTTGCTGCATTAATAAAGCTTTTTTGAACACACGAAGCTTAAGCGATTACAATTGAATAAAAAAAAGAACATCGATTACCTGCCTCAAACACACCATGAAGAGCCCAAAACATTATTCAAATTGAGACAATCTTTTATATTGCAATTTTTGATCAGCAGTGAAGAGAAATTAATAATCATCAGCCGTGAAATTGATGCTTTCAGTGCTTCCTTAAAAAACGATATCGATTAATGACGTTGAGTCATTTTTTCATTCCCATAACTCTTCAGAATACTTCACGGCCTAAAAGTTTTATTTCATTAACTGAAACTGAGACATATCGAAAGTTCATCGAATTCGTGGGAACGTGTTTTGCATCCGATTGTAAATCAGTTTATGAAATGATTGTAACTTACGATCCAATGAAAATGAAAGGGGACGATGCATGAAATAAAGTTATTAGCTACTTCCAAAGCTTTAAATCGATTAACCTTTCACTGACATTTATTACGTCACATTTCATATAAATCAATTTATGACATTCATCATCAGTTATCAAACTCGCAAACTTCAGTCACATAAGACGACTCGAAGATTGTTGTGATATGCTCATCCAATCTTGTTCGAATCTTCTGTATGTTTAAGTATCTATCATGTAAATGCATCAACCCAGGGACAATATAATTGGGCATGTGATGTTCTTTCACTTTGTAAATCCCCTGAAAATAATTGCAGTCATCATTAACGTTTTTTTTCTCCTTTCTTTAAAATAATTTTGTAAATTTACTTGTTTGAATGGACATTTAAGAGCAAATTTTAGAGTGTCCAATAAATGATGCATTAATGAGTGAAAGACGGCATTTGAATTTATCAGTTTACTGATGTCGCAAAAGTCAACCGTTCGATCAGCAAGAATCTTCCCCGTCTTCAAATCTTTAGCAATCAAAACAATCTGTCAATGATTGAAGTTTTCATTACAATAAAAATATAATTAACGAAATGATCGATTGTAACTTACATGAAGTTTTGGAATATCCTCGAATATCTCAATTGTTGTTTCCGGCACGAGATAGACTGGATGCCTTTTTGTGTTCGTCTTATAAATTGACATATCAACCGAAATATTCATGTATTTAGGATTGAAGGTGAAATTGAAGTCTGAGAAGTAAAAACCGAGATGCTGAATGAAGAAAAAGTCATTTTTATTGTTTAAGTCATCACAATTAATCAAACCTTACCTTTTCGCATGAAAAATCAATCATCAAAGTGATTGCTATAATTGAAATTCTCCATAAATGTAACGACATCATGATGATGCTTTGCTCACACCCGAACGAAAACTAAAGCATTGAATAGATTTTGTAATTACAATGTTACCATTGAGATCGTTTTATATGCCATAATGGGAAAATAATGTAATTGACGAATAATTGTAGGGTGATTTAGAAATTCAAATATTTACTTTCCGTGCCACCTTTGAAACTCATATTTTTGTTACCAAATTTTAAAAATTTCTCAATTGATGGTTCCATTCATTTGCAATTATTAACTAATCTTCGAAGTTCGCATTGATATCTGTTTACATTAAAGTCAATTTTATTTTACGATGCCTTTTTCTCGTGAATTTTGGCTTGAATATATTTTACAATCGTAAATAAGAATGAAGAATGTAAAACTATCGGATTATTTAATAAAATTTGAGAATATTTTGTTTAACACCTGAAAGCATTTAAAATCTAAACAAACGATCACTTAAATGATAATCAAGACACTTCCAAATTTTCTTCGTGCTCTTAAGAGACTCTTACGATAAGAATTTTTATATAAATACGCCAATGTCAAGAATTTCTTGATCAGTTTCATTGACACGATCGCAGACTTCAAATCTATGATAAATAATTGAAAAGATTTTGTGAAGTGAGGTTGTTAAGTGATTGGAATGTCAATAAGGTAAGTGAGTTCATTAGCGTTTGATACACGTGCAGATTTTATAATCCACTTAAGACATGGAGAAGTGTTGTAGTGGGAGTGGTGGCACAGTTTCAACATTAATCTTATTATCAGATTGTTAAGCTTCTTAATGCTCCATTTTTATTTCATAGATTTAATTTTGGAAATCTCATTCATTTCTTACCTCTGATGGTAATTGGATGTTTGATAATTCAAAGCAATAGTCAAAGCTACAAAGGTGACATAACATTTTATTATGAATGGCACGGAAATCACGGCTCTTGTGCGCTTGAAAAATCAAAGAAAGATCCATTCCATGTGGCTGCGTTGTCGAGATTTTTCATGAAACTACCAGTGAATGTAACGAATCCAAATAAGCATCCTTATTGTTCGGAATCATATTGTGTAAAAGTGAGCGGAAAGCGTGGATCAGTTGTGCTTAAAATAAGCGATACTTGTTATGGATGTAAGCCTCATGATATTGATGTAGCACATCGAGTTTTTCCATTGCTAGACGATCCCAACAAAGGTCGAGTTCCGATGGCATGGAAATTCGTTGATTGCACGAAAAACCCTCCAGGCAAGATAAGAAGTGATGATTGAGTTGAAACTGTCAAGGGGAACTTATTAGATAGATTGTCTTAAAACTATAATTAAGGTTTCCATTAAAAAGCATTCACAACCAACAGATAAGTTCTTTGAAACCATCGATTGTTCATTTTGTTTTAATTAGAATATATAATTAATACTATAATTGCAAGACTTACACTTAAGTCTTACTTAATCATTGTGAAGTAGAATAATTTGAGTAGAATAACAAATGCGCCTTTTCACGGTCAAAAGAAAATTCCTGTGAAATGTCAAAATAATTAATAAAAGAATTCTAAGGACGTTTCTTTTTTAATTCAATTAGCGCAAACAATTAATCGCGTTTCTCATTGTGTTAAATAAGAAATATAAAAAGAATGTGCAAGTCACGATTCTGAAATTCATAAAAAATTGAAGAATGTCCACAATGGATCATGGAAATTATGTTAAATTGAACAAAAAGAGTCGCATTGAAAAGTAAAATGCAACACCAGCCAACATTGTTTTCGTCTGAAACAATGTGATCTTGAAAAAGTAAGTATTTGTAAGTCGGAACATTGTCAAAATTAAATAAATTGGTTTTTATGTTATACACAAATCGATTAGATTTAATTGAAAAAGGAAAAGGAAATAAAAACTTAAATTATCATGAAATATTCTCTGATATCTACCATTTGCTATATGATTATACAAATCCGGCAGAAGTTAAGTTAAAAAGATATTAATTATAACCACTGTGGTTGTCTTATTACAACAAGGTCAATGTCATCACAGTTTGATCATCAAATATCCGACACGAGTCAAATTTTATGAGCTTCAAACAATGAAAACTTCAATTCGTCGTCTCAAATTTCGTTTTTCTATTTCGTTGACTTCTTTTCAACGAAACTTTAATCGTGACTGAAGAGAGAAAAGCTATTAGAAGTTGAAAATGTAATTGAAATGATTAACAAGCTGAAATCGAACATTAAATGTTGCGACAAGATCTGATCAAAGCTCAAGATCTGAGATTATTGTCATCAGGAATATTAGGAAATGTCATTCATGTTCGACACAATCGTTCATCGTTGTTTTTAGTCATTTATGTCACTTGAAGTTATGAAGCACATGCCACACACGAGAGATGTGAAAGCTGATAAAGAAATTTATCATTTTCACCTTTTGCCATCATTTCCACTTTATTAATTGCAAACAACTTCGATGAAATGAATTCATGAAAAGTTCTTCAATTCCAACTCCTTGTTGATCTCAAATTTAATTCTAATTTAATTTTAAGGTCAACAACATTTAAAATATCAAATGTGGAATGGAAGAATTTTATATTGAAATTAAAGAACCGGCAATTCAGCAGATTTAGAATATTGACGACATTTCTTAACGTCCACATAAATGCTGACCAAACCAACAAGAAGCTAACAGACAGTGCAACTAAAACGGAAACTTTTCGTGATTTCAAGATTAAGTTTCATGGTCAATGCAGTTGAATCTCATGAGACATTCTCACTGTACAATGCCATAAAGCTGGTGTTGACTACTAATTATAATTATAATTAACTATGAGTGAAAGAAAGCTCCAAAAATTATCTAACACCAGTATCATGTTTGATTATCAACAAAATATTGACAGGAAATTTTTAAATTTCAACATCAAATTTTGACCCCAAAAGAATGATTGTGAATTGTGTTGGTTTCCTGCAGTGTTCAGCTTTGAGATTAACTCAAACAAGCCACAAACAACAAAAAAAAAACTTTCTTTCCCTAATGTCGGAGGTTCAACTTAGGGAGTTAACCATAACTGATTATTCAATGAATATCTTTAAATTTTTAAACAATCTTCGGTTGAGTTATGAGTTCATTTCAATTTTGTAAGTCATTTTCCATGCATGTTCCATCAATTGCATTTGTTGTGACTTGAAAAAGCTTAAAACGCTTAAACAATTATCAATTTTAAAAACCTTCTTGCGTCAATCAGGGAAATTTCAACCGAAGATGATTGCAAAAACTCACTACGTTTATTTATTGGCAGTGAAGAAATTTTCGGAGCCACCTGGAAAACATTTATCATTACAATATGTACTGAACATTCAGTAATAATAAGCAATTGAATGAGCATTGTTGTCTCATTGATTTCATGCATTGTAAATATATTTAAATTTCAGTTTGAGGAATTTCATGATATTAAATAAATTTTAAGATTATTAACTCTTCATTATCAATCTAAAGTGTTATTTATTTATAAAGAAATTGTAAAGTTGAGAGTCATGAAATCAATAAATTGTGTAATTTCTTAAATTCAACAGACCCTAAAAATTTTTATTTGTTCCTGAAGTAATATTCAAACAAACTGTGAAAATTACAATTAAGTCAGCTCATTTTCTCTTTGAAATGTTGCTCATAAGATTAATGATGATCACAACAGATAGACGATATGAAAATTTCATTGATTTCTTCACACTTTAATTTTTCATTGAATCAAAACATTTTCTTAAGTAATAAAATGGTTTAATTTAATGAAGGGAAGCTGGTACGTTTTTATGACCATCAGCTATCTAGATATGTAGTTGATGGCTGGCATAATAATGTAATTATAATCAATTTACCATAATCACGGGTTTCTTAGTTCATTACCTCAATTTTATCATTCGTTAATTCAATGTCAAATTGAGAGAGTGAGAGAATAAATAAGATTTTTCATATTTTCAATTAAAAACAAGTAGAGTTTGAGATAGCTTTCAAATTATGCATTCATGTTTTTATAAAGACGCACGAAGTTCTTTGAAAGAAAATTATAAACTTCCGAAGCATACGCAATTTACAAGATTCGACGAATTCTTGAATTGTTCACTTGGAATTCCGCGTTGAATCTTAAATTAATCTCTGAAAGTTGGACTTGAAGTTCACTATTTTCACGTGATTTTGTTGTCAAAGCTTCGTTAACAAGTGGAAAGAGTTTCTGAAATAATAAAATGTCATATTTGATTGATCTTTGATAATTTTAACAATTCTCACCCGATTATTGGATTTCCCGTAAAACTAAAAATAAATGCCCCTTGAACATATGCAACTCACAGCATCCCAACACTTGTTGCTTGTACATTTTTAACAGTGTACCTTCAAGTCATGTTTTTTAAGCCTGCTTGTAGTGCTCGTTTTACACAAAACATTTCCTTCTTGTAAAAATGAATTTTTTGTACTTAATTTTATTAGTTTATCTTGTTAATTGTCTTAAATGTGAAGATTTTAGTGATGTCAATGAATTTATAATCGACATCGACCTACCAGAAAATCATTTATCTCAATATTTTAATAAAGTACCTGAATTTGCAAAGAAAGTCAATCAAAGTAGCAATAAAGTTTACAAGGAATTCTTAAGTAGCGAAAGATATGATCGTGAAGTATGTTGGGGATATGAATATAATTGTAAAAATCCTTTATATACTCATAAATGTCCAGGAAATCACACTGGTTACGTTGAAAGTAAAAAAGCACAATTTGAGGTTTTTTACGCCCAAGCCGATTTTGGTAAAGAAAAAGAAAGAAATTTTGAAGGTCTTCATCACTGTTTTGATTTTTCTTTCAAGGTTTTGTAAAGCAACAGCTTCAAGAATTAAAAGTTTATTGTGAGCCAACGTTTATCACTGATTCATCACTTGAATGTTCAAAATATCTTCGATTTTGTCGAGGAAGAAATCTCATGCTCAACTTCACAAACTTAATAAATCGTAAAGAACCGTTGAGATATGCAACAGATGTTTTAAAACAGGGTGAAATTGGTGGCTTTTGTAAATTCAATGAAAAGGAATTTAATGAGCAAACTGAACATTTGTCAGCGTTGCAATCGTGGGGACCTGAATTGAGATACTTTGAATCTTTATCGAAGCGACCAATTGAAGATGAATTGTGTGATGTTGTGATCGATAAACCAACATACATCATGAAAATTGATTCAACATACAACATGTATCATCATTTCTGTGATTTCTTCAATCTTTATGCTTCACAACATGTAAACTTTACACATCCTGGCGCTTTCTCGTCTGACGTTAATATTCTTATTTGGGAATCTTACATTTACTCATCACCATTCTCACGTGCATTTGAAGTATTTTCAGAAAATCCTATTTGGGATTTAAATACATATCGTGGTAAAGTTGTTTGCTTTAAGAATCTCGTTTTTCCATTACTTCCAAGGATGATTTTTGGTCTTTACTACAACACTCCATTGGTGAGTAATTTTAATATTGTTAATATCTTATTCTGTTAATAACTTTCTTCATAAGATTAATGGTTGCGAAAACAGTGGATTGTTCCATGCATTTGCCGAGCATGTTCTTCATCGTCTCCAGATTAAACAACATCCAGTGGAAATGAAATCAAAACTCAGAATAACTTTTCTCTCTCGTGAAACGAAATACAGAAAAGTTCGTAATGAAAAGAAACTCTTAAAAAGAATCTCATCAAACAGTGATTATGTTGTGAAACGAGTGAATTTTGCGAAGAACATTTCATTCGAAGATCAGTTAAAGATCACAAGAAATACTGACATCTTCATTGGAATTCATGGTGCTGGATTAACTCATCTACTTTTCTTACCAAAATGGGCAACACTCTTTGAGTTATACAATTGTGAAGATCCAAATTGTTACAAAGATCTAGCAAGACTACGAGGTGTTAATTACATTACTTGGGAAGATGAAAGTTTACTCGAGGCAAGTGAATCTGATTACGAAGATGGAAGCCACGCAAAGTTCAAAAACTTTTCTTTCGAAGTTGATGAGTTTGAAAGACTAGTTAAGAAAGCTGCTGATGCAGTCATAAACCATTCAGATTATAAAGAATTTGTAAAGAAATCGTCAAATAAAGAAAGTCAACATGATGAGCTGTGAAAATGAAATAAAATTCGCTTTTTTTTTATAAAAAAGAAGAATAAAAAACATTTATTTCTCTTGATACTTTTTTGTATGAGTAAAGTCAATAGATTAACATTATCACTGGATTTGTCCGATTGATTGATTTTTCTTACCAAATTTTCAGCTTAATTTTGTTAATAAATAGAAAAACCATAACAAGTTGCAAGAGAAGTGTATAAATTGTGATGATGATTACACTTAATGGTGTATTTAATAACATCGTTTGAAAGCAAATATTTACGATTCCAGTGAAGAGATTAGCGATAAGAAAGAATGCAAGTCCATTATAATTGATGGCTTGAAGGATGAGTGGAACATACGGAACATGAAAGTCTGGCACATCAAGTTGAGATTTATTGTTGGGTTCCACTTGTTGCCATTGTGGACGATTAAAGTTTGTGTAGTAAATGTAAATTTCTGTGAACATGAAGAGTGAAAACATCAAACATCCGATTGCAAGTACCCAGAAATTATATCCCATATTTGCTGTTCGTCTTGACACACCAAACATTCCATTGCATACATAAATCATCTTCCAACAGAATAATGAAATGATGAATAACTTTCCAGCCTTTTGAATGACGTCTCTTGCTTTCATCGACTCACGTCCATCAGATTTCAAAAGAGTTCCAATATAAATCGATGCCAAATAGAGAGCGACATAACCGGGAATTGAAAAAATCCCTTCACGATTAGCTGATATCAGATGATCTCTTGTGATATTATCATCCAAGATGTAGTTTGATAATCCAAGCTGTAGGAATGTCTCATGAAGTATAACAACACTTAATGCCGCGTACTTGATTTGATCTGTTGTTTTAAGAAATCCTTCGATAACTGTTCCAATTATTTTCGTTACAGCCAATGTTATGAAGAAATTCCAATGAACCCCATACTCCGTGACATGTTCTTGATAATTAATTTCTTTTGTCACGAGAAAACGTGAAAATCCCAAAATAAATAAAGGGAAACAACCAACAAGAAGCTTTTGAAACTTCTTTTTACTAAATGCCGATGCTGATGGTTTAACAATGATTCCGTTACTGAAGACAAATAAACCAACGCCAACGTCCATAAGACCTAAAATAAAAAATCTATAAAATCCTTGAACTTTTTTATGTCAAAAATCAATTTTACCAAAGCCAAACTTTTCAGTTTTCGCTAGTTTTCTTGGAAAGCATTGAAAGTCCACAGCAAGAATACAAACAGCAGTTATAAGACTTATTACCGATCTCCCGACTGTAATAAAGTCAGGATGAACTGACGGTATTTGAACAAATGGTGTGAGATGGAATTTTGCTTGAAGTTGTCTTACAGCCATTGGAATTGTAATGATGAGTAGAGTAAGTACTATTTGACTTATGGCATCACTAAACACTGTAAGATATAATATGAGACTCACACATGTCGTAAAGAATTCAACAAGAAACCGAATTGGAACATTATTCAAACTGATTTTTAAAATTCCTGCTATTGTTATTGTATAAAAAATTGCAAAGCTCGAAGGAACGATAAAAAGAAATGTGTCAAAAGCAGTTGTTCCATTATTATTTATCATGAAACTTTCATGAAAAGTTTTATATTGATCAGGCAACATTTTAATAAATTCAGAAATGTAAAAAAAATTGAAATTTTGTTGTTTTGTTTTTATAATAAAGATGCAAAAAGTTTTGTACCCCCGAAAAGTTTTGCATCATTTGTGTAATTGTTGTTTGCTTGCAAACACTTGCTGAGTTTATTTAGAATATTAATTCACTAATTTTAGTAGTTCTATAGTTATAACAGCAATGGAAAGTATTAAATCAGTTGTTGAGTCATTGATATACATCTTAGAATCATGGATTAATGATGATGACGAAAAGGAATCACAAAATAATCACGAGAAAGAAATCACCATTGTTTTGAATTGGGACCAGGGACACATCTTGGTTAACTTAGATTTGTCTCTAGATTCCGATATTAAAGAAAGGTTTGTAAATCACTGGCAAATTATATTAAAAAGTCAATAGAAATTAATATTTCGCTTGCTAATTAGAATTTGCACCGAATGTTTAGCAGTCGTTGTGAAAAGTTCAAAAAAAGCGTTCATCGATCGAGTCAACGAAATTTTAAAGGAATATTCTCTCGTGAATCTTACAGTCAATATAAAATTCATCGATGAGAAATTTCCAGAAAGTCCTTTGTTTTCTTCAATCAGGTAGGATATTTTCATGATGATTATCACTTAGTCCAGCATTATTAAACAATTTCTTTTTCATGTTTAAAGTTGCGAAACCCTCTGTGAGAAAGTTATGGATCTGTATAAAAAGAAGTACTCAGAACTATTTGAAGTCAAATTTGTTCATGAAGGCTGTGAAGTTGAAATGTACTTTTTTACAAAAACCGATAAAGACGAAACTTTCGTTATGAGTTGTGGAGCACAAAATGTTCTAGCAACGGAACAAATAGAAGATTTTTTGCAATCTTCCAATACTTTAGGAAATATTGTTGAGTACAGATTATGTTGCATTGGAAACATTTCTGATAACTCATATAAAATGTCTGAAGAATGTGTTGAAGTAGCTCTTGGAATTTTACAATCTCACTTAGAATTTCTCAGAGAACAGAAGAAAGAACTTTCGAGAGTCAGAAAAATGAACAAGGAAGAAATTGAGAAAGAAATCGATGAAGAATGTTTCAGCATCCCAAGTGAGGAAAAGAGTGCTTCAAAGAGATTTTCCAAAAGAAATCGTTCTAAATCAACTTATGTTGATCTAACAACTGATGGAGAAGATAAGACTGGATTTGTTGAGACGAACTTAATGGTGACGAGCATCATGGCTTGGGAGGAATATTCTTGGTTTTGCTATACGAGTGATGTTGAAGTGGAATCTGTTTGTGATGAGACATTGAAGACTATTCCGAATACCAAACGGAGGTACAAAAATGACAAAGAGAATGATATCTGGGATTTTATTCGACAATTAGGGATCGATGATGACAAGGATGAAGAAGAGGAAATATACGAGTCACTTTCAGAAAATGAAAAAAATAAATTTAAATCTTTAAGTGAAACGCTGCAACGTCAAGATTATGCTCTCTTCAGAAAAAATATCCAAAGTCATTTAAAACAAGTCAAAGGAGTTATGAATATCATTGAAATGAAAAAAAATGAAAGAAACTTAAACAATTCTCGTATTTCTGTAAAATCACAAACTCCGAAAACACCGCAGACAAATATTATTGAAAAAAAACCAAAGGAAACAAACAAAGGCGAGTCTCATATTTCTGAAGATTACAAAGCTCCAAAAGCATCGCGAATTAAATTAAAAACCTCAATTCAACCACTTCTAGGAAGAGGATTAGATCCATCGAAATGCTTAATCTTCAGCTTGGAACAAGATTATAAGAAAAATGATTCAAAGAGCGACAATAATTTTGGATATTTTGAAAATTTTACTTCTTCCTCATCAATTTCTAGTCCACGTGATAATTCGAGCTCATTTAATACGTCATTCGTACCTAAATTTAATTCAACAGAAATTATTCAGAATGAGAAAAACTCCCCAACTGCTAAGAGCTTCCTTTTCTCTGATATAAAATGTCGCAAACCATTGCACGCAAAGGATGATAAACCATTGCAACTATCTGAGAAAAAGCCTTCATTGGATTTCTCAAAAATGAATGCGTTAAAATCTCCATTCACCATTCCCAAGCTGCCATCTGCATCAAACACTCCAAAGCAATCTTCAATAAATTCAACTCCGAATAGTGTTTCAAACTTTATTGATAAAAAAACTGAAAACGTAAAGGAGAAGCAGCAAAGTGATATTAAAATGGATGATGGTAATGATGATGATGTCATTCTGGTTGATGAAACACCATCCGAAAATAATAACTGTAATGTCGTCTTTCGTTCTCGCAAACGGATTTTCAATCCCGAACCAAATCCATCGCAAGAGGAACCAAAACAAAGAAAAGTATTTTTCAAAACAAAACAAATGCAAAAAGCTAGAGGAAGACCCAACTTTGGATCGTATAAAGAGAGAGAAAAATAAAATTTAACTATTTACTTTTAATAATCTAATAAATTTCTTGAGAGATCAAATCTTTAAAATATCTATCAAATAAATATAAAGCCAGTTTTATCAGAAGTGTTCCACTTCTCAGAACGCAAATCTTTCTCTTTTATTTGTCAATTCTAATTTCTAAAGTTGTTTTCAGCTGTTGGAAATTTGAATACATGAAAGCTGTGCTGGAAGAGTTGACAGTGAATTGAATTATTAAGACGATTGCAGATTGGATAAGCTGTCTTATGTCCTTTGAAATTTCAATAACGAAATATGGAATTTATAAAACATTCAGCAGGTGCTGTGTGTGGGTGTAATATGTATCAATATTGATTCAACTTTTTCCATAAAATTTGAATAATTTCTTAACAATCAAACGATATATCAAATTTATTCCATACTCATTAAAAGAGTGAAATAAGAATAAATTGATTTGTAAATCTTGAAAGAAAAAAGATTAAAAAATTCTCAGTTACGAAGAAGAAGAATTTGATTCCTTACCGCAACGAAGGTTTCAAGATGCAAAACATTCATTTGAATTGTTATAACTTCAGATGTCTTTGAAGATATCAGAAGAAGTATGAATGAATGTTGATCAGGTATTGACAGCAAGTTCCAATGTATTTTGCACAGGTTGTCGTAGAAGTTGTCTCCTGCTATAATTAAAATTGTTCCCAAAACGCAGGGTAGAAAAATTTGGAAAGCGCAGGTAAATATAATGAGAATGCCCGGAAAGAATATATCCTGTTAAAAATATTAAGTTTTATGATAATTGCCTTGACATTAAATGATTTTTTCTTACCGTAGCATTAGCATACAAACAAATTGTACTTTCTCCAATCAAACATCCAACTTCAACGAAAATGACTAGTTGATAAGTATTATTATATGCCTTCACAAAACTAGGAAATCATTAAATTTATTAATTTACTAAAATAAATTAAAATATTTTTCATACTCGCAAATTTCTATGTAATTTTCAGCGATCCTTTTTATTTGACTTTTAATTAATTTAGCGTTCCTTCCATTGTCATTTGAAACAATACTTTCATCTAATTCTTCAATAAAAACTTCAAGCATGTCGTACTGTGCTAGCACGATTAAAACGAATAAAAGGTAAATGCAGACTGTTGCACTTAATGGCAATGCATATAAAAAAGTCGCAATGCAACAAAATACGAAATTACAAAGATAGCCATATCGTCCATCCCATTGTAACCAAGGAAGTTGATAACCAAAATGGAGAAACTTTGTTCCAGTTATAAGGTACACAATGATTGGATAAATTGCAGCTAAAACGCCAGCAGTGCAAAAGGTAACTGCTAGCAACACAAACAAGTACCACGTAATTAGCATCCATTTTTCGAAGATTTCATTCACTTTCGGGTAATTATACTTCATCATAATTGTTTCACATCGTGCAACCATTGCAAGGATGCCAATTTTGTAGCGAAAAAGTGTGTAGACCTTGGTGAATCCTTGGATGGCAATAAAAAATATCGTCAACATAAAGCAACAACGAATGAAATCATCGTGGAACAAATATAAATTATAGAAGATGATGGCCATTGTTGCTATAATATAACTCACTGTACAAAACAATTGTAAAGTTAAGAAAGTGTGATTTTCTTTAAAAATATTTGCACCAGATGCCCATAATGCAATATTTGCTGTCTTCACAGTTTTTCGAAATAAATCTAATGTTGAATCAAACTCTACAATAAATCTTGATGTTTTTGGTAAGTTTATCATTGTGACAACTATTAAATAATTCCAATTAACACTCAGTAAAATATCAACTGACAACGTTGACCACTTGAATTTGAATAAAGGAAAAAGTTTTTCACTCATCACGAAGAATAAAGAAAAATCGAATGATCTCACAAATTTTTGATGAAAAGGTCAATTATTTAATTATCTTTTTGCATTGAAATTCTTGTTCAATATCAAGGAGATTCGAACAATTAAAAGCTAACAATGTTCATATTGTTCAAGTGTCGAAGGGGTTTAACGTGGAGGGAAAGATTTTAAAATGATTACAGTGGAGTGTCGACAAATTGTCAGTGTGGCGAGTTTCATATCGTTGGAAAATCTGGGAATTATATCAATGGTAAATCACTCAGAAAGCATAAAAAACTTTAATTAAATTATTTATTTTTTTTTATTTAAAACTGATCTTCTTTTGTGTCATAATCATAAGCAACACTTACATACGCTTTACTCTGTAAATATTCAATGTTTTAATGTGTATCATAATTAATTTTTATTTTCACTTCAGATGTGCCTAATTTTTCATCATAAATATTAAATATTTCTATGTCTCAAATATTTATTACACAATTTCAATTTTTTTCATATTTTCATAAGGATTCTTTTCTTATTTATTTCGTCAAAGAACTTATTGGACAAGTTTAATTTTATTTCATTCTATTAGTTGTGAAATAAAGTTATTTTTCATTATTATTTTATAATTGAGTATTTAAATGATTGAAGTGAGTGGAAGGGAAATTCAAAATATTTTTGCACAGACAAAACTTCTCCAATAAACCGACAAAGGTCAATGAAGATGAAAAATTCATTTCAATAAGATTTATGGTAAAGATAATCACAGCATAAAAAATATTTGAAGAAAGAAATAAATGAACGCAAACCGTTTTAAAAATGATTGATTCGTTTATAAATATTGTCGAGTTTATTACTTATGTAGCATTAGAAGGTTCGTATATTTTTTTCTCTCTAAAATTTCAGAAAAAGCGAGGACGACTCTACAAAAACAAAGAATAAAAAAATAAAAAATTATACAGATTTATCTTTCATTTTATTTATATTCAATAAGCATCTATTTATACAACGATTAAAGTGATGAAGTTTTTTTTTTGCTATAAAGTCATTCTTAAATACTGCATTTAATGTTTTATGTATAGATATAATCATAGTTCATCTCTGATAAGAGGCAACAAATCGAAGAAAAAAGAAACAATATCTTTCTTAATCATAAAGTTCAAAACATGATGAACATAATAAGGAGAAACTTACATTTGATAACACAATTATTTATGACAAAGCGAGCGCGTAAAAAACAAAAATCGCAAAAGTTTTTCTTTCTAAGTTTTGAAAACTTTCTTTTCTTTTCTGCAAATCTTTTCCATCATTTATCAAGTTCAAACTGAAGAACATTGCAGATAACTTAGAATGAAATAAGAGAATTAAAAAAGTTTCTTTTAATTGGAATGATGAATTCGTGCATTGTCGTGGCTATACGTACAATTTTTACTTGATTTCTATTTATTATTATTAAATGTTTCATTATTGATTCAGTGACGAAAATTATGAGGAAAAAGGGTTTTGATATTGAATCAATCATGAAAGATTTCTAACCATTGCACTACATTGCATAACATTTTTCTTTTACATTCTGTTCATCTCATTTACGTTTCTATATTCTTCAGTTGGATTTTCCAATTAAAATCGTTCATCGATTGCCGAAAAAAAAGTTTAAATAGAGTTCTTTTATGCAATTAGATAACAGGAATATAGAAGTTTCACTACTTCATTTCTCTTCTTGATAATTTCATAGATATTCGCTAATTATCTTGATAAATAATTTTTCATTTATCTTTTGTGACTATAAATATTTTTAGATTTTATAAGATTGCATCGCTTCTTGTGTATGGAAATGTTTGTAAATGACGTCACAAAGTTATTATTTCTTCTAGAATAATTAAATTTGAGTCTTGAAAGTTTTAACGCACGCGTCCATTTATTGTGTAACTTAATTTACAGACATTAACCATAACCACTTGTCTGTCAACTTGAAAAGAAATAGAAGATTAAAGTTTTCGTCATCAAATCATCATCACAAGTGGCGAGATGGAAGAGAGAAAATTAACATTTGCGACTTTTTCAATCGATTTAAATATTTTGAATTCTTTTTTTGTGTTTCATTTTTTTTTGCTTTTTTTTCGTAGATTTAAGAGAAATGAATTATTTCCGAAATATTTAAATAAATCCAATGTTCTTTTTCCATATTTTGAATGGAACTTTTTTGCTTTTAGTTCCACTAATAACTTAACAGATTTTCTTTTTATCGTCTGTTTAATATTTATCGACGTGCTTATGCACCGAAGGGATCCAGTTGAATGTTTGAATTAGCTGGTTGCGTTGGTGGCATCTGATGTTGTGTGAGGATCGGTTGTTGTGTTGGTTGACCAGCCATTGGCATCATTCCAGGCATAGGTGACATTGGTGGAACACCAGCCATCATCGGACGCATCTGCTGTTGCGGTGGCATTCCTTGCTGTAAAATTTGGGGAAAAAGACATTCAGAAAATGTTATGTAAGCATCATTGACAGTGCCAAGTTATTTACACAGAATTTTTCCATTTCCCCAACATATTTATTATTGACTTTAAAAAGATTGTGCAAAGGTATTTTTTATTAAATTATCCAATTCAACTCAACTTTTACCCTCAACAGATAGACGAGAAATTATAAATCAAAGCAAAAGAAAATCAAATAATAAAACAATAAATCAACTTCTTACCTGTGGAAAGTACGCTAAAGGAATCTTGTGTGGATACAAGTTGTGAATTGTGCTTGGTGCGGGAGCAACAGTCATGCCTTTAGCCTAACCATTTTATTTAACATTTTCCCGTATTATTTTTTTTATATTTTTTTTTGTTTGTACATCGTAAAGAAATGAAAATAAATTTACAAAAATAAATTAAAAAGTAAAAAAAAAGTAAAACATAAATAAAATGATAGAAAATTGGAAGAAATAAAATAAAAGATAAGCAAGCGAAAATAATATTTGAACTAAGAATATATTATCGTTGCCCTTTGCTGAAGCGTTTCCCGAAGTCAGTTCGTACTAATTTTTCTTTTTAATTATTTATTTACAACCAGCAATGTTAAGAATTTTCATGAATTTTCACACTCAAGTTTCATTCATTTTGTCGCGTTTATTAACATGAATATTCTTTGAATAAATGAAAAACTTTTCTCACCATTGGACGATAATTTGCTCCAGTTGTTGTCACCATGGGTTGTGGCGACCAATTTTGTGGTTTCGCTTGATTCTTTGGCGAATTCCATTGTACACCTCTGTGAACAGAATCAACATTTAATTAATTTATCAGAGCCAACACAATCAAACGAACTCACTTCATCGACGATGAAGCACTTTTATTGATGGTTAAATTTTCAGCAAGTGATGCAAGTGAGCTATCCAAATCCCCTGTAAGAACTTTTCCGGGTTGTTGTGGCTGAGCAGCACCTGGAATAATTTGTGGTTGTGTAGCTTGAATTGAGGCTGTTGACGACGGTACCGTCGTTCCCGTAGATCCATACGGTTTTAGTACATCTCCCAAAGGATCAAATCCTTTTGTTTTTTAGTTGTTTAGTCAGATAATGAGTGAGATTTATGTGTGGGTGAGTGTTTGTGTGGGTGTATGTATGATTATATGCAAATGTAAATTTTGTTATCAGTTGCAGTGTAATGAAATCGCCGCACCAGCATGTGGAGGATAATCCAAGAGAAATTAACCAACGATCATGAAAGACCATTTTGCCATCATGAATGAAATGATAAGAAACGAAAAAGAAAAAAATATAAGAAAAGAAAGTTTGTTGTTAGTCACATTATTACGAGTTGATATTTTCCACCAACATCTTTGATTTCATATCGCATTGCATAAGTCGTAATAACTTTTTTCGTTTTACATAAAATTTAATATCATGCAACATAAAACATAAAAGGATTAGACAGTTTAAACAGCCTAAACATATTAAAAGGCTGATATGGAAAAGCATAATTAACAGTTCCATCATTCCGGGATAAGCATTTAAAGCATTTAAACCTTCCACCAATCAGTTTTAAAGAATAAGGCGAGACATTTTTTCATTTCTTGCGATTTTGAATCAATGAATTGAAAATGAAAGAAATTTTAAATGAAATTTCCAATGTGTGACTTTATAACATTGCAGGGCATGAAAAATCAAAGCAAAAAAATCTTCAAACGTCAAACATCATGAAGACATTAACAAAGAACAAATACAATTGAACAGAAAAAGGGAAACAAGTAAAAGAAAGGAAGAACAGAAACAAAACGTTAATGTGAACTTATAGTGAACCTCCTCCAATGTTTGCAGTCGAATCAAGATTCGAACCACCTTTGACCGGGGACGAAAACATTTTAGTGTTTGGTGCAAATGCGTGTTGTTGTGATGAACTACCAAATATTCCAGCTACTGGCTGTTGTTGGCCCTGTGACCCGACCGCAACACCACCTTGCAAGGAAAATGACTTTGTTGGCGAACCCCCAAAGGCTTCACGAATAGAATCGTCCAAATCACCAAAAGCACTCTTGACAGGCGTCTTAAAGACGTTGCGTGCTGGTGAGTCATTTGTTTTAGGCGGTGGCGGCCGGGCCGGTGGACCAGCAGCCCTAATATGACCATCTCTAGCTTTTTCACCTGCTATTAACGATTGTTGTGCATCAATCTGCGCAGAGCCACCGTCGTCTGTCAAAAACGGATTCTCTTCCTTTCCAGCTGCATGCGGATAGTAATAATGATGGTCTTCATGTCATTTTATTAATTTCATTGTGCGTTGTATCATATTTCATTGTGAGTTAGAAATCAGTTTTTATTTTGAAGATAATTTGCGGAAAATTTTCGTCATCGACAATATTTTTGAGTTAGTATTTGAGAGAACAGAAAAAATAATATAAAAAAGAAATTATGTTAAAAATTAAATAATAATTGAAGGAAATTCACAAGGAAAGAATACGTCACAGTTTGAAAGGGAGAATTTCTTGTTGTCGCAGTAAAATTTTAAGTTTTAATTAGCCAAATGATTGAAAAGACGTAGAAGGAAGTATTGAATTTGATGATATAAGATCACATTAAATATTGTCCCGAATTTGGTATTCAACTCCATTGTAGCTTTCACTCTTCTTTATCATCAATTTAATTAATTTTCAATGCTTGTTTGCTTTCGTAGCTTTCATAATGAAGAAAAAACTTTAAGAGTAAAAATGCTTCTCAAATCTTTATCCCACATCTAAGGAAAGCTTCATTTCACTACTCTAGTTAGTTAAAGGATTTTAGTCTGTCATCAGATGACCATTTGAAAGGAAGAAGGAAGGAAAAAATAAAAGAAAAATCATGCAAATCAAACAAAAACCGTGTTGATTGTGTTGTGTAAGTAGATATGTCAATTAAATATTTAACCATTCAAGAAGAGTTACAAAGTTTCGATTCCAAAACTAACTTTTTAAAGTTAAATTATCTCAGTTAGAATTAAAATTGTTACGTTTCATAATTAAAACCAATAAATAAATAAAAAATGAAGAAAACTCAGGAAAATCATAAGGAAAGGAAAAGGGAAAAACATGAAAACATAAAAAATTACATACCGACAGGTTCAGTATTTCCAAATACTGACGAAAAATTACTCTCGCTTACAAAACCGGAAGTTGAAGTTTGTGTTTGAAGAGGAGCAGCATTTTGTGTTGAAACTCCATTAAAGCCTAGAAAATTATATGTTGGATTGTTTTTATACATTTAAAGCTGCTCCACATTTTCTCTTTTCACTTTTTCTTTAAACAGTATTTAAACATTTTTAGAAATCATAATTTTCTTCGAGAAATCATAGAAGAAATTAATAAAACAAAAGGAGAAATTAAGAATAGATTAGCCAGATTTTACTTTAGACAAGATTTTTCCACAAATTAGCTGACACGAGAGAAAGAGATAGAAATTTCCTATGACATCGAAAACGAAGATTTCTTTGGGAAGGAAACATTGAAGGGGAATGAGCTTACCATTACTCATCCATTGAGTTGCCGGAGGTTGTTGTTGTTGTGGTGGTGGTTGTGCCCCTGCACCACCAAACATATCAGCAAATGGATTACCCAACTGTAACAAGTCGTCAAGTGCATTCGTTTGCTGTTGTGGTGCAGCTCCTTGATCTGCAGCTCCAAACAAATCAACAATATTTCCAGATGACGCTGGGGGTGATGCAAGGAAGGGATTTGTGGCGTTTGTGGGCGATCCAATTTTTGACTGTTATCAAAAGAAATTACGAAACGTGATGAGAAATGCAAAAAGAAATAAAAGTTATTAAGAAATTGTCTTCATTAAACCTTATATTGATTCATTGCTGCTTCTTCTTCCGCCAAAACTTGCGCTTTCAAACTCTCATCAATTCCATTGCTATGCGAGTCGAATTTTGCTGATGATGCAGCGGTACCGAACGATGAGCTAGTAGAAGATAGAGCAGAAACACCGCTCTTTACGTTTTTCTGATTGCTACTTTTTTTTTATTAGTTTCATTAGTTATGGGATTCCAGTTTTGTTAATTTGTGATTTTGTGATAATGTGTGATGCAATTGCATGTGAATTATTTTGTGAAAATTTTTTAATCATAAATTTAAAGATGCGAGAAATAAAAAAGTAAGTTTTTGCATGAAATTTGTGCCAATTTTTAACGAATAATTGTTAAGTGCAAAATTAATATAAATTTTCGTGATTATAGACAACAAGAAGCCAAAAAATAAGAAATAAAAGTTAAATGAATAGAAAATTAGGAGATTTGTAAGCGATAAAGAAGGCGCACGCAATTCGATGGTGAACAGGAAGTTAGTTCGAGTGTTTTTTCATTAGTCAAAGTAGGGAAGAAAATTCAAAAAGGAAAAAAGAAAAAACAAAATAATGAAAATTACTAAAATGTGTAAAAAATTTGCCACTTTGCTTACTTCTAAAAAACATTTAATAGATAAAGCGATTGATGATTGTAACTTCACAGTCATCAACAGCTCAGATAGGAAACTTTTTTTTCAGTTCATTTGTTTGCATAAATTAGAAAGTTTTGTTGCGCAAATAGCTGGTAAATTTTGTGTGCTTTTTTAAGGAATTTTTCATAAATTGTGTGAGGGAAATTTTGAGTTAAATCATCGACTCAGGCAAATCTTCTTAGTTTGAAAATTATCGAAGATTTCAAAAACATTTACAATTCATGAATCATTCTTTAATCCTACAATAATAATGATAAGGAAATTATTCAAATTTTGAAAAAATTATCCAATAAAATTCTAAGAAATTTCTAAGAAAATGAAACTTTTTCTGATTCTAGCGCTAAATTTCTAATTGTGTAGTTTGTTGGTGTGAAACTCAAATTTTGTGTTCATTGCTTTTATGCATTTTTTTTTCTTTTTTTTCAAGTATCATTAAAATTAATTAAAGATTCTTTTTTCATGAAAGTTCCTGGAAAAATTCAATTAAAACCTTAAATTAATAAAATACCTCGCTGTTTGGGTTGGAGTGTTTGCTGCTGAGCCTTTCTTTCCCTCAAGTGTATTTAAATGCTGTTCAAGTGCTTCAAGCAATGAACTTGGTGCTTTCGTAAGATCAGGGATATCACCTTTGTCGATACCAATATTCTTTAATGGAAATTATCATTAATAATGACAACCAAATAATTTATTCTAATGAAAACAAACCTCAGCAACTTTCAAAAATTCTCCAACACGATCCATACGAGTTAAGAATTTCTTATACAAATCCAAAGCATCGCGACATTGCTTCTTATTCATGTCGAAGTATTTTTCGAGCAAGTTTATGATGGCATCATTGTAGCAAGCGAATAATCGAATCAAGTCACGAAATAGAAGCATGAAGCACATATTAATGACACCTGTAAAATGCGAATTCATTTGTGAATTAATGAAGACATTTACACGCGATTATTGTGTCACAATCCATTACCATTTGTTAAATCATTTGCAGTGCAATCAAATTCCAAAAGGGAATCCAATTGCTGTTGCAGCACGGGGAGTGTTTTCAGCAATTTATCAGTGTTCATAGTTCTGAGTGAACCTTCTTCTTTACCACGTTTAAGCTTGCAGAAGTCAAAAGCGCAAGCACGATAAGCGAGAGATTTTTCATTCAGATACTTTGCATAGCGTCTGATGAATGGTGACATATCGTAGCCTAAAAATTATTTTACGTAAATTAATATCAAGTCTGATCAATTTATCAATTTAAGATTTATTTTATTAATACACAGATTTTTAGTGAGAAAGTTTATAAACATTTGTAATCTACTTACCAACACGAGCTCCAACAGCACCTTAACAATTTGTTTTTGAGTGTTAGAAGCATTTGGTTATCAGTTTTAATGTTTTTTTATTTGGTTTATTTATTTTTTGTGATAAATACGAAGGACGAGAAAGAAATAAAAGCAAAGTTATTATTGAGTTTAAGTTTAATTAAATATTAGCTTTGTTAATTGCATTAAAAGATTGAAAATGAAGTTATTAGTCAAATTGATGGAAATTAATATTCATGCAATTAATGAAGCGACATAATTAACTAAAATTCAACATAAATTTCAACTCACCTTGTACGCCGCCTTTATCTAGGAAGTTACTTAAATTGAACGATGAATTACTTGACGCTAAATACTGAACGAATCTCTGTTAAATTAGGAAAACAAGCAAATTAATAATCTTAATAAGAAATAGTAATCTGACGAAAGCTCACCTCATTTCCATATGCAAGCAAGTGATGTGTTGTTATGAGAGCTTTGTAAACGACGACCCAATTGGCATTCTGTGAACGTTCCACCAATAAATTGGCCAAATGTGGTATGGAAACATTTGGTTCATTTGTACAATGTACTAAATCTGGAACAGAAGATAAAAAGAAATTTAATTTAAATCATCGTAAAGTTTCATCTTGAGATGAAAGCTCTTGTCCCACATAAATAAGAGAAATATTTTTTAAGAAATGTTCTCGAATGAAAAGCATGTGAAGTATTACTGATAAACTATTTTACCACTCATAATCTTTAATCAAAATAATTCTGAAACTAAAATTGTGGTCACAATTTGAGTATATAACCGAGAAAAATCATCAAAACTTCATCAGTTGTGTTTAGAAGTTTGTAAAAAGAGTAATTAAAATGATTAGCTCAAAGAAAGCTTTAGGCCTTTTATTCGATCGACCAAAGGAACCAATTTTTAAGGAGAAAGGTGATGAGGGAGTAATATTTGAAGTCCCTAAATCATTCGTTGCTGAACGCTTCAATGATGTAGCGTTTGAAGTTCAAAATCGGTTTGGTGACAACACCAGTCCTAGAGTGAGCGTCGCTCAAGGTGGTCGAATGCCAAATTACGATCAATTCACTAAAGGCTTGGATCGAGATGCGCCGTTCTCTTTATGGGTACCAAGACACTCGAAAATCGCTGGGAAATTGGTTGAGCTTTTCATGTCTCAAAGAAGTGTTGACGATCTTTTATCTGTTGCTGCTTATCTTCGAGATCGAATCAATCCACAACTTTTCAATTACGCACTTTCTGTTGCCACTCTTCATCGCAAAGATACAAAAGGCATTGACATTCCAACATTTGTTGAAACATTTCCTGATAAATTTATGGATCCGAGAGTTATACAACAAGCTCGTGAGGATGCTACGATCGTTCCGCAAGGATCTCGAAGGCCAATCGTCATTCCAACTGATTATACGGCTTCGAATTTAGACCCTGAACATAGATTGTGGTACTTCCGTGAAGATGTTGGCATCAATTTACATCATTGGCATTGGCATTTGGTGTACCCATTTGATGGACAACGTGAGCTTGTTGATAAAGATCGACGAGGAGAAATTTTCTATTATATGCATCAACAAGTTATGGCTCGGTATAATGCTGAGCGTTTAAGCAACAATATGGCTGCAGTTGATCGTTGGACTGATTTCCGTGGTCCAATTCGTGAAGGCTACTTCCCGAAGCTCGACACACTTGTTGCCAATCGATCATGGCCAGCAAGACCGGATGGTACAACACCCAGTTCCCTTGTAAGAAATGCTGATGATTTACGTCTTGATATAGGCGAATTAGAACGAGCAAGAGACAGATTATTACAAGCAGTTAACAACGGATTTGCAAATACTTCAAGAAATCAACGTGTTCCATTGGATGAAGTTAATGGAATTAATATTCTTGGCAATATGGTCGAGTCATCAATTCTTTCACCAAATCGAGAATTTTATGGAAATCTTCACAATTCGATGCATAATGTTGTCGCTTATGCTCATGACCCCGATCATCGTCACTTGGAGAATTTCGGCGTTATCGGTGACTCGACAACCGCAATGAGAGATCCATTTTTCTACAGAGTTCATGCGACTATAGATGACTTGTTCCAAGCACATAAGACTAGATTAACGCCATACACAGCTCAACAATTGACATTCCCTGGCATAACAATCACAGGATTCCAAGCACAGCAAACACAAGGACGTGCAAATGTTTTGAACACCTTCTGGCAACAATCAGATATTAACATGTCTCGTGGATTAGATTTTGTTCCACGTGGCGATGTCTTTGCACGCTTTACACATCTCCAGCATGTTCCATTTACAATGACAATATCAGTGACCAACAATAGTAACGCAATGAGACAAGGAATGGTGAGAATTTTTATGGCACCAAGAAATGGTTTTAACGGTAGACCGATGGCATTTAACGAGCAAAGACTGATGATGATGGAAACTGATAAGTTTATAGCCCAATGTGAGTGTTGATAAATTGTTTATTTTAACGTTTTCACCATTTTTAATGAATTTCAGTAAGACCTGGTCAGAACACTATTAATCGTCGTTCAACTGAATCAGCAGTTACAATTCCATACGAACAAACTTTCAGAAATCTTGATATTAACCGACCTGCGGTTGGATCGCAAAGAGAAGCAGAATATAATATTTGTGGTTGTGGATGGCCAAACCATATGTTGATTCCTAAGGGATTACCAAATGGAATGCTTTTCGATTTGTTTGTTATGATTTCAAACTATGAAGAAGATCAGGTTAATCAAGATTTAGTTGGTCAATGTACCGATGCTGCTCCTTATTGTGGAATTCGTGACCGACAATATCCTGATAGGAAAGCCATGGGATATCCGTTCGATCGTGTGGCCCGTTCTGGGGTTAATAATTTGAATAATTTCTTAACACCCAACATGGGAACACGAGAAATAAGCATCGTGTTTAATAATCGAGTAACACAAAGAACTTGAAAAAGTTAGAGAAATTTGTGAGTTCAACCATTATTTGTGAACATTTAATAATCTAATATCATTAAAAATAAATGCCAAAGTTGGGCAACAAGAAAAGTTGTTTCTTTGAATTTAATAATTAAAGCCAATGGTTGATTCCAAATTGTATCAAGAAATTTCTTAAACTTTACTAAACATCAAAGAACTGAAAGTTGTTTCATTTGGATGATGAAATTACAAAATAAAAATCATTTGATATTCATGGAAAATCACTTAATAAGAATTCCATTTTGTTGCGAACAACTTATATATAGCTTGATTTATATTTAGATGTAAGAATTAAATTAAATTTAGTGAAATAATCAGCAAAAGTTAAGCATTAAAATGAGAAGAAAAATAAAATCGATTTTACAAAATTTTTATCTTCGTAAATACGAATATAAAAATTTAACGGCATTTTTTTCAAATTTAAAGCGAAGCTTCTAGAAGCATACTTTAATTTCGAATGTTCGAAAATTGCGTCATTACGATTTCTCGATTGTTCCGAATCACAAGTGAATTAAAAAATTCTAACTTTTAAGAAAAACTACTAATTTTCAGCGAGTGAAAAGATTTTAAATAAGTGAAATAAAATGTTGTCAGCCACAAAGCATTTGTTGAAGCACTCAAATATTACACAGACTTTGATGAACACACGAAATGTTTCAAGTCTGATGAAAAATGTGAGTTTCTTGGTTAAAAAAGTTTTCTTTCCTCTTTTTCCATACATTCCAGTATTTTAAAAATGTGGCATTGAAATATTTAACGTAAATTATTTGTTATAATTTCCAGAACTTCAATCAATTTAATCGTCTCCAATGTAGATTCAAGTAAGTAAAGAAATTGATTTTTGCCGATTTTTTTTTTTCATAATTTGTTTGGAAAATTTCATCACTAAAATAAATTTATTTTTCATTATAATTTATAAAAATTATATAGATCTGAAGGTGTAAAAGGAGCTGTAATTGGTATTGATTTAGGCACAACAAATTCATGTGTCGCAGTCATGGAAGGCAAACAAGCCAAGGTCATTGAGAATGCTGAAGGCTCAAGAACCACCCCATCTCATGTTGCATTTACAAAGGATGGTGAAAGATTAGTTGGCATGCCAGCAAAACGTCAAGCAGTTACCAATTCCGCAAACACTTTTTACGCCACAAAACGTCTCATAGGAAGAAGATTTGACGATCCCGAAATCATGAAAGATATGAAAAATCTTTCTTACAAATGTGTGAAAGCTTCAAATGGAGATGCATGGGTACAAGCAACGGATGGCAAAGTTTATTCACCTTCGCAAATCGGTGCCTTCGTACTTATGAAGATGAAGGAAACCGCTGAAGCATATTTAAACACACCAGTAAAGAACGCTGTTATTACCGTTCCAGCTTACTTTAATGATTCCCAACGTCAAGCTACCAAAGATGCTGGTCAAATTTCGGGTCTTAACGTTTTACGTGTTATCAATGAACCAACAGCTGCTGCTTTAGCTTATGGAATGGATAAGAGCGAAGATAAAATGTAAAAATTTTCTCTTTTAAAATCTTCCGACGTTTTCTAACTTTTTTTTTTATCTTTCAGTATTGCTGTTTATGATTTGGGCGGTGGAACTTTTGATATCTCAATTCTTGAAATTCAAAAAGGTGTCTTTGAAGTGAAATCAACTAACGGCGACACACTGCTGGGAGGTGAAGATTTTGATAATCACATCGTTAATTATCTCGTGAATGAGTTCAAGAAAGAGCAAGGCATTGACATTCGTAAGGATCCGATGGCAATGCAAAGATTAAAGGAAGCTGCTGAGAAAGCAAAATGTGAATTGTCATCATCAGTTCAAACTGATATTAATTTGCCGTATTTGACGATGGACGCAAGTGGTCCAAAGCACATGAACTTGAAGATGACACGTTCAAAGTTGGAGAATCTTGTTGGCGAGCTCATCAAACGAACAATTTCGCCATGTCAAAAAGCTTTATCAGATGCTGAAGTATCAAAATCAGATATTGGGGAAGTTCTCCTTGTCGGTGGAATGACTCGCATGCCAAAGGTTCAATCAACTGTTCAAGATATTTTCGGACGTCAACCATCACGTTCTGTAAATCCTGATGAGGCTGTCGCTGTTGGTGCAGCTGTTCAAGGTGGTGTTCTTGCCGGTGACGTTACTGATGTTCTTCTTCTCGATGTTACTCCATTGTCACTTGGTATTGAAACACTTGGCGGTGTCTTCACTCGTTTGATAACAAGAAACACAACAATTCCAACAAAGAAGTCTCAAGTGTTCTCAACAGCAGCTGACGGTCAAACGCAAGTCGAAATCAAATGTCATCAGGGTGAACGTGAGATGGCATCTGACAACAAACTTCTCGGTGCATTTACACTTGTCGGCATTCCACCAGCACCCCGAGGTGTTCCACAAATTGAAGTCACGTTTGATATTGACGCAAACGGCATTGTTCACGTGTCAGCACGTGACAAAGGCACAGGAAAGGAACAACAAATTGTCATTCAATCATCGGGTGGTTTAAGTAAAGATGAAATTGAGAATATGATTAAGAATGCGGAGCAATATGCAGCAGCTGATAAGACGAAGAAAGAACGCATTGAAGCAATAAACCAAGCTGAATCAATTGTACATGATACCGAAACAAAAATGGAAGAATACAAAGATCAATTGCCACAAGAAGAGTGCGATAAGCTTCGAGAAGAAATTGCTAAAGTGAGAACGTTGTTAGCTGATAAGGAGAATGCTGATCCCGAGGCTGTACGTAAAGAGACCGGAAATCTTCAACAATCTTCATTAAAATTGTTTGAGATGGCATATAAAAAGGTAAGAAGGAAATGATTTAAATGTCTCTTTTCAATTCATTGAATATGAAATTGATTTTATAGATGGCAGCAGACCGTGAGAGTTCTTCAGGAGGAAGCACCAACAGCGAATCAACCACCAGCGAAGAAGAGAAAAAGAAGGAAGAAAAGAACTAAAACAACATTACAATTTCCCCAACAAACCCAATAATTAATTAAACTGTTTAGAATTAAATCGAGAAAAACACTTTAGATGATAATAAAATTAAAGAAAAAGAAAAAGTTGATGAATAATTTCGTGACGGCACTTGGGATGGTGAATGACGGTAATCGAAGTGGAAAATTTGGGTCCCAAGATTTTCCTCACAGCTGGTTGTCGCCCTTTTTACGTTTTTCAACGAGATTACAGTTGTCAGAGTCCACCCACACCATTTGCTGTCAGTCATGAAAACATTTCAACCAGTAATAAGATTTTTGTTTTATGTTGCATTATTGAAATTTGATTTTCTTTGTGATTCGAGACAAATAAAAAGAAGCTGAAAATGAGTTGGGACCGTAATGTTATCAATTGTATATTTTTGACCTTTTCAGTTCAATCAAAATCAACCTCGAAATGAAAGTGCTCGTCAGATGTATCAATGAGGAAGAAACAGAAATGATTTGGCGAATGAAATACAAAATAAAGTTAACGCCATGTGATTGCAATTTTCAAGCTTAAAGAATTTCACGAATGAATTAATACGAAAATGAGCGTTAAAGTGAAGCAAAAGAATGTTTTCAGACGTCTGGTTTGTTTTTCTTTTCGACACTACCCAATCATGAATGATTCGTAAAAGGTAAGCAATCGAAAAGATTTTAAATTAGAAATTAAATTTATTCGAAGAAATATTTAAGGAATTTCATTGATAACATTGACATATCCGTTCTCATCACTCTAATGAAATTTAAAAATAAAATTTCGGGTGGGCGGTTAAATGCTAATCAGAATTGTAAATTGAATCATCAGAATACAGAAAATTTTATGAAACCAGACAGAGCAGCTGGAATAATAAAATTTTATCTCTAATAAATCAAATTATACAAAGTATTGGATTGAAAAAGTATATAAACACATATCAAAGTTACGCAATTATGAATTAATCCAATAAGAATTTAATTAACTTTATCAGCTACATGTCACACAATTGATTGAATTTTCTTAACATATTTACGTGAAATTTGTTCAGCAACAAGGCGTTTTATTCATAAATCAATTTAATGATTGGCATATTTATCTAATTCCGACATTATTCAACCGCGTTGATCTTCTCAAATTTCACGATTAAAACTTTGGTAATTGAGAAAGTTTTGTTGGAGACGACTTTTCATATCGTCAACTTTCATTATCGTTTATCAAATGACTGAACAATGGATTTCTTTTCTGATATTTTCGTTCCTTTTTTCTTATCGAATAAAGAATAATAAAATGTTTGTTGTGAGAGAAATTCGAGTATTTTATCTTTTATTTGTTCGTAATACTTCATTATACAAAGCGGAAGAATTTGAAAGGTTATTAACTGATAACAAATCGAATCATAATTAAAATATTTTTATGAAATTCTATGCTGTCAGCATAAAAAAAAATAATTTTCTCTTTCCTTTCAATTGATTTAATTTAATTAAATTAAAGGACTCAACGTAATATTTTCCACCAAAAATCAATTATCTTTTCATTACTTTTCCTTCATTTTTGTTATGATATGAAAGTATTTGAAGATAAAGAATTCATACAAATCTTATTAAATATTAATCTCTTTGAAAAGCATGCTCGATGAGTTGTTGCTACAAAAAAGTCCTCAAAACTTCTTATCAAGAGAAATATTTTCCCATTTCCCTTCAAACTTTCAAAGTTAACTGAATAAATAATTAATCGCACTCAACATTCATAAAGTTTCCTTTCAATTAATTAAACTTTAAGGACGGCGGATGTTTAACAACAAACTTAGAAGATGGAAAGAAAAATCTTCGTCGCTTAAATCTTATTTTTCTTGTCGTAGGCTGAAGACAAAAAAAAATCGAACATTTGCACGTTCATTCAATAAAAAAATTCAGAACTAGGTCTGTCATTTGAAAGTTTAAGCGTCTTATGCGCATGTTCTATTCATTGATCATCTGCGAGTCGAGGAAAATAAAATAAATTCCCACACGTGACGTCACCAACACAAATGTGTGTGAGTTGAGAAAATAAAATTTTTGTTTGAATTTTCACGATTACTTCATCTGTGAACATTCTGAACAAATTTCCATTCCCCATTCGAGACGAATATATTCGAATATCTTTTTGTTTTTGAATTTTATTTTCTTTTTCTCAGAACGATAGAAAGAAAACATTTTCACAACCAATGACGCCCACGCACAATTTGTCTTTCTGAAGTGAATAAACTTAAAGCCACTTCAAGCAATGATTTCTTTCTAAGTGAATTGAAGATAAAAATTAAATTTAGTTGGAGTGTATCATGAAATGAAACTCCCACAAGTAATTTTATTCTGCAGTCTGCAGGCCATTGCGTAACTCAATGGATAAAAAGTGAAACATTTTCCGTAAAAATTCAAATTAATGCAAATTATCGCATAATTTTCGGCTACTTATAACTTAAGAACAAATTTAAATTTCATGCATTCATCGAATCAATGAAATGAAATGGCAGAAAGAGTAAGCAAATCAACGGAAGAAAACCGACAAAAACTTCCGTATAAATCTTTCAATAACTTCCACTTAAAAATGGAAGTTTGAAAAGTGAATAGGAAATATTTTCTCTCTACTCAACCGTCGAAAATTATTGCGAGATTTGCAGAATTACAAAATATTTGTTAACAAACAAGCAATCCAGCAAGAATATAAAAGCAAATTATTTCAATTATATTCTCGATAAGCTCGCTTTATTTCTTGCAGCATGACCTTCAGCAGTATGTCATTACATTGTCAATTTCACATCGATTTTCATTTCATCGAATATAACATTTTTCCTTCTTCCTAATTTTTCTTGTGACGACAATGATTGTAATCCTGACGTTGGAAGAACATCTTCACAACATTTGAGTTTCATTTTAGGTCTTTTGCAGTGACATGAAAAACATTGAAAACTTCTGAACAAATAATGAAGTGAAAAATGGCAACGTTGGGAAATTCAATTAAAACTTTCATTCCCTTAAACTTTTTCAGAAAATTTTATAATAATCGAAGGTTTAATAATTGAAAGTTGTAATCAAAATAATTATTTAACACTTGTGTGGAATTGGGAAAGCAACTTAATAGTTCAAGTTAAAAGGAAAGAATGAAAGTCTAATTAAATATTCATTCTCATACATTTTAATCTCAGGATGAGATACAAAAACAACATAAGGGATGATGATATTTATTATTTGATTTGCGAAAAGGAAAAGGAAAGCGTACGAATGAATATTCATCGTCGGCATTGACTTGGAAGTTTTAGCAGTTTGCAGACATTACTTTAGAATCAATTTAACGTTGCTGCTCTATCTAAATTTCATTTTGACTTTTCCATTTCTTTTCTCGTTAGCATCGTCATCTTTAATTCTTACTTAACAGAATAAAAGCGAGAAAGAAACGTGTTCGAAAGACGATGTTTAATCAATTAACACTTCGAATGTCATGCATCAGTAATCTGACAGATTTCCTTTTAACTTATTTGAAAAACATTTAAATTCCGCGTTCATCATAATCAGCTTATATGTATTTTAAACTTCCTTTTAAAGAACGTTGAAGATATTAAACGAAATTTACATAATACATTATCAAGTTCAACTTTTTATCAAAGCTTTGCGTCAGCATCAACAACTGCAATTTTTACATTTTCTTCATCATGTGGGTGGAGAAGATAAATGACTTGGGTCATTTTAAAGTAACTCTTGAGGGTTTTTCTAAATCTCCCTCGTTTCAAATTATTTATAAGATGATCTTACTTGAATTTCTTTCTGAAGTTTCAAATGTCTAAATGATTGCCACAACATTTAAATATCAAAGAAGTAAATCATAACATGCTTGAAAAAGGGATTAATCGATGAAAGCAAACAGACGGAAATTGAAAATGGATAAGATTACCAACATCAACATTAAGTTTCGAAGAAGAGTTTTTTAATTCTTCTTATGCAGCATTAAATTGTCTTAAGCCATATTTTAACGATGTAGTCTATTAAACACCCACGCTTTTCAGCAAGCTCTCAACTCACCATCTCATCATTTATTATTTGGCTTTTGTTCCCATCGAAATTGTAAACAAAAAAACGAGAAGCATTCCAAGAGGAAATCTGATTTTAAGGCGTTGTTTTCATGTCAGTCATTGAAAGCAAAGACAAGAAAAGAAGAAAAATTTACGCGATTCGTGACGAGGCATTTCAATGGTCATGAACGAAATTCTGGCGACGTGATTAGAAATTCTGCCGACAGGTAAGGATTTCAAGAAATGCTTTTGCCAATCGTTTTTTATTATGATAAATATCTTCTGGAGATTACTTGAAGGTTTGTTTTGAATAAGTTTCAATCAATTTTTAATGATAATAAACACTTTCACTTAAAATTGATTTCATGTTTTTCTCGATAGAAAAAATGTTGTAAGAATCTGATAGGAATGAAAGGTTGAACTTTTTTACTTATTAATTTACCGAAATTGTCGTATCAAAAATTTTCGAATCTCTTTGAAGTTAGATTTAAATCACCCAAGAAATATTTTCCCCAAGTCTTTTGAATCGAATGTTTTTGCAACAAAAATAAAAACCGGCACCAAAAGTCTGCTTGTGATCTTTCTTCTTGGATATCATTTAAAATAATATGAATCATTGATGTCTTTTGGGTAACATTATTTTCTACATTCCCCACATGAATTAAAAATTCAAATACATCGAGCACAAACGTTACTTAAGTTAACTGAGATATTTTTCTACGTCTTTCAATTTTTAGTGCGAAAACCTTCTCAACATAAAATTTCTCTTTTCTTTTCGTCTCACTTTATTTATCTATTCAGCTTTTTTGATTCTCATGTACATAAGTACAGCACGGAATGTCCACAATTCAGCTATGGAGCCCATGAAACCAGTTTTATTTCAGCTCATGAAATAGTACAACACAAAACGAATCGAGTGGAAGACGAAATGAAAATATGTGGAGCATAAAATATACAACGTTGCCAGTTTTTCAATTCATCTACTGGAATTTATGATTCAGTTAATTATCGTTTAATATGTATGCTACTTTACTCAATGAAAGTATCAACAAAAGAATATAAAAACCTTGGAATCTCATTTTTTATTTATTTATTTTCAATGCTTTTTATCCAACTCCCAACTTCCATTGAAAAACATGCAATTGTAGTATCTAAACCAGACCAGACAAATGAAATTGCATCACGTTACAAGAAATATTAGTCGTTTTACAGACGAGTGACGTAAAACGCAGTAAATTGATTTAAATAACTTCATAATGCAGCATGAACACATTTCAACATAAATTTGTGTTTATGCTTTTACGAGGAAGTTCATAAATGATTACATAACAAATGATAGCGTTCTTGACATCTTAACAGATTTTGTTTATCGTGATGAGCCAGTAAATCTCCGTGTTTTATTTTAATTGCTCGAGGTCATCGTAAGGCTTCTTTTGATGCTCTACATCATTTTTCTCTTCTCAACGGTAAATCATGGCAAACGACACCAAAACGCGATTCATCAGCATTGGCTTCGTTAGCGAGGCAGCATAAATAATTGATAGCAACGAAATGAAAATCTTGCAAAGACATGTTGCGTCATTACGACATAAATCAGTTTAAAGAAAGGCAAATGAATTTTAATGCTTTTATGATGTGATTCGTTGTCATTCTTGCAAATCATTTCTAGAAACAAATTTCTTGTTAAAAGTGTGAGAATTTCCAATATGACTTTTATCTGTTTTTATCTAGATCTGATGCTTTACATTTAAAGCAAATTTCGCTTATTACAAAGCATCTTTCTTTCGCAAGCTAAATAAACAAGTGTCAAAGCCTCGAAGCAATTTTTCGCCACCCTACTGCTTTATACTTTTAACAATCATGTGCAGGCGATTCTGCCGCATCAAAATGACGTTAAAAAGGGAAAGAAAAATGTTTATAAGAATTTGACATGATACTGAAAATTCTTTCTTAAGGGGAAATGTTAATTGGTGCAACTTAATTTTTTAATTTGTTTGAAAACCTTTTTTTGTTTGTATCAACAAGTATTGTAATGAGTAAACTTTCTGACATCTTTAAAAGGTGATTCCACCAACTTTAACAATGATTTCAAAGTAGTACATAAGGAAATTGACATTTTTGGCTCGTAAAATGTAAAACGTGACATTGAATCGTTTGCATCATAAATAATTTCCAACGAAAATCCCGCCAACAGAATTTAATTTGACTTCGAGTAAGTTTCTTTGACAAGAAATGATTTTGAATTTTGTTGATTTAATTTACTTTTAGTTTGTTATAACAAACTTAGATGTTGAGTTTGTCAGTCAAAAACACATGATGAAAGAAAAACTTTGCTGTTTAAGTGTTGAAAATATTAAAAAAAAGTTCTCAAAGTTTACTGACATTCGATAAGCGCATCCTAAGAACAAGAAATTCTCAATATCGACGTCATTATTCACGTTTGTCACAACAACACATTGTTTTCTCGTATAAAACAGCTTAATAAACAGAAGTTACGTCATCAATCCTCAGTTTCTTTCCACAACTACACTGACGAATGAAACAAAGTTTGGATGGTTTCACGAGCCATTTCGACAACTTCAGACCATCGTCCGAAAAAAAAGAAAAGAAAAAACGATAACGAAAGTTGAAGACAATAACCGCCGTCGAATGGTCGTTTAGAATCTGTATAAAAATTAAATAAACAATCGGTTTATGTCTCATCATGTATAAAAAAATCTTTTTTTGCTTCTCTTTCTTTCCTTTCTCATGCAATCAATTTTTCATCATTTTTAATTATCTAGTTCAATGTAGCAAGGTTGATTTGAAGCGCCTCTTAAACAGCATCTCAGATTTATTTTTATTTTATTTCAATTTAATTTTCTCACTTAATAACTTTTTTATTTTCATTTTGATACTTTGGGAATTGAATGTACAAATTTATAAGCTCAAGACGCAAATTTCATTTTAATTGCGAGTGTGAGTTTACTTAAAAGAAAGAAATGTAAACAATAATTGAATATTTATTAATTAATGGCTGGATATGCGCTAAACACATATTTGAATGGATTTCAGAATATTCTCGTCATGTAGCAGACCAGTTTTTAATCAACACTTGTTTCTTCATAAACAACAGAAAAAACGTTTCATTCTGTACTTTCATTTTGATTTTTTTGTATCATTTTCGGCTGTTTATTTCAATTACATTTCGAGGTTTTAATTGTATTCTCTCACACAAAATAGCCGGAATAAAAGAACATATTTTAATGACAATAGAAGACGATTTGGTTTATGTGTGTAAAATACTTGCGACCGAATGATGAGGATGGCAAACATTAAAACAAAAGGCAGGTGAATGATCTATAGACGCACAGAAATCACATTTAGCAACATACAAAAGAGTTGTGAAGATTAGATTCAGACTCTAACAACGATAAATTCAATTTTGACTGAAACAAATTCTGATAACAAAGAGAACTTTGAATCTGGCATATGGAAATGTTTAAAACCGTAAAGAGAGACTTTCAAATTTCAGAGAATATTTCGGAAGCAATCACAGGAAACTTGATGAAAACGAGTAAAGTTGGAAATGCTTGTACGAACAGAAACTGAAGGCTTTTCACTCTTCAACGCATTTTTTTTTTATTATATTCAATTCATTGTTTGTATTATGGCTTCATACTATCCCTTTTTCACAATTCGCTGGTCAAGCACAATTTTAACTTCTGTAATTATTCTATTTCACCTGCTACATGCAAAGAATTGAGATGCTAATTGTCTGGCAAACTGCGAACTCGTAAAAATATTTGAGTCTTAAAATCATTCAACATAATCAAAAAATATTGAAGAAGAAACTATAAACACATCGTAATCGAAACTAATAAGCATATTACAAAATAATTTCGTCTATTGATATATGTATGAAAGCACTTTTGACCGAGTTTCATTCACTTTCAGCTTAAACTTAGAAAGCTCAAGGACGATTGATTCATTTAAAGCAGCAACGTTGTTGTTTCTCACCGCTTCAACCGTGGCATTTTAAATGAAAACATCATCGTCATCACAGACTGAGCGTAAGTCTTTAGTGTCAACGAAAATCAAATTTGATCAAATTGATTAATTAATCGTCGACGTTTTCATCGCACTTTTCATTGGACAAGAGCTAGCGTGAAATACGAGCATAGTAGAATGATGTACTTACAGTCTAAATGCTTCTTTTTCGGTCCAATCATTTCCTCAGTCGTTGCTTTACAAACCGACTTAGCGAGCCCTTGACCAGCCAAACTGTGCCTGGCAGCTAAAAGTCGATCTTGTAATGTTTGTCCTGCCATCGCCATCTTTTCAGCTGTTTTGATTTAATCCACTGGTGTCGATGAGAAGTTTAAGAAGTTTAAGGGTGCTTTTTCGACGTTCCTCAGGTTAATAATCCCAAATGAAAAATTTTTAAAGGAATTTTAATGAATCACTTTGAATTTTTTTCGCAATTTCTTCTCTTTGCAATTTTAAAAAACGATTTTTTGACAGATGTGTCACTGTAATACACTTGAATTCACTTTATCGTGTTGACCGATGGGTCAATAATTAGACCCTATTATTTTTTACCACTTTTCTACACACGAATACGAAAAATTTAATAATTTTACGATTACGATTGAAATCCAATCGAAAACTTGACACATAAAGCGTCGCCTCACAGAAAAAAAGAATTAAAGCGACGACGTGAAACCACCAAAATTTATTTCGAAAATATCGAAATTCTTTCTTTTCCTTTTCGAATCTTTACAAGTTCAGGCACGTTTCTTAAATATTTATAAAATTTATCTTTAAATTAACATTTTGACATTCTTCTCTATTCTATATAGTGACTTGCTATTAAAGCTTGTTAAAAAACATCAAGATGGTTACTCAAAAGAAACAAGTAAGTAATATAATATGTCTTGTATTTAATTCCTTTAAATAGTTTATATTTTGTTACTCAAATGCATACAGTCAACCTAAATACGATTACAAGTTAAAGTTATCTTAAATGTTTCATATTATTTTCACAAGTTATTTTTATATTTATAAAAAATATTCATTTTAAAATATTTAACTTGAATGTTTTAGGTTATATGTAATTGCAAATTATATGCTCGATTTAATGTTTCCAAACATGATTAGTAATGCAATATTTTTTCTCTCTCGTGTTTTTAGAAAAAGGCCTTAGAATCCATCAACTCCCGTTTGGCTTTGGTGATGAAATCTGGCAAATACTGCTTGGGCTATAAACAAACTTTGAAGACATTGCGTCAAGGCAAAGCTAAACTGATCATTATTGCCAACAACACTCCACATTTGAGGTGAGAAAGATTACTGAGAAGTAGTTTCTCGATTACAAATGGGACCATATGGAGTCATTTCGATGACTGAGAAGTATGATTCCTTTCGATACGCTATGGAGTAATCTTTAGTGACGAAACTTCTCATTTCTTCGATCGGCTTACATTTGGTTTCAACAAAAAGGTAAAATTTAGTGATAATATTTTATCTAAAACCTCACTCTTATTCAAATAGAAAATCAGAGATTGAATACTACGCTATGCTGGCCAAAACTGGGGTTCACCATTACAATGGAAACAACATTGAGTTGGGAACAGCTTGTGGTAAATACTTCCGAGTTTGCACATTGTCAATCACCGATGCTGGAGATTCTGATATCATCAGAACATTGCCAGAAGCACAGACTGGTGGAAACTAAATCATTCTTATGTGAACATTGAATAAAGTTTCTTAAGATTGAACCAAATGTTTTTGTTATCAATTATTTTATTATGTATATCTCATATTCTATTACAGCTTAAAAATGTTTTAAATTGAATACCATCCTGGAAGTCCTCTTCTATTTTTACTCCTGCTCAAAAACTTTCTGAAGGTTCCTTTTGATTCTTCCAGAGGTTTTTCATCCTCTCTCAACTGTTTCTTAGTTTCAGAATCTGAAGGAAAAATATCAGGAAATTCGAATTTTACGTCTCTAGGAAAGATCACATAAGCCAGTTTGTAATCGTCTGCTTTTTTTATGTATCCTTGAGTCTTATCGGCTTCAGTGGGTCCAAGTGCAATTCTTGTTCGAACATCTATTACTGGAAGATTGTATATCTGGCGAAGATAGTTTCTAACATCATGAACCGTCTAAATATAGAATATTTCACACATAAGAAACTGATTGAGGATCAACAATATGAGAGCTCACCATTTCCATTGAAACATTGAAAGTCACAACATGTTTTGGTTGACGATGCTCCGGTTTAACTATCTTCATCCAGAAATTGGGCAAGAAAACCCGAAGTTGTGGGTTTCCTTTTTGCCATATTGGATACCATCGTGTTGACATATTACAACAATAATTGTTATTTAGAAAAAAGTTGTGATAGAAAACCTAAAAAAAATATATTTTTCAGAATCGGAACAAGTTGGAAGTGAAACGTATGTTAGTAATGTGGGAAGACTGTATTTGCTATTGGAGGGGATTTGCTATGACGAATGTTATTTTCTCAAAATATTCTTAAACAAAAATTACTAAGTTAAAACAGAATGGGAAACGAGGACTTGATGAATAATTCTAAAGCTGAAAAACATTTGGAGCAAAAGCGAAAATCAAAAAAGATTAAAAAATTTTATAATCTTTTAGATTTTGTGGTGGTAAAGAACAAAAACACAAAAACGCAAAAAATCAAATATGTAAAAGTATCAAAACAAACTCAGAAAAGAGGAAAAATTCGAAAAAAGAAAATTACCACAATTAAGAAACGAATTTTGCGAGAGAGAAATGAGAAAAAAATTAAGATGGAAGAAGATCTGGTTAACCAAATAGATCTGTTAATAATGAATGAGGGAAAAGCTGATGAAAGTAAATGCTGTGATGATTTGAATAATCAGTTTACGGAGTTAAAGGTTTCAGAGCCAGTAGAGCTAAACTTATCACAAGAATCAGAAGAAGTACAATATAATAATTTAAATCACATCCAGCATTCAAGAAATTTCAGAGAGTACTGCGACCACTTTATCACTCAAGATATCAAGAAGTTTACGGAATTAATCTTCAAAGATCTCTTCAAGTTTCAGGAGAATAAATTTCAACAAAACCCTGGTAAGATTTCGTATCATTTGTGTTGGATTATTTCATAATAAAACGTGTTAAAACAATTAATCTTTTCAGTGAAAGCTAAAGCGAATAAACGTTACGTCGTAGGATTTAAGGAAGTTAAGAAGTTTCTTATCGCAAAGCGTTTGAAATTAATGTTTATTGCACCTGACCTAGCAAGAAGCAAAGAAGTCGACGCTATTGTGAATGATATCAAAATCCTTGCAATCGAACACAACGTTCCTTATGTGTTTAGCATTAAGCGACGGCACATTGGATATCTTCTATTAAAAAAGGTCCCTGTCAGCATCGTTGGAATTTTTGATTATCAAGGAACGACTGATAATGTTAATTCTCTTCTGAAAAGTGTTCAAACTGAAAGAAATAACTACAAAAGTAAAATAAAAGGAGTTTTTCTATAAAAAAAGATTTCTTGTCTTTATTTGTTCGTAAAATTTGTCTCTTAAAAGTTTCCCAGCCGCCAAAAATCATTTATACCCGTGAACCATTTCAAGTTAATGAAAATAATTTCGATTGAAATCTCCATGTTACTACATTTTTGAAAGTATTAAAACAACGAGCATTCAATTTAGAGAGATCTTCCTCCCAAGATTTTTTTGCGTTGACCGAACATGTGAAGATACATTTGAGGGAACAAAGGAATGTAAGAGAGCATCACAGCCCATAAAAAGTAGAAATATGAAAATGTGAAGTTTATTTTGTTCGGCATTTCCACACTCCATTGCTTCGTTTCTCTAACATGAGATTGAGCCCAGTAAAAGCATAATAATTCACCAGTAACACCGATTGGATACAAAGCGATAAATGTTGTATACCTGAAAAATACAAAACACATCAAAGTAAAATTGTGGATTAAGTATTGCATTGGTCGAATCACTTTCACAACTGAAGATGCCCGGGTAGCTCAGTTGGTAGAGCGTTGGACTTTTAATCCAACGGTCCAGGGTTCAAGTCCCTGCTCGGGCGGAAATTTTTTGCATTTATTTTATTTATTTTTTAAAATTTTATTTGTCAATAGAGAAACTTCTTTTCCAGGCTAGAGAAATAGAAAATTAACTTCAACCTTTGTTGTAAGTAGTGAAATATAAGGAAATTGTTTCACTTTCCGATAGAAGAATTGGCTGATAGTTGAAACAAAATATTATTTAATATTTATTAAGTTCTTCTAACTCGTTTTGTCATTTTACTATTAAAAATAAAAATTAAAAAAATATGCAAAAAGTTTCCGCCCGAGCAGGGACTTGAACCCTGGACCGTTGGATTAAAAGTCCAACGCTCTACCAACTGAGCTACCCGGGCATGTCAACACAGTTGGCAAAAGCGTAATTTGAAAATGATACGAAGAATGAAATCAAAGACTTTGCACAATATTAATCTACTAACTTGTTGCTTACCTTAAATACACAAGAATATGAGGAACCGATCCAAGAAGATTGAACGCGTAGTAACTGTATCTAATAATTTCGGTAACACTCCATGCTAAAAGCGCCAATGGAAGTCCTGGAGAAACTTTTCCCGTTGGTGTTGCCAAGACAACCCCACACACCACCATAACACGTGATAAAACTTGCATGGTTGTTATTACCAGATTACTTTTGACAATTCCAATCGCTACATGGAAGATCTGAGAAAGAAATTAAAATAATTAACAACGTAAGAAAAAAGAAATCGACGGAAACTACCAAGGAAACAGCAAAATAATTTTGCGCCCGATATTTCATTTGCGCTGTGTTTACAAATCTGGTCAAACACTTCAAATTTGCATAAATGCATCAAGTTAATCATCACTAAACTTACCTCAAGTACTGCAGCATTTTGAAAAATAATGACCGTCCAACAGATGAATTCCCACAAAGTTTGAGTCGTTCCCCGATGTATTGTATAGTAAGCAATTAATTGGTACAGCATGTAGGACCATCTACATGGTAAAAAAGAAAAGAAGTTAATTTGTTTACGTCATAAACTTTGTAATCAAACCCGCCTCTGACGTAAAATATCTTTAAGGTGTTCAAGAAATTGATGACATCAAAAAATTTTGAAATTTAACTTCATTTACTTCATCTTTTCATTTGTAATGAAACTATAAGTAATTTTAGGAAACTGAACTTTCAAGTTCGTGGCTTTTGTTTGTGAATAAATTTAAATAATTAAGTGAACTTTCTACTCACCCAACAACCATAACTACATTATAAAGAACTAAGTAGTAGGTCGCTATTTTTGAAGGCTCTCTTTGCCTTTGACTTTTTCGTACGGCATCCGTCGTCATCATTCGGCTGAATTATTACAATTGAACACTTGGAAAAAGAAACTACAGCAAAATTGCTTTACAATTGAGGGGAATTGTTATTGCTGGCGAAGTGTTGCCTGATGAGAATCTCAAGTTTTTGTTACGCGACAACACTCAACAGTGTTTTGACGTTTCCCTCTTTAGTTTGTGACAGCAACAGAAGTGAACAGAATTGAAAATGGGTGCACGAACAAAAACAGCAAAATATGCAGTTGGATTTACCTTTGGTTCGTTTGTTTTAATAATAATTGCATTCTCAACACCTTACTGGTTACAAACTGATGGAGAACTGGAAGAACCTAAATTCACAAACCTCGGTAATTTTTAAATTTCATTTTCGGGTGTGGTTGATGAAACATCATATTAATGTTTTGATATTTTAGGATTATGGGAGTTATGTTTAAGTAACTTTGAGGATGTCCATCGGTTCTATGATGTGAGATTTTCAGGCTGCATGTGGATATTTGAAGAAGAATATTATATTATTCATGACTTCATCCTTCCGCCATTCTTCATCACAGTTCAATTCTTCTTCACCCTCGCTTTCACATTACTGCTGTTTTCTGTTTTACTCACTCTCTTATTCCTGACATGTTCAAAGGATCATGAGCGCTACATGTTACTTTTAATTACAAATGGATCATCTTTAGTTTTCGCTGGAGTATGTGCAACGTTTTCAGTGATTTTGTTTGGATGCTACGGTGACTCACGCGATTGGATGCCAAACTGGGAACACAACAACATGGGCTGGTCATTTGCTCTTGCTTGTCCAGGCTCTCTCATGCTTTTCCCAGCTGGTATTTTATTTTTGATAGAAGCAAGACGTTTAAAATATAAACGTTTGAATGAGATTGGCAGTCGTGATGCAGCTTATAGTTTGGAAGATAGAAGACGATATGGTGGTCACACGGACATTTAAGCACGCTGTTCATTAACATTAATCTAGATTTAGTCATATCAAAATAGCTAAAGCACAAAGCTTTAAGTGCCTTCAAATGACATTTTCAACATTAATTGTTTAGTTAAGATCTGAATTCAGAATCTCAAAAATTAAAAGACATTTTATCATAAAAGTGACAATGAAACTATACCGTCCAAAAAAAATTAATTAATTATTAAATTTAATTTTTATTAAAATGAAAGAATAAATGAAAAGAAAATTCATAAATATTTAATGCATTTTTATTTGAATTGCTTTTCAAGTGGTAGAATTTAGGAGAGTAAGAGACTCAAACATGAAATTCTCGAATGCATTTTGATTGTTTCGTTGCTTCGTTGCACAAAGTGAGAATTGTGAATAGTGACTTCAAGAGAGTTTTATGATTGATTAATGAAAAGAAATTTTGTTATCAATGAAAATTTTCATTTCCTCTTATCAAAAGTCATTGAAATCTTTTGTTTCACTTTGCAATTTTAAAATTCCTTAAACTTCAGGAAAAAATCATTATTTTTTAATAAACCATGGCAGGTAGATTAATTCAACACACTACAACCGTCTCTTTCCAATTCTCTTTTGTTTGTTTGCTTCGCGCTCGCGAGGCTTGTGTTTTCAGTATTATCGATTTCATTAAACGAGAAACACACGAAATTTTTTTGTCGTGAGTCTTAAATTGGAAGCAAAGGAAAAAAAAGATCATAAGAAAACGACATGCTACAAAACTCAGATCTACTCTCGCCAGGGCGCGTCAAGAACTTGTAAGAAAATCGAGTTTAGTTATCGTTTTGTGTTGAATACGAGTGGTTGGTGGAAAGTTGTCGAGAGTTTAGTTTAATTTTCAATTCATATTTTCACTATTTTCTAGTATATTTTGTTACTTTAAAAATGTACGTAATTCGCCATTTTACAATTTCTAATTTGTCTAATGTAAATAAGTTATAGAAAAAACATGATTTTTAGTGCACGAATGTGATAAATTGTTTTGTCTCAAAGAGTTGATTTCTATACCAATTTTCTAGCATATAAAGTTCAAATGATTATTTTGGAATAATTTGTGGTACTAAATTGTGTAAAGTGCATAATAATAATAAGAAATTTGTGGAGAAAAGTCAAAAAATTAAAGCTTAAACTCGATAATAAGTCAACTCTCTTGAAAACGCCCGAGTTATTCGTAAACATTTTAACTCAGATGTGTTGTCGTTGTGATGTTGCTTGCATGTAGCACTCGATCGTTCAATGTTGCGCAAATGACTCAACTTTGCTTTACATTTTGACAAAACAAAACCAATTTTGCTTTCCGTTCTACAAAACTTTCTTTTCATTCATGTTACATATTTCATTCTGTTGACGTCATTTAAAATCGTTTCAATGCAAAATTCTAACGATATACGGAAAACAAAACTTATCGCTGATAATATAGAGATCGGGACAATATAGCTTTTTTACTACTCTGCAAAAAGTATTTTATATTATCAGCGATTTGTAAAAATTAATAGTTGTGCAATATGGAACTTACGGACAGTAATATAGGGATTTTACAGTTGTGCCATATGTACCGTTTGAACCGCATACATATCGCTTATAAATAAGTCTTTTATTAGCCATTAATAATAAATGAGAATTCGGTTCAAAGTTAAATTTATACAGATTTTTATTTATTTTTATTTAAATATTGAAGTTACTTAACATTTTCATACTGCTTCAAGAGATCATATGCCAAGGCTTCGTTTCGAATGTTTTTCACTTTTCTAATTATTTTAGAACTTATTCTTGTAATCGAAGAATGTAAGTTAAGTTCCTTTATTTCAGGTGCTCTTTCATAGGCATCAACCAAAAACTAAAAAATAAATTACAAGAAATTAAAATGTATTAATTTAAAATAATTTAATAACTTACCAATTCGTATCCAGCAGGAGTGCGAAGATACGGATATCTGTTGACGTAGTCGATCGTTGATATTTCAGTCTTTAATGTTTCTTCTCGAATCTCATAAGTTTGTTTCCATGCTCTTTCAATAGCGTTCTTATTACTAAAATCATTTCCTTCTATGATTTCAATTGCATCTGTATCAATTGTCGGACCAAAAATATCCATTGAGCTATCGTTTTGTTCTGATACATGCCCAACACGTCTTGTTTCTCTTCCAATGGATTATATATCTTGATAATTTTCCACGATGATCCTCTTCCAAACATTCATTTGTATCATAATAAGCGTAAGGAATTATGAATTCAAATGATTCAGTGACGGTCAGCGACTAAAATGGGTAAAAATCATGAATTAAAAACAAAAAAAATTAATTTCATTTAACTTACCTCTTTTGTTGGAAAAACGTCCATCCTCCACTTGTCAATTAACCAATTGATGATAAACTGTGTTTTTAAATGTTTTTTTGTTTGATTTGAAGCAAAAAAACACTCAAATTGAGTTTATTTTTTATTTTTGATGTCACTTGCACAAATTTCAAAGGTTATTGAAGTTAAATTCGAAAAATTATCATTCCTAAATATGCCAGACAGACTGTTATAAAGTGGCATAATGTCAGCATTCAAAAAAATTTATTAACCGTTAATAATTTCAGTTATAAAGTTAAAATTAAATGTCAATAATAAAGCCTTAGAAGCAGTAATAAAAACTTAATTGCAGCTTGTAAAACCATATTGCAGAACTTAAAAAATTTTTTTCAGTGTAAAGAGTAATGAGTGTCCCATTCAATGTTTTTAAATTTTAAAAATCTTTTGTTACATAAAATTTCCCACTATTATTAAAAACTCTTCGTTTAGAATACAAAATTGTTTTGGATAACATGCCAAGTCGTCAAGTACACTTTATCTGCAATTGCACCGTCAATAGCAAACCATAGAAATTGCATAATGAGCATTCATTGTATTAATGTTTAAGTTGTTCTATGATTCCATTTAATATAATTTTTCAATGTCAAATGATTCCAATTATGAAATCTTTTCCATGATTTGTGGTAAAAGATTCCGTCATTGTTTATTGGCGGTTTCTTTCCTAAGGTCAAGTGAACCATTATCAACAACATCGTGACAACATAAAACAATTTGCAATACATAATTTAAAAGAACATACAAAAACAATTTCAACCCTCATTATGCCAAGAGTTTTGAAATTTCTGAGTGACTTGTTGAATGCAAAAATTGATTTCAAAAGTTTGATAAAAAATTTCTTTACTTACTGAGTGAATATTGTTTCACCCTTGCATGTGCAATGAGGCATTAAAGTTATTTTGAAACTTTTCAGCATGTCTAAAAACAAATATTTTGATTATCTACTTTGTAAATTTTAGGGAAGATATGAAGCGTCGAACGTTAGCTGGGAACTGTGGAGTTGCAGTTTTCGCTATTGCGTTCTTTTGCATTGTTGTCGCTTTCTCAACACCGAGTTGGTTAGTCAGTGACTACCGTATAACAGGAGCTAAGCTTGACCAATTAGGATTATGGGTTCATTGCTTTCGTTCTTTACCGGATGTCAATGATGATTATCAACGAAGATTCTTCGTTGGATGTCGATGGGTTTATGATCCATTCACGACCGGATATGATGGAATTCGCGGATTTTTAATTCCAAGTAAGATTCATTAAACTAAAATTTATTAAATGACACTTAATCGCCTTTTTCCTTTATTTTTCTAACAGTTTTCATGATATTCACGCAATTTTTCATGACATTTTCATTTATTGGAATTTTCATTTCATTGATTCTTGTTTTACTTTACTTCCTTTGTGGTGGACCTGATCAGAAACATTTTCTTATTACGCTAAAAGTAAGTTCGTATCAGAATCTGATTGAGAATAAAATTAAATATTTCATTCGTTTTTTTAAGGTGACAGCTTATATTATTCTTGGCGCTGGGGCTTGTGCTGGTATAGGCGTAATAATTTTTGCAATCTTCGGAAATCGTGACAAATGGATGCCTGGTCATGCCAATAATTGGTTCGGTTGGTCATTCATTCTTGCATGTATTGGAGCATGTGCAGCTGGCGTTGCTGCATCCTTATTCTTCACAGAACATCATGTACAAGAGCGTCGCGTGAGAAGATTCAAAGAATCTCAAATGCGTTTCGAATTAGAGCATGAAACGAAGACATAATATTATGCATTAATAGACACAAATGAATTGTGACGCCACAAGAATCGTCCAAGAAAAAAATTCCGATGCATAAACTTCACAACAAGCTTTTAAATTTAATGTTTTGTCTCTATTAGTCATTAAGCATTATCCGTCCAAAATTATCATAAATGACGCTTCGTATATAAGAAATTTTCTAATTTACCTACAAAAGACAGATTTGTGTTGATTCCTTATTATCAAGAAAGGAAAAAAATAGAATAAGGTAAAGTTTCCCGTCCATCTCTAATGCATGCTTTGCAAATTCCAGATCTTATAAGAATTCTTATAAATTTATATGAGAATGTAAATAGAATTATTAAATTAGATTTAAATTTTTGATGACTCAAGTTGAGTGTTTTAATGTTGCTTTTTTCAGATTTAAAAGAGTGGCACTGAAAAGTTATTGTAAGAAATTAAACACGAAATAATAAAAAAAAAGATGGAATTATAATTTTTAATTGATTGTTTTTTAATCACTTGAGTGTTTAAAATGAGATCTTAAAATCACGAGAAGAAAGAAAATGAATGTGTGCAAATTTTGTAAGAACTGATTTTGTTGCAGCTATTTAATATAACTAAATTTCAGATAAAATGTTTGAAGGAATTTATTTTCAGAAGAATCAAAAATTAGGTTGTCAAAGTTATCAACAAACAATGGAACATTCCCAACATAAACAATCCAATCGGTTATCCAGTTCAACCGGTTCATTTTTAAACATTTTCATTCAAAGCTATATCATCGAAAGCTTTAAAACTTGCAAACATCTTCCATCTCTTTCAAATAAAAATTCTCCGACCGACTTTTCATACAAAGTAGACTCGAAAAATATTCCGGGTGAGAAAATTGTACACACTACACCTGAAACTGACTTTCTGGGGTAGCAGTTTTAGGTGGAGAGTATGAAATCTCTAAAGCATATATATAGGTATATACCTATATTCCTTTCAACAAATAATTTTACAGATAATTTGAATTATTTCACAAATTTTTTATTATAATTGTGAATTAAACAGCTAATGGAGTCGCACTCAGTCGCACAGTCATCGATGGACCATCAACATTCGGAACATCCTTCGGGGAGTGCCGAGAAAAAAGTAAAAAATCAATAAATTTCTCTTCTTTAAAAGTTTTCCCCATTGTTATCTTGCCACCTGCTGTTTTTTTAAATATCTTTTAGAAAAGAGTGACATTTTGGTCTCCCGAGGAAATGATAACACCACAAATAATCCAAACGGAGTCTGAACATTCGAATCTTTTAGTGGAAATACCAGATCCTCATGAAAATATACGAAACCATCATCCATACCCCAACTTCAGCCAGCAACATTTGTTATCATCACCTTTAAAATATAAAACTGAACCTGAGTATCAATCGAGCGTACAAGTCACTGAACAGTCATCAAGTTCAAGTTCTTCGAAAAAGCCCAAAAAAGAAATTGATAGTACTAAAGCGTACAAATGTCCATTATGTGCTTATAGTTTCAATAGACGTGATCATTTAACAAGGCATTCACTTGTTCACAGTAAACTAAAGCCGTACCATTGCACTTACTGTTCGAAAGACTTCACTAGAAATGATCATCTGAGGAGACATCAACAAAGGGTTCATGGGGAAGAAACTGCGGCTGCTGCAGCTTCCATGCCTGATATAACACAACGTTTTGTTTGTCAGGAGTGTAAAGCTATATTCACAAGTTCTGGTCATTTAAGAGTTCACATGGAAAATAAGCATCACAGTGATTTCACCGATTTCATTAATCAGCATCATGATCAAACACAGTTGAAACTTCACTCTCAAGATGGTTCGTATGTCATTGTAGATGGCAAAAAGCGACCAGTATGTCAATTATGCAGCAAATCTTTTGCAAAAAAAGATCATCTTAGGCGCCATATAAATAATATACATGCTGGAATAACAACATCATCTTTTGACCAATTCACACCGGAGCAAAGCTTCAATTGTACTTTATGTGGTAAACGATTTTCTCGCCCTGAATTTTTACGCCGCCATTTGGATGATGTTCATAATCATTCTGGTCATATGGAAATAATCAATCATTTAAGTTCTAATAACCCTTACAATGGACAAGGAAATTCGTCAACAACAATCGATCCAATGTTTCCTGTTCCACCCCCACACTTGAATTCAATGTTTGGATTGACAAGTTTTGAAAACACATCTACACCTATAGCAACATCTACACCAATTAAAGTCAAAAATACCACATTAAAGACCCATAGTTGCAATATATGTTCGAAGAATTTTACTCGTCGTTATCATTTAACGCGACATCAAAAGACTTTACACGGAGGTGTTTTCGACAACCCTCAACAAAATAATTGTGAAACTGATACACGACGTGCTGAATATAATTCCCATCGGTCTGAAGCATCCTCTAGAACAGATTACGATAGCCCTCGCCCGCAGTAGTTTTCTTCTTAAGTTTCAATTGCTTCTATGTATTTATCTGTAACTTGAAGATTGTGAAATATAATTAAACGAATAAAATATTTGAAATACCTAATAACTAACAAATTTTTATAGGATTTTGAGTTAAAGACTTTCATCAAGAAAAATTATAGGACTTGCAATGAAACTATTTCAATGGGAAGAAGTTAAATAGTCTGTGTTTACATTGTGGTGTTTACATTATGCAATTACTCATATGCGAATTCTAATAAAAATTCTATTCCAATATTTTTTATATCACATGCACCTGAAAGCAAAAGTTTAAGTGTTTTGTTAGAAGTAAAGTTTTTTTATTTGCAAGAATGGTTTGTTCCTTAAGTCACCGATAATTGTCCACAAAAGATCCAATTTCTTTTACATTATTAGTGCGCAACATGTGAAAGCATGTAAAATTGAATGCGAATGTTCAAAAATTCTATTTCGAAAGTTGGAACCTTCTTACCCCTTGTCGATATTTTTTCTCGGCCAAGCCTTTGTTATTTTCATATGAGAAGCATCGTGTTTTTGAAAAATAAGAGAAAAATTTAGAAATTGGAATGAAATCTGCATTAAACAAACGATGGAAGAAAAAACAAAAGAAAATTTATCAGAAATACGCAAAAAGTTCTTTCGGAAAATTAGGAAGAAAGCGGAATAGCGTGGGAAAATATTTTATTCTTTTAAATGGAAGGAAAACCAAATACGCAGCTTTGTTAACATTTCTTGGAGACAATAAGTATATAACCGAAGAAGCAGTAACTCTCAGTGATGAAATCATAAGGCGCACAAAGAAGAGGTTCTTGATCTTACCTCATCGAAAACGCTTTCTGAAAAAGTTTGAGGTTATAGTGACTCAAAGTTTCAAACAAGGCTATGAAAAACTTTGTTCTGAAGTCTCACAGAAAGTCAAAGTAACACCAATAAAAATATTTAGCTGCCAAATTTGTAATCATAAATTCACAAGTAAGGATTTATATGATAAACATTTAGAATCTCACAACAATACAAATAAGGAAAATGATTCAGCATCTGATGGAGAGCTGGTTATTGATGACGACGTAATATTTCTGATTGATGAGGACTCCGGGAATAATGATCAAAACTCAAATGAAGAGACGCTTCGCTTGTTAAAAGTTGAGCCTACAGTGGGTGAGTTTTATTGCACAAAGGATGGCTGTCAATTAAAATTTACAAACGAGGAGGATCTCGTTTCTCATAATGGATTTTATCATAAGCCCAAAGAAAAACCATTTTCCTGCAAATTATGCTCAATTCGTTTCTCTAGAGAATCAGGACTTCTGGCTCATCAAAAAATTAGTCATCCTGTTGAGGTTAAATTACCGAATGAAAAAATTCCAATTCGCCGCCGTGAATCCATGTTTGTTCCTGGAACTTCAAATAATGGTTACAACTCTAAATTAAATTCAACAGCACTTTTTCCAGGACCTTCTCGTCGTCAATCAGTGTTTGTTAGTAAGGCTCCTTTGAATGTGAGGAAAGTTGATCCACCACGACGGAATTCGACGGCAAATCAACAAACAAATGGTAACGCCAGCACAAAGAGAAATATAAAGTTCCAAAGTTTCCACTCACCTGATAAAACAACATTCGACTGCAGTGTTTGTTCGGCAAAGTTCATAAAGCGTAATTTCCTGGATCGTCATATGTCAATTTTTCATGTTGCAAAGAAGTACATTTGTTATCATTGTAACATTCCATTTGCTTTACAGTTATTACTGGCACATTTCAAAAAATATCTTTCCAATAATACACAAGATTTTGGATATAAGAAAACAATGAAAAACTTGGAAGATGTAGCAGCATATCAATGCGCATTTTGTAGATATTTTTCAAACGATCGAAAGCTTACTGAAGATCATATGAAAAATGAACATTACGAAGAGTATGAGAAAAGAAGTGATTCAAGTGGAGATGATAAGAATGATTCACCGGATTCTCTGGATTGTCTACTGCCTAAGGCGTCTTCATCCTCTTCGGAAAAGGAAGGAAACAATATTGAAATTCCAGAAAAAACAGAGCAGATGACATCATTACACTATCGTTGTGCAAGATGCTTTCAAAGTTTCTCCAATAGCCAAAACCTAAAAGAGCATTCATGCAAAAGATATGAACAGGACCATTATAATTTGGCTTCGAGGAATGAGAATGATGATTCATCTGAAAAAAATCAAAATGAGGATGCTCATCAAAGTAACAACCGACTGACTATCAAATCACAGATGGTGAATGGATTCTTTAATTGTATATTTTGTCCAAAAATTTTCACGGATAAAACAATGTGTGCTGATCATCTTTTATCTGCTCATTCATCTCACGGAACCTTTCATTGAACCATAAAATTTTATGCTGAGAACAGTCCGTTCTACCCATAACTGATGACGATGATGAGAAAATTATAAGACTGGATCCACCATTCTGCCACCTTCGTATTATTTTAAGTTTCATAATGACTATCATAATAAAAAACATCAATTTCACTACATAAATTAAGAAAAATGTATTAAAAGAAGAGGCTGGTGTTTATTATATAAATTGTAATCTCTCACTCCTTAGAAAGTAAGAAAAGTTATAAAATAATGTTAGTATATTTTAGAATGGATTATGAGTGGCAATGTTTCCAATGAAACAATTTGTTAAAAAATTCAACGTTGAGACTATTTGAGAAAATTTGAAACGAATATTTTTCTAGCAAATTTTTCCCTTTAGATGTCAACAAATATTAATAATGGTCTTTTTATTTAAGTTCTTCTTTTTCCTAACTTTCTTTCAAAGTTGGAGGGTTGTTTTTATTTTTATCGTAAGCACCAGACTCTTCTTCAATCTTTAATCTGCTAAAAGTCAGTATATGATTCATATGATAAAGTATTTCAATTAAAAATTTACACTGCTGCCTGGATTGAATTAAGAATAATGCAAAAGCTGAATAGTTTTATATTTTTAGTTGCAAAATTGATTTTTGCCGATAGCATAAACAATTTCGATATTCGACTTCAACATATAAGCGTTTTTAAAAGAATTTTCATTATTATGCAGCAACTTGTTGTTTATCGGTTCAATCGGTTCTATGTTTGTCATTGTATTTCTCATCAGAATCTCACAAAATATTCCGTTTTCATTTTCTTTTGTAACCAAGTATATGTACTCGAAATATCAAAATGTCACAGCAGATTGAAAAGAATGAATATCCGAAAGCATCAAGTAAGTGTTTAAAATAAATTTCGTGTTAATATCATTAAGTAAATGATTAAAACATCAAATTTAGTATGTTGGTTGACACACCCTATGAAAATATCCTAACACAATATTTATATTTTTTAATTAAATTTAGATTCACTTGTTGTTGGTGGCTTGCTGTCTTATATTGGAGGAGTATTTCTGCTGATGTCATTTGCTTCTCCTTATTGGATTGAAAGTTATAAAGAATCATTCAGCAGCTTTAAAAACATGGGATTATGGGAATATTGCTTCAAAGAGTTCACCTATCCATATTATCAGTTCCCGAGAACCTTTAATGGATGTCATAATATATTCAGTCATGTAATGGATATTTAATATGTTCTTTAAACATCAACTTATGTATAAATTCTCTGCATATTCTAGGAATATTATGTTATCCGCGAATATCTTCTTCCCGGCTGGCTGATGGCAGTTCAAACATTTGTAACAATTGCATTTATCGATACTTTCGCAGCCTTGATCATAATGGCATGTGAAGTTTGTCGTTATCCTTTGAAGCTTGTTCTTCGTTATGAATGGTTTTTAACAACAACTTCCTTCGTCCTAGTTGCAGCCTCGTCAATTTTTCTCTTCTTTGGAGTTTTGATATTTGGTGTCAACGCTTACCGAAGAGATTGGCTTATGTATCCGAAGTTTAACGTCATCTCGTGGTCTTTTGCTTTCGCTGTGGTTGCCATGTTCTTTCTTGGACTAGCTGCACTCATTCTTTACAAAGATGCCAGAACTGCATATGAAAGACGACGTGAATCAAAGAACCTTGTCCAACAAATGCAAATGCATGAAACAGCAAGTATTCCATCCTCACACTCTAGAGGAATGCATGGTTACATATAAGAAATAACATTTAATAACACGTCCATTTATTTACACATTAAGTGACCTTAAAAAGATATCTAAACGATATCAATTTTTAACACGTCCATTTTGTACACATTAAACAAAATTTAGTTTCTAATTCCTTTTAATGTTAGTAAAAGAATCTCTCATTTAAATACTTGAAAGAATTAAGTACACAATCATGTTCTCTCTGTTTTTGAAAATATTTTACATGTAGTAGAAGAAGTTGATAGAAGAAAAACGAAAAAGACATTTTAATAAAGAAAAATATGAGATTGAAAAATTGAAAATTAAAGTTTTCCCAAATCCTATTCTTGAATCATACATTGATAGATTTTACTTTCATCTTTTCATTTCGTGTTTATTTTTAATCAATTTCGAAACATTTCTATGAAAAGATTTAAACCAAAAAGTTTCATTTTGGGGAATACATGGGTAGCACATTCATCGTAAAATCTTTCTGGCTTTAATATCAAAATATAAGGAGCGATGATGATGATAGGAAACATCGAATTCAATTTGATGAAGCAGAAAATTGGAAACTGATGTTGTCGAAGTTTTGGCTTATCAAGATATCTTGATCGGTAAACCTAATCATCATGAACATTTATGTAACGAAATGTTGATGAATAAAGAAAGAAGTTATGGGTTGAGTATTTAACATAACTTTATGTATAATCAATATGAAGTAAACCAATTATCCAAATTACAAATAGAATGTTTTGCCATGGTCAATCCCTTACATCATTATGTAGGAATTATCTTCATTATTATTACATCATTTCATAAATTTACGATCAAAAAACTTCCATAGAGAATGTGTTAATCATATTTCATGATAAGATGATGCAGTCTTTCTCGTTCAGATATCGATTTTTGGCTATGACAGATTTTTTACATTATTTTTCATATTTTTGCGTCGTTGAACTTCCGTATGTTCAATCATAACAACCTTTATTGACTGCTTTGACTGTTATGCATAAGATAAAACGGGAATCAACATATAAATAGACAAACAACAATAAATTTTTAACGTGAAGAAAAACTTTTTCATCGTTAAAACTTTACAGCAATGTAAATTTACCTTAGCTATCAGTGGGATAGGTCTGGTAATGACGTCAGTTAGAATGGCTCGATAAACAAAACAGAACAGAAATTTAACATTCCTTAGCGACATTTCGGGTTGTTATTAAGAAAACTCATTCAAAAGTAAATTGACATTTTCATAACTTATTAAAGCTTTAGCAAATTTCAGAGAATATCTAGTTTCATCTATTTGTAAATGACTTTCTCATTACTTTTTCACAGAATTTAATTTATTTCAAAGTGCTGTCAGTAGTCTACATTCACAGAAGTTTGCATGAACAGTATCATAGTTTACTTTAGTTTGCAATTAGGACAGTTTTGATTGTCACAATGACTTCCTTGATCAACTTTGTTTGTCATGATTTGAGAAGTGTATGTGGGAGTGTTGCTAAGGGAATTTTCGGTATTCAGAGAGATAGGATTACCAGTTACTGGGTCGATATACAATGGTGCCTCTAGATAAAGAAGAAAAGCATTGAAATTCAAAATGAATTGCTTATGTGATTTCAGACAAAGTTACCATAGCATTTGCTTTGCTGCAGATTCTTATCAATTATAACTGGTTCGCAAGGGTTTACAATTTCAGATGTACTTTGCATTTTCCAGCTTGGAATGTTTTCTCCTTTTATCTTTACTTTCTTCTCGCAATCTTCTTCCATATTTTTAATGTATTTATCAAGTTCAATATCTTTCGTAGGAGGAAAAGACGTCATAGGAGTCTGATGTGGAATTGTCGTGTCTGTGTTCAACATTTGATTTCCCCATTCGTTAGAACTAACACTTAATATCTTCGTTGGTTGAGATGCTTCTGAGTAAGGAGGATAAAATGATTTACATGAAATTTCATTTGAGTATAAAATGAATTTGAAAAATTCCATATAAGAACTCACCATAATCGTTCAATCCATTTTTACGGAGCTTCTCTTGTTCTCGTTTTCTTTTCAGTAAACTCATGATTATGTAAGACTTGCTTGCCTTCTGCTTCTTTACTTGCACAGTAAATTTTTTTTCTCCAAAATTCAGAGCTTTAGAAATTTGCTTTCAAACACTTCGAGGGTTATCAAAAGAATGATGAAAACTTTAATAAGCACTTTGCATCTGCAAAATCCAGAACGCTCTGAGATTTTATGAAAAAAGAAAAGTTTTATGAATTTTTCACCCCTCAACACTTTTATATTAAAAGGGGAAAAGTTAAAGAAATTAAACTGCATAAAATGCTTTTCTGAAATGGAAAGTGCAGAGAAATTCTATCGTGTTAAAGATAATCTTGTATATCGGTTTAGGATGCATCTCTTGAGATAAATTTGAACAGCAGAAAATCTTTAAACTTGCATGCAGTGAACTAAATTTATGCTTGATCGAATATTGGCAAGGGAATATGTAGAAATCATCTCAATTGGAACTATTGAAGCATAAATTATAAGTTAGCTTTCAGACCGGCTTTTTCTGATTTAAACAGTAAAAACTTTCAGCTGATTTATGTCTTGTTTTGTTTCATAGCAACATTGAAGGAAGTTATCTGTCAGCTCATTTCTTTTATTTCAGCTTAACACACGGGAAAACAGAAAAACAAAAATAGTTTTCCTTTTCATTCGATTAGATAAAAATCTGTATACACTGAGGCATCGAATTTAGTCTGACATCATCATCAAAAGTTTCGCAAGCTTTCATGTGATAAATCTTTCTTTGTTCAATTCAATTAATATTTTGCCTCGTAAGTTACCAGTCGCAACTACTACAAATTTTTATTAACTCTTCAGAATTTCCTTTGAAATTCAGATTAAAATTGCTACAAACGTTTTCAAATGTCGACTTATTGATGGTGAAATTATTAACACCACCTATAAATAAATTGATTAGCACTTTTAAGCCCAATGATTTCCGTAAAATAAAGTCTGTTGTAAATAACTTGTGATTGTGAATAATTTCAAAGAAAAATTAAATCATTTCCATGTTATCTACACGCCCTTCTTATCAGTCAGTTCACGTTGCTTAAAAGCCTGTGTGAATCAAAATTCCATTCAGTTTTTAAATGCAATCGGAAGAAGTTTAATTCAATATTTTGGTAAAATAATTTGATGAACAACATTATGGGGTAATAAACAATATTTGAGGATAAAATTTTAAATAACTCTATGAATAAATTTATTCAATTAAAGTAACGAAGCGAGTGAATTCCACAAACAATGTTTAGAAGCACACAATGCGTACAGAAAGAAACATAAAGTAGCATCGTTGAAACTTGATAAAGAACTTTGCATTTATGCACAAGAATGGGCTGATGTGAGTAATCAAAATGATTCTCTATGGTTACATTAAGGTGAAAAGTTTACAAATTTATTTTTGATGAATTGGAAATGTTCATCTATGTAAATGTGTGAGAGTTATTAAATAAACGCTTTCAGAAAATGTTCATGTAGATTAAATACATAAATAAGTTATTCACTTTTAGTCCATCGCAGCAAAGTCAGTGATGCAGCACCGTAGCAACAGCAAATATGGTGAAAACATTTATTACTTCTACAGGTAGCAAACTCCCATTCAATTTTCCTCAACATTCCTTAAATTTGTAATTTAATTTACAGTTCTGATCCAAATCATAAAGTCCATGGAAAAGACGCTGTTGATGTTTGGTATGATGAAATAAAACAGCATACGTTCGGAGTTGAACCGAAAACAATGGGAACTGGACATTTCACTCAAGTTGTGTGGAAAGACTCGAAGCACCTTGGTGTCGGTGTCAGTAAGAACAGCAAAAATCAAGTGTTTGTTGTATGTAATTACGATCCACCGGGAAATTATGTCGGAAGATATAAAGAAAATGTACCAAAGGTCGGAGGGTTTTGAATTAGTGCAAAATTGAATGTTTTCTCCTTACATTTATCATCTCATTTTGTTCCATGAAATAGTTGACTCATGTATGTATCACTTCTCATATACTTGAATCATTCAATAAATTTTTATTTAAACATGACAGTAAAAGTAAATATTTTTTCTTTGGAATCTTAAAAGTTTTATCAGATGAACAACTCATACATCAAAATAAAAAAAAATTGTATTCAGTCATACGAATAGGAAATGACAAAATTTTTTATGTTTCAACAGTAAAATAAAATATTTATTCTGAGATTGTAACAAAGAGCTTTTCAAGTTTATCCACATACTGAAACGATGAATTTCACAAAACAATGGGAAGAGAAAATGTTTCTGAACTTGAAATATGTATGTGAATGTTCTGTTATCAGCGAACAACAGCGACACACGCGATAATAGTTTTTAAAATAAATGACGTTGAAACAGAATGTTTTTAATTTGATTTGGGAGTGACTCACGTTTCAATGCAAACCCTTCTCTCATTTATTATTGTTATCAGTACGGAATTCCTGAAATTTGACCTTCGCTAAAACCAAAACAATTCAGTTATTGCTCTTTTTTTCCCTCAGCCCAAATATTTGTCAATTTGCTGTAATAAAGATAGAAATGAGAACAGCATAGTAAATAGATTTACGACTTTTGATAAACGACCATTACTGACAGTGGAAAATATTTATTTTGTTGGACGGGACGATGCTTTTTCATAATACTTTCGGTTCTTTCTTTCTTTCTTCAATGTTTCCGGCGTTCTTTTCATTAGAAAAGTTCGTGAAAAAGTTTCATAAAAAGAGAGAAAGACAGGAAAACCGTATAATAAAATAAATTGTTTATCATTGAAATTATCATCTCACTACACAAATCATTCTTCCTTCTTTTCCTTTAACTGTCGGTGATATTCTTTACGCTTCAATACACTTTATACATACTTACAATGGGAAAAAAAATCTTTCTCATCAAAATGTCCAACAAAGCGAACGCACTTTTTCTTCGTTATTGGCACTTTCTTTTGTTGTCACGTAATAAAGGTTTATCAATAGTTGTCGCTTTTTAGAGAAATCTTTACGTTACATCACATGACAATTTTATTAGCAATAACTATTTGAAATAGATGGAAAGATGGATGAATAGTCAACCATAAACTCAATGAATGAGTAAAGACATTAAAGTATAAACATTATTGCTGGATACAGATTATGATTGATTAATCATTTGACTTTAGAAAGGAAACGTATAAAAAGTTGCTTTTTCAACCATAAATCAACTCAGTTTAAAAATTTGATTTGATTTTGTTTTAAGTGCAATTGTATTTAAACTATTTAAAGCTACTTTCGCATTGTTATAAATTAAGATTTTATTTTGATTGATCATCGTCATGAAGTTTCTTGAAGTTTATTGCAGTGGATTATAAATCAGGAAAGAACTTTTATTGATATTTATGCCATCTTTACTTTCTTTTCAATCTCTAATAAAATAAAACTTACAATGAGATTTTATTGCTGATGGTAACATAGTTTTATTCTTTTGAAGGTTGAAGCATCAAGGTCGGAAGTTGTGACTAACAATGATAATAAATACAGTCACTTAATAAAATCCCGGGGAATGAATCATTTGTTCAAATCGAATTGTTTGTTTTAATACTTCCAATTCCAATTATATTGGACATGACACAATTTATTTACTGCCAAGAATTTTATTAATGAGGGTTTGTTTCGGGGACAGATCATAGCACTTGATATAATTAAATTGCTATTTTATTGCATCACGATCGATGGCCAAAAGATTCATAAAAAAGCTTCCACTAAAAGCTTTTTTTGTTTTATCGTAAAGCTTCGTTGAAATACTTGACGTAAAAAAATGTTTATTTGTGAGTGGTAATTCACGACTCTTCGGAGACGAACAATTCAAGATAATTGAGGAGGATTTTCTTATGTTTATTGGTCATAAAGAAACCATGAAAATGCTCAACGAGATAAAGTTAAGGTTGAAAAGTGTTCACATTATTAAAATTGAAATTAAAATTTCATATCGTTGTTGCAATGCAAACATATTTAAAAACAGTGAATTTGTAAAACGATGTCGACATGTGAATCCACATGAATAAATGTTGCCTGATATATTTGGCCGAAGAAACGACTTCTATCGTGCATAAAACATAAACTCTTATCATGCAAATGTGTATGCATCAAGCAAAGCTCATTTCAATTCTGTTCTCGTTTTTATTTTTAATGTAAACATGCAAGAATCGAAACTTTCTCAATCTACTTAGTACTCGTTGCATGTTTGCATTTCAAAACATTTCCTTTTTTATATGTTTGCATACAAAACATTATATTACAATTTTTTTGGCACAAATCGTTTATTTAAATAGTTGAAAACTGTAAACTTTTATAAGTTTAGTTATAATTCAAATTTTCGTACCTAAACGTGCAAGGCACATGGAGGCTTCAATTATAAGTTTAAAGTTGAAACAAGTGAAAATCTGCTTGTAAAAAAATTACTTAAACTTTTCTCTGTGTGAATAATTTGTAGAACAAAATCCAGAAATCTATTTAAATGGTAATTTCACTGCAGTTTACTTTAGATTGTTTGAGAAAATGTTTTAATCTTTCAAGTGAAAAGAGTTTATGTTAAATGCAAAAGTTACTCCAAGCAAACATGATAAAATTTTCAATAAACCTAAGCTTAGCTTTTAAAATTAGTTAGATTTGATGTTGATTTTACTGTTGAACTTAGAAAGTTCATAGATATTGCTTTAGATCTTATCTGGAAAATCTTCTTTTAATTTCTCTCGTTACCTACGAGAATCATATGGTGGAGAGATGATGTCGGTGATGTTTATCAAAAATTTCAGCATTTCCAAATGCAGATGTGCATGAAACTTGATAATAAATTGCTTTCAATTTTTTGAATATTTCAAACCAAAAAAAATCTTTAGAGATAATTTAGTAAAAACTTCTTACAAGTTTCTTGAAATTTTCTTAGTTTTTCATGTCATATCAGTGTGACAAGAAGACATCTATGATATATCATTTGAAAACTTATTCACATTTCAAAAAAAAATTCCAATTCAGTTCGTTTGAATGATAATCACGAAGCTTTTTTTCTTTTTTGAGGTAAAAGTTCTCAACCGATAAACATTTAATTTTTTCAACCGATTTCCAATATTCTGCTCTCGGATTTGACTCTCAATTTCATGTAAAATGATTCTCGTGTTCCTTGGCGAATTCAGAAAGAAAGAATAGAAGAAGATAATTTCTTCAAAGGTGTAAAAAACTCATTTTTCATTTTTCTCCAACGCATAAGGTCAAGATCAAAGTCAAGAAGGGACGAAATAAATTTGTGGAAGATTTTGATGAAAATAAAAAGCTTTTGAAAATAGCTCAAGTTGAAAATTAACAGATAATGATTTGTGGTTTATCCAAATCTTGTTTTTATTTCTTACCAGACAAGGATAAAAGTCTTCTCCCTTCTTTAATTGTTCACTGACGCATCCATTTCCTTGAAATTTCTTCTTGAGGAATTCAAATGCTTCAGACATTTTTCAGACGCAAAGAAAATCCACTGACAAGAGTATGAATTAGCTTAAATAATACTACGAAGATGTCTGAAAAGCTTTTACTTTATAATAAAAATATTAAGCGCTTTAAGGAACATTTAACACGCAATTCTTTATAAGCCACAACAAAATTTCATCCACATTAAATAAATCCAAGCTGTTTATAAACATGGTAGTGGTAAGGAAGGAAAAAAAAGGGAAGGAGAACAGTGTCCTTATCGATCTGTCCTATTTTTGATATGAATATTTTAATACTGTTAATACGGAAATACTCCAACTTTGACTTTAAGGAAAATGCTTTACCAGATTGCGTACAAACTCATTCACACACACGCTTTTATCTACTTGCTTATATATGTATCTATGGTGCTTTTCATTAAACAATTCCTCGTTATTGTCAAAACAAACGATCCCATTTTCGTGCTATCAATCAAACCCATTAAGCGCTAATCTATTTTCACAACACCAAAAGCTCTTTGTGGGGTTTGGCAGACAGAAAATAAAGGAAGAGAGCAAAAGAAAAGCAAAATCATGACGTTCTCAAGGACTTTGCAAGGAATGTTGTTGATTGATTTATACTCGATAGTGAAAGAATTAAAAGAAAGGATTTATTAATTGTGTTGCTTTAACGAATGATGCTGTCAGTATTATCATGAGAACAAAACTAACAAACATAAATACGACATTGAAAGTTATTGAGAAGTTTTCAACTTTAAAAATATACAAATAAAGTATAAATTTCAAAACTATTATTTAAATGAAAGATTTCATTGTTTATTTTGAAGAACTTTTCAATCTTCACTTGGAAAATGTTTTCAATATTTTCTTTTAAGAAGATATTTTATTTATTTTCCAAACTCCATAACAATAAATAATTTAAATGTTCTTTTATATTTAGACCTTGCGCTTAATATTTAATGTTTTTAGTTGAAATTCTCTTTTTACAACTTGTGAATGTCTTCTTATCGAAATTTATTGTTGGTTGCAAATTGTTCAATTCGAGTCTTCCGAATTCAATTCAAATATCTTTCTTAAACTTTAAACTTTAGTTTATTACGAAATAAATGCTGAGAAAATTGTAAATATTGCGGAAGAGAAAAAAACGATGTTTTCAGTACGAATTTTACGGAACATCAATTGAAGACAAGCTTGCGTTTTGAAGCGTAATGCTTTAAATATGTCGTAACTCAGTTATCATTCCATCAAGGGAGGAAATTAAATTGAGAATGTTTGAAATGGAAAATGGAAAAACGATAAACAGTTTTATACTTCGGAGAACAAGAAAAATAAGAAGAAATTTTTTCATGAAATTTTCTTGTCATTCAGAATTGAAAATGAAATCATTTTTGGAAGATTGAATAAAATTTGCAAAATCAGTTTTTTTTTTGCTGAACGTGAGACAAGAATTGTCTTTTATATCAGGGTTTTCTTATATGTGTCCTTTCTCATATATTATGAAGTTCACCAAACATTCTTTCAACATCAAAACGAGCTTTAGACAATCTTTCAGGAAGTTTAAAGCTTTCATTCAACAAGCTCAAAAATGTCAATAAATTTAAGACAAGAGGATTTTCAGGGAAACTCTCAAGTCACTCTTAACTTCAAATTCGTAATGATATTGATGCCCCAAGTTCACCATCGTCAAACAATCAGTCTTTTGCAAACAGAAGAAAAGGAATGATGGAAAATTCTGACAACATGACAAATCGAAAAACATCTCTCAAGTCCTCTAAGGATATTCGTTTTACACACTTGTCATCCTATTGAGATTCAATTTTCGATGTAAGAAAAATTAATTCCCTACAGAACGAATGCGGTTGGCAAAAAGCGACATTCATTTGTCTTTTGCTACATTTCCATTGCTTTAAGTTTTACGACTTCCAACTACAAGTTTTTATGGAAATTAGCTGTGCTATTATTGAACGAAGAACGAAATGGAAACATTTAAATAAAATAAAAGTCACACAGAAAAACGAAATTAAACATTAACAACATAATTCACCAATAGCGAAAAGTTTCTTTCAAGACTCTAATTAAAATTAATTTTCTAAAAAGGGATGAAAAAGCTATGATGAAAAAACTTCTAAATAATTCTAGATAGATGACAGAAAAACATGAAAGGGTTGCCAAACTCATAGTTAAACTCTACTTCAGTTAGATGGTAACAAGGGGGAAAAACCTGCTTGTCATCTTTTAGAAGTTCAAAGAAATTTTTCAGATTGAGAATTTTTGAGTCAACAAAGTTTAATTGCACTCATGGAAGTTTTTAATTGAGGTCATGGCATGACATAATAATTCCTGTTTAAAAAATATTATATGTTTGACTTACAAGCTGCATAAAACTTTTAATGTTTCAGATTGTTGAATGTCAATCTTTTCTTATTACCCGGCCTTGTGATGATATTTGCAATTATGTTTTTTGTTGTTTCTTGTTTCTTGTTACAAAACTTGCTGCAAGTCTTTTCCTTTTCCTAACTAACCATTGCCTAACAGCAAGTGGCTTTCCAAAACAATGCCAAAAACATTTGTTAACAATTCTACTAATTTATATTTTAAATTTTATGTTGAAATTTTATTTAATAAGATTTGTGCTTCTACTCAATATTCCAATGTGACCAACATGTAAGTTTAGTTGCATAAACGAATGTTTATGAAACTTTTTCAATGAGAAAGGTTTTAAAAAATATTCCATTTAAAAAGGAAACATGAATAACTTAAAAGAACAAATAAAGCTTTTTATTTTTATAAAAATATGGAAATTTTATTGTGGAAAATGTTGTAATGGAAATGGCACATTTCAAGAATGATTGCGCATGATAAATGTGGAAATGTTTCATGTAAGAGTTTTAAACACTGCTGGTGTTGACCAGCACTGATGACCTCGATCAAAAAATGTTTTCGGTACAGCACGAGTTGACATAAGAGCAGAAGTCGCAGCATGTAATCCGATAGAGACACAAATCTCTTCGGGCTTGTGGCTAAGCATTCCTGCAATAAAACCAGCTGCAAACGCGTCACCAGCACCGGATGCATTCACAATTTGATCCAATGGCTCTCCAGGGTAATATCGACAACCCTTTTCTTCCATTTTATCGTTTACATAGATAAAATCTGAGTTGAAAAATGCATTTCTCCCTCGTCTTCTTTGAACAACCACGCCACGAGAACCTGCTGTGACAACGATATTGTCAATTCGATCCTGCAACGCATCACACAGTTCAACGATTTCTCGAAAATCATCATCTTGTTCTTTGACAACTGTTTTGAATTCTTTTTCGATTTGTGAATGGCTGTCAAAATCAGATGACAATTTCAATGCTACAGCAATGCTTCGTAATTCTTGAAGATTCGGTGAAATAAATTTAATTTGTTCATAGCAATCTCTATCAAGTTTGAAAGGTTTTCCCGCAAGTGACATGTCAGTTGGTTCATAAAATACTGTTAAGAAAGTTTACTTTTGATCTCAAAAGCGAAAAGAAAGAATTTAGATTGACCATACCTGGTTTATGGAGTCGTTTAGCCAGCAATAAAATGGTTTCCATAGCTTCAATGGAAAGGTTGGAATCGATACATATAAGAGGCGTCTTTATAAACAGCTTTTCATTCCTTTTAATCTATATAATGAAAAACAATCGTTATTGCTTTCTTGTAAACACAAACCTTGACATATATCAAAAGCTTTACCACATCGGGAGTTATCTCAGCATGAATCGTCATATCACCGGCACACAGCTTACAGTCTCCGCTTCTGTCTAATATTACAGCACAATTGGCAGTTGGAGATGTGTCGGAAATTTGACTCCCAACAGTCGCATGATCTGGTAATGTTTTTCTTAAAAAATCTCCGTTTTGATCGTTTCCAAATGCTGATATCAACATCACAGCTCCATTTAACTTTTGTAAACCTTCAGCAATGTTACGCCCAACACCGCCGCCAGAAAATTTCGTTTCAGATTTATAAGTTGCGCCGTTTAGCTTTGTAAAGTAAAAAAAAGAAAAAAGAAAATTTTATTTGTAATAAATATTTTTTTCGGAGGAAGAAAGAAGTGAAAGGAAAACGTATTTAAGGAAAATTTATTGTTCGCGAGCATGTTTTTAAAATAAGTTTTATGAGCTGCGACGACAACAAGCGCGAACTTTTCTTATGTTTCATTTGTCGTTTTTCCATTTGGGTGAACGTAAACATGGCTATAAGTTAAAGTGCAATGACCGAAAGTTAAGTTTAATATTCGTTATAAATTTAACGCCAACGCAAATAATAAAGTTGAAGGAAGGTTGTAAAACTTTTGTTCTTTGGATATCATTTCACAAGAGAAGGAAATTGAAGACCGAAATTGTTTTATTTATTTTGACTTTGCATGGAAAATTTTGTGGAAATCATACATTTAAAGAAAACAACGTGAATATTTTATTTAGGACAATGCGGAAGTTTCCAGTTTATGCAATATCAACGGAAATAGATTCAGGAAGAAGGATTTTTGCTTATTGCAATATGAAGTTGATGAAGTGGAAATTAAACAACACATTTTTCCCAACTGAGGGTCATTAGTCACGAAACCAAAATAATGTAGTATTAAAATGGGTTAAAACTTTTGACCAACCACGCCAATGCGACAACAAGCTTTCACGATTTTTTCCCCTTTTCCAAGTCTTTAACTTTAACCCATTGCATGGTGTTTAATCACCGGAATCACATCACATTTGTTACGAGAAAAAAATAATACAAATTACCTTCAATTTCAGTGAATATATTTAAAAACTTGCTAATCATGACTTTCCTGCTTCGTAAATTACTATACGCCCACGCTAAGACCCAACATCAATAGAATGAATTTAATCTGACATTTTCATTTCGTTTCGAGTTATTTTTAGGATTTTCCTTATTAAAGGAAGAATTTTTGCTTGGGAGTTTAAAAGTTTGATGAATGAAATCAAAAAGTTTCATCTGACAAGCCACTCCCAAAAAAAAATCTGATTAAAAATTTATTATTTTCATTAACGGTTCATTAAGAAAAGAAAAATAATTGAAGACTGCTGCAAAAGTCAATGCACCTAAATTTAATAAAGTTTTTCATCGTGATAACAAAGAAATTTCCAAATAAAGAAATTCTTTGCTTGCAAACCAAATCAATCTCATGCTTATCAATAGCAAATGGTGATTAAGACGATTTTCCTATTCATTCAGATATTGAACTCTGATCTCATATTATACAGCAGTGATCATTAATTATAGTTCTATGTATTAGATTTTCAGTTCAAACCTTTTTCCTTGTCATGGTTAATTGAATCAACCCTCAAGAGCTTGTCATGTCATTGTCCGATGAAATGAAAGAAACAAAGAAGAATTTTCAAGATGAAAACTGTCAGGTTTTTGGTAATTTAAACTTCTTAATAAGTATTTATTCTTAAATTATATTAAAAAAATAATTTAATACTTTCAAAGTGTCAACAGTGATAATGATGAAAATTTTCCACTTTAAAGTTTTTGAAGTTAATGGATAAATAAAAGCCTGGGTGGTATTAACAATTTTTTTATTATATCTAAGAAGGAAAACTGAGAGAATTTTTTTTCTCTGAACACTCTCAACGTGCATTTTCCAAATGAGAAGGATTTTCTATTTCTCTCATTGGAAAAATCATATGATTTTCACTTTCGTAAGTAAAACCAAAACAAGTTTAATGAAAATTCTTTCTTTTTTATCAGTGACGTCATAAACTTCCATGAAAAATTTCCATTCGGTTATTTCCCCTTCGCGTCCATTGCAATTTTACAAAATTTTCACAAACACAGATGATTTTTCGAAAGAGGGAAAAAAGTTTCTGATGAACTTCGTTTCGCTCGTCTCAGTTTTGTTCTGTTTCGCAGTTTGTGCGGTCGAAGGAGAGTTAGATTTCTTATGCGGAAATAATTCTAATAGAAGTGAATATTAAAGAAAAAGAAAAAAAGTATCCAATGAAGAGGAGAAAAAAAAGTTGTTATTAAAAGAAAAACTAATTACAAACGTTAGAAGAAAAAAACAGAGTGTAGAGGAATAAATAACAGATTTGTTCTGTTATAAACTAAATCTTGTTAATTTTCGGATTGGGAGTAATCACTTTAATACTTTTTCATCATAAATAAATATTTACAAGAAAAGTTGAGTCAAAGTTTGAAAGTTTTTTTTTCCTATTTTTGCTTTTCTTTTTTATTTTGGCATGTTTAAAAAAGAAAATATCGTGAAATATGTGAAAACATGTACGAAGTTGGAAGAAAAATGTATTTAGTACGAAGCTCAATATTGAGATTTACAGAAGAAGTGAAATAAATGATTGGAATAATGTGTTAAAAAAATATAAACGGAACAAATGAAAGGCAAGTTGGAAATGTTTTTCTTCGATGAAGTATTATTATCAATCATTTTGAATGACTGGTGTTGTGAAGTACAGATGAAATATAGATTTTTGAGGTTTCCATTTCTTAAGGCATTAAAATAATATTTGGATAGAAACTTTTTCCCTCAATCATCTCGATGTTCCTTTTTAAACTTTAATTAAAATCAACAAAATAATGAAACGATAATTGAAAAAGTTCAAAATTATGCGGAGATCTATCAAGTTAGTCAAAAATTCTCCCAACTTTTATAGCTTGAATTTTTTTTCTTCTCTAAGTTCTCCGGTAGGGAATAAAGTAGAAAATGAATGTTAAAGGAAAATGTTTCGTGAAAAATTGAACATGAAAATATACTTCTTCGTTCATCGTCGTTATATAACCTGGAGAAAGAGAATAAGAACAAGAAAAATGCGGCATGAAAGGAGATGAAATTGATATGTAAGCACATTGTCGCGATTCTTCTTCGTGCTTTGATATAACGTAGTGAGATCAAAGGCAATGAAATTTGAATTGCTAGAGAATCTCGCTTGTTAATTTGCGTGCGGGAAATTCAACCTTTTCCTTCTTTATGTCTGAATTTCTTAAACCATAAAAAGCGTTCATTTATTCAACATTGCCCTTTAATAATCGATAATCATGAGGGTAACTTCTAGCTAGACAATGAATGAAACTAACCTCTGTTTCATACATAAATAATGTCACATGAAAGCCATGCTGCTGTGGTTCGATTTTGATTATGTTGAAATTGATTTTTCACTCATTCTCATTCTTTATGCATAAAAGCTTTACCCAACCCCTCTTGACGCAAGCCTGACATAAGATATCTTCGGTGGAAAATAATTTTATTTTCAATGTTAATAGGAAAAAAGCAGGGAAAAGCGTAGCGAAGAAACACACCTTAAGCAAATATGCGAAACAAAGTGGAATAAATACATGCCATTGCAGAGTGTGTGCCTCTGTTTCTGCTTCTAATCTTTTTTCTTCCTTTTTTATGCGAAAGTCGTTTCTTAAGAGAAAAAAGTTATTCATTTAACATTCTTCTGTGTCGTCGTGAAGGCAGAAACAGACGAAAAGGGTGGCTTATCAGCGACGTCAATTAATTGGTGTAAGATTTATCAAATGGACTTCTGGGCAGCTGATAAACTGTCTTAACAATTGCCGATCGTTTGTCTCTGGGATTTAGGAATGTCTTGGTTATTCCCAACATCCCTGATGAAATTTTCCCAAGCAAGCAGATGAAATATTTCCCCCATTGCTGTTCATTTTATTCCACTTCACAGTAGGATTAACAATCTGAGCTTGATTTTTTCCCACGAAAAAGCAATGGAAGGTTGAAAAATATAACAGAAGTTTTTGAAGTTGTTTTCAACCATGAATATATCATAGTTTGCAGACTGCACAAATTAAGTATGATTATTAGTGTAGAACAAACTTGATTTATGTTGATTAAATTTTTAAAGCTTTTACATCGAACGATAGAAAAAAGGAAATGGAAGACATGGAAAAGTTGAATAAACGGCACGTGGAAATAAACGAAAGAAGTTTTACCTGAAACTTTATAACTAAAGAATTCCCAGAAGAAGAAATTTTCTATCGAAAAGTTACGCAACTCATTACTTATCGGTGAACCATCTTCACGATAAACACTGAAGCGTAAAAATCTATTTTGAATTTGTTTGCATCGTGAAATAAGCAATTACTTGTGTTTCTCATTTATGTTCTTTCAGTTTATATTTATTTCGCTTGAAAATACACGCAAATTAAAGTGAAGATAGAAAGAACTAGCAGTCGATTGGCGTAAGAATGATTTTCATCGAAAAATTTACGATTTGTTATTCTCATGTCGAATGGGGCACTTAAATTCCAGGGTTAATAATTGAGACGAGATCAAATAATCTCCTTTCTTGTATATACATTCCCGCTGCATAAAACGTAAGCAGAAGAAGTTTCTCGAATGGAAATAAATTTGAGTTACTTCTCACAAAAGCAATCGCTACTTTATTTCCGAACATTTCAGATTGATCTTCCATCATGTTGAATGAAAAATTTATTCATGTAAATTCTTTTTTCATCGCATCTCATTTCCCGTCTAAATTTATATTCCTCATGAATTTGAGATGAAAACAAACATTTGTCATAGAAAAATGAGAAATCAAATTGACGGACAAAGAGAAACATAAATATTGTAATCAGAAGTAATCGTTGTTTTATTATTACCCAAATATTTATTGCCATTCCATAGAAAGCGATATTTAGTGGCATTGCGTGCAATGAAATTGGAAAGCGAGAAAGCAGAAGTTATTGACGAGAACTTCAAGTGACTTAGAAATGAAGGGCACATTGAGGGTTTATGAGTTCGTTGCAATATGTAATTAAGAGCGTTCATTTTTTTAAAAGGCAGATGTTCCCATGAGAAATGATAATAAAATTCAAATTTTATTCACTTTTCCCGTTGATGTTAAAAACAAAAATTTAATTGTCTGCCCGAAATAAAGAAGAAAAAAAATTAATTTGTCGTTTGGTGTTTTATATTTGCTTGTTCTAAGTCGTTACATTAACAAATTACGAGGATTTCGATAACGTGTTTTCCTTTCAAGTTGATTAAAGTTCTGAATGACTAATGAAAGTGGCTTAGGGCAGTGACGTAGTCTGCTTTGGAGAATAACAAGCGCACATCAACTCATGACATTTCTTCATCCTTGCCTCCAAGGGAAATCGTGTCATTCTCGTAAAAAATGTTTAACGATTTCGTTTTTTGATAAAATTTTCTTGTTCTTTCACTTTTAGGCATTCTTTTTTCCAACATTCCAATTAAGGTTTTCTAAGTCCAAGCCCATTTTAACATACTACTAAGCTTCAACATGAAAACTTTTTTGTGTTATTTTGATGAACTTTAATTTCCCCTCGAAAATGAAATAAGTGTGCTTTGACTACATTATGTTGTGGAATGTGTTGAAGATAAATTTTAATGATTTTTTTTTGTTCTTTCGTTCTTCCACAACGAAAATCTTTTTGACTTCATGTTGCCATAACAGTTTTAATAATGACATGAGTGAAAATGTACAAGAGAAATGTATTAACCTTTTATGTTTATTAATGAATGAAATTTTAATTGAAATCCCTGAAATCAACTGTAAGAGCCTGTGGTTTTTTAAATAAAATCATTTCAAGAGATTTCATGAACCAAAAACTGATGACGACTTATTCATTTGAATTTACTTTGAATCATCAATGAAAATGGTTTTCCCGCAAGCGAAATATTTGATGTTGAACGATAAATGTAAGGAGGAAGCATTAAAATGGATATTCTGATTTATCGTTTAATCTGATTGCTTCTACATGACATTGCATCAAAACATTTCTCATTGCATGACTACATCTAACTAAAATAAATAGCCGATTCCCTAACTCCTGAAATTGCTTAAATCGAAATGGATCATTTGATATAGATGCAAGTTTCAATCTCGATTCGAAAGTTTTTTATTCAATTTCTTGCTGCTCAAAAACGTATGAAAAGCGTAAATCTAATTTTATGTTTGAACAGATGAAAATCGATTCTTCTATTATTATATATTGATGTGATAGTCGAAAACGGACATGAGAATTCTCACTAAAGACAGTTTTAGCAGATTATCAGATTAAAATTTCATTTCAGTAATCAAAGAAGGTAGAAAAAGAAGAATTAAACATTCTGCCGCTCATATTCACGTATCCGATTAAACGATCGTAAAAATAAAGTTAACGACTTAGTAAGAAAATATAAAAAGTTTCAGGAAGAGAAATTAATTATTAAAAAGAGCTTTTAATAATACAAAGATTTTCGGTTCTGGTATTTAAATGTAAACAGCAGTCGCTGAGTTTGGCAATTTTAACAAAATTGGAAATAAAATAGAACAGTAACGATGCGAATCAATAAGGATTACCAAAGTTCAAAAAGCAGCATGATATCGATTATAAATCGTTCAATTTTCCTCAGCACAACTTCAGCTAATTTCAGATATCCTCCGGATTAAAGCTTAAACATTTCTAGGTCTTAATTTTGAATTTCCTTTTACTGCAGAAATTTGACATCTAAATCCAATGAGAAATCTAATAAAATACGATTCAACGCCATTGAAATTCCATTGTGTCCCTTTTTCCATTCAAATTGAATTCACCGAAATAAAAATTAGAAGCGGAAAATAAAATATCAAATATCACGAAATTCATCATCGCTAATTTATTCTTTATTCATTTGGGTCGGAAATGGGATTCGCACCGTTTGGATTTGTAATTTCGTTTTTCATTCTTTAAATTCATATCACAATGATAAATGCGGTGGAATGAAAATGAAAAGTAGAAAGAAAATATGAAAATCAAAATTCATCTCATGAAAATCGTTGAGGTTTTCTAATTGCACAAAATTGACTTTTGATGAGAAACAAAGAGAAAACGAATAAACATTCTTAATCACAAACGACTAAACGACGACAACGATTTTTCGCATCGATTTTCTATTAATAAAGTTGGGAAATTTTTCTCTTTTTCTCTCTATCACATTTTCATCGTCGCCTCGTGAATTCTCATGTAACAATTATTAGCTCGAATGACGTCAGACAAAATTAATGGATCGAAATTTATTAGATTTTCTCCCTTTTTTTCTCTTTGTATTTTTGTGGTTAAATTTTTTGTCTTACGGGGAACAAACCGCGAACAAGGAGTGAAAAAACATTTCTTCCCTCGCATTTGCTTTGTCGATATTATCGAAAAAGACATTTTGCACGTAAAAACATTCCCCGCGGCGAATGAAAGCTCAGTAGAATAAATTTGCAAAAGGAACTGAACAAAATAGAAATGTAAATGGACATAATAAAGTTACAATAGAAAGCAACAAACGGCATCGTAAAACACAACTTTTCAAGCGCGATCTTATGATTATTTGTTACTACTAACTTATAAAAGTGAAAATGTTACCATCAAAGAATGAACTTTATTTTTAGACTCACTGCTGGAAGCTTAAATATAAATGAAATCTCTCATTTGTGTTACAGTTGGAAACAAATAAACAGAGGGTTGAATTTTTTTTAGTATCTATCGTAACAGGGATTATTCACTTAATTTCCATTCAAATTACTATCAAAACTAAGAAATATTTCCGAAGAGCTTTGGGATCATCCCTACAAATATTTTTTATTGACTTTTCGTGACTTTATGTAACTGGATATATTTTACAAGGGAGAATTCTGCTGACATTGGATACGATTTTCTACTATGGCCATCGACCATTGAGCAGAAAAAAAACACAATTTGATATTTCATTCTACACAACGACGACGACTACACCCGGAATTTCCATTCCTGAGGGCAATAAAAACCGGATAAATAAGTGAATTTGAGTTGTTAAATAATTCATAATTCAGTTATAATAGCAAAACCCTACCAGAAACTTTTACTTCTCCATTAACTTTCAATGAAACGTTGAAATCCATGATTTCACTTAAACATCTCAACATGGAAAAGAAAGCGAAATAAAAATGTTTAATGACGATACAATCTGGAATTTGATGAGATTCGAATGGTTTTTATTGATTTCGCGTGTTTTCAATTCCTCTCAATATCCAAAAATAAAAAATAACTTTTACTCGTTACTTCTTCTCGTTGTATTTATTGAGATTTGCAATTAAAATTTATAACATTAAAATATTCATGTCTGCTTTTAAAATCAATCGACTTGAAGAAATTTCCCATTGTGATAAACTCTTTTTATTGTTAAAGGAAGGATTGTTATCCATTAATTATAAGTCAGTAACAGAATATAATTATTTGCAAAGCTGAAACAGTCTCTGCAACGGACAAGATAACAATATCGTTTTGCTAAATTATCGAGTATTTTGTATTCCAGGCAGCAAAGTGCAGTGTGAGCATAAACGAGAAGAAAATTATGTGATTTGAAGTGATGATAGTGGCTGATAGAACAATTTCGAGGGAAAAGAAAACAAAACTTGCTACAGAATGAGAATCCCAAAGCATGACGCATGAACAATCGTAAAGTGAATCGTGCTTGGTTAGCTGCATTGAACTACGTTCTCATTTTTTTTTTAAATGGCTTCATTTTCTCGCTCGGTTTATGAATGAAACAGTCAAGTTTGAGTAAACGAATGGATGAAAGGAAGCGAGTAAAGTTTGCTGAGGTAATTAAGAAGACATTTTGTGCATTTTAATTTCCTTGTTCAAAGAAAAGATGCTTTTATTCGTTAACTCCCGTTTTTGTTAATTGAAGAAGGAATAAAAGCTTTTACATTTATTTATAAAAGGTTGAATTCCTTTGTGCACGTAAACTGAATTAACAATCCATTAACCTTTTCAATGGCGCTCTTCTTAGTACCATAGTTAAATCAAAGAAATTAATTTTCAATTTTCTCTTGTGTTGAAATAAGCCTGAGATCTTCCAAAATTATTGAATCAAAGCTTTTTAGAAAAATATCAAGTTAAACAATGAAAAGTTTCAAAGGTTTTCTGTTTGAATAGAAGATTGTTTACGCAGCATTTACATTTTCATTTTCCATTAAAATATGAAATAAATATGGAAGGGAAAAATTGAGATTTATAGGGTGAATGGTTTTAAAAATTTTAATTACGTAAAGCTTTTCATAGCTTTTTTACTTTCATTTTATAATGCTCGAGAGATATTAAATTTCATTATAGTCTTTTAAAGAAATTTTAATAGCGAAAAACTGTTCGTAATTGACACCATAACAACATCCTTTTATCTAGTGAAATTAGTTGTTTAAAACAGCTAGTTTAAACCATTTTAGCTGCTGAGCTTTTGTTCACATTAACTTAGCAAAAACTTGAAGTGATGTTATGAACAAAAAACATTTAAGTTCAAACTTTTCACCTTGCAAATTAAATATTATCATGAAAGCTTATATTTCGATTATAGCGCGACAAGGTAATTCACGAAATCCACCGAAAATAGCAATGAAGATTAAAATAATCGCATCGTTCAACGTTAGCACGTCGTGCGGTTTTCTAACGTGATGAAACTTTACTGTAACATTTTAATTCCAAGATGTTTATCTAAATTCTCAAGTCAAGATAACAATCGAGGAAATTTACGAGATTGTCGAAAATAAATGCAACCATTAAATTAGCATATATTAAGTCAAAAAACGAACTTTTACGAGCGATTTATAATTTCATCGCTTTCCTCACGCTTAACAGATGACAGTCAACAAACCCACGAAATGCTTTGTTGCTTACATATGTACGAGAATATTCGCATCTGTTCATCGCTTAAATTTTCATCAGATGTTAACGTATCGCAATCAAAACTCTCGAATCTTTTATGTCTACTCAAATCAAGTGCCATACGAAGCCGATTAAAACTTCGTTTATTTTAATTCGACTTTATTCGTGTAAAAATAATTAATGAAATAATCTTAGCTGTGATTTTTTTCATTCGGGAAGGAAGCAAAGGAAAAAGAAACATAAACCGGTATTGCAAATGAGAAAATTTATTATAGATGAGTTGTTTAAAAATAGACTCCAGTCTCACTTTACATTATTCCGAACACAAATTTCCTTTTAAAAAGTATTTTTTTTTATATATTGCGAATGATACTCTCATCACGTTGAAGTATATCACGCTCACGAAACTGCATCTTTTCCACCTTTCACATCACGTTGTGTCATGAATAGCGATAGATTTTTTTATTTATGAGATAGAAATATAAATAAGGAAATCGGATATAAATGACATATTTCGTTATGTGCATGACAACACGCACTTTCAATCAAGTTGATTGGCTTTATCGGTAAAAAAATACCACCAAATATCAAATTTTAATCAATGTATAGAAGAATTGAATTTCGATAAATTCAGACAGATATTCAATGCCGGCTTTTAATTTGAATTCTCAGAGAATTATCTCATATATATTAATGATATGAAGGAGCATTGAAAACTCAATGAAATGAAGACACCTAAATATGTTTTATGTAAACATTCAATTTTAATGCTGAATTTCATTAGCCACTCAACGTTTTTTTCTATCCTAAAAAAATAATGTTGCGGTCTTATTTAAACTATTCTAAAATAAGAAGAAAGCTTGGAAATTTTAGTTACCTACCATCATTTCTTTTCTGAGTCAAATAAGTTTGTCTTAGAAGGTTATCTATGTTCGTTTGTACTACAAACGAATCCGAATAGCTACCGCTATTTTCTAATTTTATTTCTGTTAATTCAGCAAATATTTAAGACATAAAAAGCAGGTACCGGTAGTTTGGAGGATGAAGCAAAAAAGCAATTAAATTAAGGCTGTCGAGTTGAACGAAAAACTTCTAAAGTTTGTTCATTCGTAACATTGTTTGTTTTAATGACTACATCAAAATGATGTTATGAACATTTCAATAATTATAAAGACATTCTCTTTTTATTCAATCGATCATTCAAGAGTGAGAAAACAATGCGAAGCTCCATTGTAATGAAAGCCTTTGTTCCAAAAGCTAAGTAAATAGCAACTTGGGATGAAAGAAATTATTAAGAATCGATCAAATTGAAAAGAAGTTTCATCTGACTTCGACCCTGTTGCTTGATGAGATTGATGATTGTGGTGAAACGTAAAAAGAAGAAAATCGATTTCTGGAAAAGTACAAGAGCAAATACTTAAGATTAGGAAATCTGATAAAAAGCTCCATCTTAATTATTGCGACATTTTGCATGAGTGTGTACAGAAATCTCTGATGGTTTACTTTCTTACTCTTCTATTTTCATATTCATTAAGGCAGTTTGATGAAGCGATGATAGCTTAAGACGTCCTTACAATAAAAAAGGTTCATATTCAAGTCAATGAAAATCCCTTCATGAACTCATTTATGAGGCTTAACAGCTTTGTGACCAAATATATTAGGATACTTTAGTATCAAAATATTCCTAAGCTCATGAACAAACTCAAAACGAAATTCAGTCAAGTTTCAAACTTAGAAGCTAAAAAAATCAAACACTCGCCCCATCGGCCCCATTGACCCCATCACCTCTTCTGAAACTTTAAGTTTCATAGTTTTCACTGAATATTTTCTAACAAAAACAAAAAATAAGAAGTAGGTTCAATTTAATTTGGGGTTTTTATCTCTCGATTATAGTTGATGAAAAGTTTTAAGAGGTTTTTGTTGTTATGCTAAGTGGAACGAAGAAAGTTTTGTCACAGTAAAATAGAATTGAAAAATTAAAAAATAATGTATTTGTAATCAAATTATCTGATGAAAAGGATTTACAAGAAATATTTTCATTGTGTCATCATGAAAACTGATTACAACGAACAGAAAATTTCAATTCTGTATTCATAAAGTTGAAATTGATTTGGAAATATTAATAAAAGGATGAGGTTTTGTTATCAAGCAGAGTGCACATTTTCAATTCAGTTGCTATGCTTATATTCACGTCAATATTCTCCATCATTTTACCTAATTGCATAGCAGCAAAAGCAACATCAAGTGGAAGAACAATGGAGAATCAATACTTTAAGATGAAACCCCGCAAGATTATTCTGACGTAAATCTACTCTTTGGCTTTCTGCTTTGCTTCAAGTTTCAATGATTACACGTGCAACATTCGAATGCCGTGAAAGCAGAGAAAGTTTGGAAATTGCGTAGGAATGATATAACAGAAACTGTTTCATTTAGTTTAGTAAGAAAGAAAGGCAAAAATATGTTCCACGTCCATGCTGACTGTTTAAGTGGATCTTTAATTACTTATTATGTTTTCTCTGAACCAAACCACTTACAGCGTAATTGTGGTTATAAAATTAGAAGAGAAACAAACTTCTTGAACAATGGAAACCTTTGGCAACATTGTAGCAAAGGTTCTTTGTAGAATTTCTATATAAAAGTGGTTGATTAAAAATTCAAAGCTTTTTTAATGGAGCTTTGAAACTTTAAAAAAACTTTTGTCTTTTCTTGGATTCAATTTATGTTTGGGTGGATTTACTATCAAATGTTAAAATGCAGATGGTATGCAGTTTCTAATAAAATATAAATGCAGTAAAATTTTCTTAAGAAAATTCTAAATATAACGTCACGATTTTTTTTTTCATTGTGAATAATGAAAATGACCGGAAGTAACATAAATTTTTAATAAACCATTAAAGTAACTTAATGCTTATCGGAGGGAAAATCTGTGAATTTATTTATAAGGTGCACAAACGAATGTTCCAACTTTTTAAATGGACGTCATAAATTTCAGAGAGGCTTAAGGCATGCAAGGGTATATGGTAATAGGGGTTGGACATGTAATTTTGTAAAATATTCCAACTGAACATTTTTCATTTGCTGCAAGAATGTCTGTCACAAACAAAAGCAGAGAATTTGTCTGACCGAGTTGAAAGAGACGTTTGTTGTTTAATTAATTAGATAAAAGAGCAAACAAATTTTATTGTTCAAAGAAACCAAAATTTTACCAAATTATGAAAGCTTTTTTTTTCATTCTACCTTAAGAATGCTTCTTACTGTTTAAATAACATTTCTGAACAGAAAGTAATGAAAACAAGTAGGCTTGTCTACGTCCTTACTTTCAAACATCTTTCGAAATAAAATGATACACAACATTCATCATTCTCTGTCGTATTTATGAAAATTATAATAAATTTCTTAGAAAGGTAAATTCGTTGCCTAAAGGTTTCGAAGCTTCAAGTTTACACATGTCCTGGTTACAAAGACCTTAAAGTTTCCTTGAATTTTAAAATGAATTTCTCAAATTGTTTACAATTTATTGAGTTGATTTTTTCGTCATAAAATTATTTGAAATTCTTGAAATGTTTTTGGTCTAAACTTTTGAGATTTTCTATTATGGTTAAGAAGTTTAATTTTTGCCCTCAACTTGAATAAATTTCTCAAGTGCTTCAAAACTTTCTAATCCCTTTTCAAAGCTTTTCCTGTGTTGTTAATATTCATGCATATTTAAAAAGGGGCAATTATACAAATTTTTATTCATGAGCTTTTTAATCAAACGAAATGTAAAATATCCGATTTATTTTATGAAATCATGCAGAAATCCGTAATAATGGTTTTTAAATGACTGTCATCATCAAAAAGATATAAAAAAATTTAAGAAAGATTAAATTACTGTTGAAAGCGTTTAATTTTTTTATTTACAAGAAGTGAAAACTCAATCCATGACGATGCTTTTTGAATTAAGTTAAATGCGCATAACTAAGGAAACCAAAACAACGTTTAGCTGAAAGAAGCACTTAAGTACATAAATATTGACGTTTTCTGCGAACTCAAGGTTTACCTTGACAACAACAAACTCGCTGCTGCTTTTGCGGAGAGGGATTTATAGGCTCAATATTTCTCGTGAAAGGGAATGAAATGAAAAATTATGTAAATTTATTCTAATTACTTCATAAAATTCCGAGACAGCTTGACTGTTAAAGTAAACGCAATTGTTTCAATTAAAGCCTGTTCTTTAATTATAAACGCATCATGTAGTAGAAGAAGTCAAATTAGCTCTCATAAATATCCGTAAATTACAGAAAAAAATTTTGTAGAATGAGAAATAAAACTTTAAATTTGAAAGTCAATTAGATTATAAATATTTATGTTTAGAGGTCTATAGAAAGAGATTACTTGGGAGAGTTTTCTGTTCATATTCATAAAATCATTAGCATCACAAATTAAAAGGCGATTGACGTAGGATTGACTCTTGAGTAGCTTTCATAATAAAGATATAAAAGAGCAAAACTCACATTTTTTGTTTCTTTTCTGATAAAAGTTGTGTAAGTAAGAAAAATCGATATAAGATGCTCGTTTTCACCTTATCAATCCCTGTTTAATTTCAATTTTCATTTTGAATTTATAGCATTTATAAAATTCTATTTATTCAAAGAATATCTCAATGTGAGGTGCAATATCGCATCCGCCTACGTTTTTGTAAGATTCTCACAGTTGTTATTGATAAGTTTTATGGCTTTATGGAGAGAACACTCGAGAGGTAAAAAAGAAAATGTTAGCATAAGAATTTCACATCTAATAAAAATATTCCCTCCCCAAGAAAAGATTTCCAAGGAAAATTTTTCTCCTTTCGCTTCAAAAGCACTGAAGAATTTGAACAATGAATTTTTTTTTATTACAATTGCTTTTATCCCAATTTCATGAAATTAAAGTTGAAATAATGCTGAATGAAGATGCAAGACAAGGACGAAGAAGTTGGAAAGCCAACCTTCCTCATAAATAAAAAATTATAGTCGAATACTTTTGAAGTTATTAAAGTTTGACATAAAAGCAGCTCTTATTGTCTTTCTTCTTCTCTTTTGAGTTTCCTTCTTAGTAATATCTGACATTTCATAAGCAATGTCGGGTTATGTTTTTCATCGTTCATTTCTCTAACTTTCAGCAAGTAAAACCTTCGTCGCTCTTCAATTTCAAACTTGGAGTATGTAAACAAAAGAAATGCCATCTTTCATTTATTCGATGCTATTTTTTGCTTCCATTCTTTTTTTCTAAATAATATAATCAACCTTAAGGCAAATAACTCAAGGCAAGAATCTGAGGAAAAGGGCGGAAAATTTTCCTCTTCATTTTTTTCCTGGGTAAATTGAAAACGTTTGACCTTTTCTTTTCAAAGAATACTAAACGATAGAAAAAGCAGAATCTAATCAGAATTTAGAATTTTAAGAAATCTGTAATGAAAACATTTTTGCTTTTAGCAACTTTCAGTCTAGACTTTCGAGTCACACTGATGTTTCATAGTTTAGATTACTTAATATTAAGTTGTCCATTCCTTAACTAATAAGAAAATTTCCTTGATTAGTTTCGCCAATTGACGTAATTGAAAAATCAATCGAATTTTTTCTTTCTCTCTTTACAGACGAGTAGTAACTTGAAATATATCACTGACCTAGATTTGAGGGAGAAAAAATCACTTGTCTATTGTGAATGCGGTAAGTACTAGCAAGAAACCTACAACGAAGCATTTCCCATGCTTGGTTGTTATTCAAAGTTTCCTATTTTCCAATATTGAGCTGTGAACGCGGCGCCAGCAAGTTTCACTCGACAACAATAGAAAAAATCCGCTCTGAAGAGAAAAACAACATAAGAGTTTTCTTTTGTTACTAATGACCCTCTTATATTGTCATTTACTTCACGATTCCTCATTTATTTCGATCAGAATTTTTAATACTCTTACGCAATGTTCAAACCGAAAATTTTCACTTTTCCTTCATTCCATGCGTGCACAGAAATGCTTTTTCTTCCTCGATTAGAAATTGAAGCACGTTTCATAGACTTTTAAACAAAAAAATTCTTGTGAAAAAAGAAAAATGTTTAATCCTTTCAACTCGACGCATGATTCAAGCGTGTGCCAAAAATAAACAACGCATGGGTGTGAAGAATGGTCGAAAGGGCTGAAAGATATTCCCATGGAGTTTCGTGACATTAGCTGTCTCGTATTCAAATTGAAACCTCAACTCTTGCCACAAATCACAAATAATTGATGAGAAGTTCACAATAGAATGCTTTGTTTTATTTTATATAAAAAATTATACTTACATGCATACAAACATAGATCTATTAAAGAATGGAATGGTCGACCAAATCCAACACGACTCGAGCATTAACATACGAAGACAATTTGTATTTGCAGTAGTTTCGGCTTAACATAAATTGCTTCAGGGTATTCGAAACTTTTTTTCTTCTTTCTTCTTTTTTTCTTTTTCCCTACAAAAACTGTCTTTAACTTTATGTTAATTTTATTTTCAATGTGAAAAGTTACGCATTGCTACGAAGAAGTTGACGGAAAAAAATGCGTCAAGATTTGTTTCTTTTTTCGTCTTATCTCGTTGGTTTCACTTTTTTCTAACTCGGATAGCAATTTGTCTCCACTTTATCTCTTGTGAAAATAATTCCTTTTAAACTTTTTTTATTTCTTGATGTTCGTTCATGTACAATGCGAACTAACCGACATAAAATTTAAACTTTTTTTTATATCCGTGGACGTTGAAAGGAGGATAAAAGTGTTTGAAAGTTATGTCATGGAATAAATGTCAATACAAAGTTGAAGGTTGTTATATTTACTGACTTTGAAAAGCTTTTTGTGAGATTACTTTGAGAATCTGCGGTTTATCTGTTCTGAACCGTGATTTCTTTCTCAAAGTAACAAACAAACTTTAGATATGAAATTAAATTCTTGCTGTGTTTTATGAAAGCTTTTTGTAAACCAAAACAACATTGATTGCCTTTTACAAATTCAATCATGGGATGAAAATCGTAAAAAAGGATTTGTCAGAGACAAAATCAATGATTCGAGAACGAAAGTATTCTTTAACTAACTGAGGGATCGAGAGAAAGGGTCAGAACTTTAATTTACCATGGATGATCCATCTACGCATTGTACAATTTCATTGATTTATTTCTCTGACTTGGAAAATTGAAACATGAAGTGGATAAATTTTGAAAAGGGATTAAAACATGTCATTCCAACATAAGTAGTTAACTATGTCAAAGCTTATGTTTCCATTTCGTGAAATGAAACATTTTTTATACCAATGAAGAAGCCCTTCTCAGAATCTTCTTATTTTTAATTCAATATTCCACAGACTGTTATCATTTCCGTCATTTTCTGTTGAACAATCATTTTTACAGCATCAGTTTTATCTAATTTCTTTTTTAATAATTCTTCTCGATTTTAGATTGTTTTTGGCAACGTTTCAGCCGATAAATTGCTGTCGATATGACATGAAAAGTTTTAAAAGCTTTTTAAGGTCGTCACATTTCTGAAAAGTTGACCATTCTTAAAAAAGATTTGGCCTTTGTTTGTTTGCGGAAGATAAAATTTTGAACAACGAAATGTTTTTCTTCTCTTTTTTGATTTATTGTTATTTCTTTCTGAGACTAAAAATACTTCATTTATTTAGCTCAAGTAAATAAAACTTTGTGTTTTAAGTTCTTAAAGTTTTGAGCTTTTTCGATGTAATTGAAAATAAAAATTAGCCTTGCGATTGTTTCATGAAGTAGTAAAAAGAGATTTCATAAAAAGATTTAATAATTTATTTGAGAATTGGAAGGAACCAAAAATGCTGAATTTGAAAAGATATTTTTAACAAAAAGCTTTCTTCTTTCCACGAAAAATTTTATCTATCCGCTTGATTAATAAATATCAAAAAAGAATAAATTGTAAATTATTGAACAATCGATTCAATTCATTGCCTTTATAAATACAAGCTCTGTTAACCAAAAGAAGCTGAATTTTGCAAATGATACAAAACAAATATTTTCCAACCGTACACTGATAAAAAGACGTAGAAATTTAGAAGCAAGCAAAGAAGCCATTTTTCAAATTTCTTTGCTTTCCTTTCATTTATATGACTTGCTCTTTATTGAATGCCTTTTCGCGATGTGAAAGATGATTGAAAAATGATCCTTTTTGTGTTATTTTTTATTTTTCCTCCTCCTTTACGACTGGTAAGTGACTACGTTACAGAGCACAACCTTATTTTCAAGGCAAAAGGTTACTGAAGCGCGTTGTTAGATGCTTCAGCGAAATGAAAATCTTTGACGGTAATTTTTCTTTAAATCATTCTTTGTTTGTGATAACAGAGATGGAAGAAAAATAAAATGGAGTGAACCTCATGTTTATCCATCAGCCGCTAGGCATGAACCAGAAGTTCATTTTATAAAACGATTTTGGTTTGTTTCGTGAAATTTATATAAAAAAGAAAAGCGTAGCTAGAAATAAGTTACTGATGTTGATGTTCAGTTTCTTTTTATAAAAATCTTAATAATTTATTCATTTCTTAACTTTATTTTCCTTCCATTCTTTTTTCATGTTATTCTTGCGGCATCATTTTTGATTCACTGATACATTGACAATTCTTAGGGTCGATTCAAACAAGATTGAAAAAGATAAATGTTAGACATGGAAGACATGGTAAATGGATAATGTTTTATTGAACCGCAAAAGCCCATAACAAGAAAATTGAATTAACATTTGAAAAAAAGTTTTTGTTTTTCCTGAACGAAATTTCACGAAATTTCATCAAATTAGATGTTTGCATTCGAAGTTTTCCTGTTTCTAACAAGGAAAAGTTAAATACAGTTTCAAGAAAAGTGGTGAAATATTTATTTTAATCTCTTCACGTTCTTTGTTTCCCTCTCGGGCAATAAAAAAGATTTTTTTCTTGCTTTCTACGCTTTTACGATACAGAAAGAATGAATTCTGCATCGTAAGCAAATCTTTGCGATTAAAGCTTTCATGTAAACATCGTGTTCGACATATTAAATATTTATGTGTTTTAAGATTGTTTTACATTTTCTAAGTCTTTTTCTCAAAAATAAAAAATAAGATACAGAAACAAGATCAGGATGGAAAGTTTTTGAAGAGTTATCTTCTTTCTATAAGCGCCGATTTATTTTTTATTTTTTCTAGGTATGTAAATATCAGTTTGATTTATTGTGCTTCGAAAACTTTATGAGGCAAGCAAGCTTCTTTTTCTTAGTTCTTTCTGTTTTCTATAAATAAATCATATATACATAAATTCTCCTTTTGTTTATGCTATGTATAATAAATGTGCAGTAACAAGACATAACAAGGCAATCTACAAGATTGCCTCTTATTGGAAAAACGAGAAAAACGGAAAAGTTAACGCAAGGAGTCAAGCATAGATATAAGAAAAAAAAGCTCATGAATTCGCAATGATACTTAGTGATTAATCAATGTAGCTGATGGTAGCAATTTTTATGCTGTGGCTTAAGGCATGCGTCGCAATGAGATTAGTGTTGGAAAATGTCAACTTCAATTCATTAACAAATTAGATTTTTCATCGATTGATTTGTCCATAATTGGCAATTTTTCATAAAGGAAATATTTGACCTTTAGCGTTTACTTGTTGTTGACTATGTGAAAACTGTGAAACGTTTTATATTTTTTTAATTACAAAATGAAGATAAATTCAGTGAATAAGTAAAGTTATGGCTGAGTAAAAGAAATGAAAATTTTTTCTAACACTTCTTAGATATGATGACGAAGTGAAATTTAATGAAAAAAGAAACATCAACAACAGTTACTTATTATTGTGTCACTGTAGAATTGACTTATCAAATGCAAAATAATAAACAAGTAAATTAATTTATGTTTAATTAAAAAGACTTCCCACATCACACTTATCAACAGTGCTACAAATCGCGAAGTTCTTCAATCTCAATTTGTCGACTGTCGAGAACTTCTTGCTTTAATTAAGTGTTGTTCATAGGATTTTCAACCGTTCAGAAAAGCGATGTAAGCTGTAAATCATGACGATAAGTCATGAATTTTTACAAGTTATTTGAAATGTGAATGGGACAACGGCACGTTACTCTAACATTTCCTAACTTTCATAATTAATTCCTCATAAATTTTCACCAAACAATTGGTAATTTTGCTATTTCCCATTTTTCCTTCTTTATTTCTTTTCTCAATGCTTTTAAGCTTAGAGTAAATCATATTTCTTTTTAAATTTATGATTACTAACTTGCTGTGCTTCTACATCGTTTTTCATAACTAATGTACAATGCCACACCGCCGTTTTCCGTCTTCTGAACAATAATAAAAAATTTTCTTTGTTTCCTTATGTTAAGAAGCTTTGTTCTACATAATCTTTGTATGAATTAAGTTATATTTTTAAAAGAATCTGTAAGACGACATCGTTTCTTTTTGCTATATCATCGCGTTTACTTTCCATGTCGCCGAGTCTTCAAAGGAATAAACCTCGAAAATATTCCTAAGCTTTAATTGTTTTCTTTTGATTCTGAAAAAGCAATTTAACATACTAATTTAGATAAAATTATTTTCGTGAAAGCATGAATTATTTAATAAGAAATGTTTAATAAACTTATAAGGGAATTCTTCAATTTCATTTCATTTCCCACCCTATCATGTTTTAAAGCTCTGCTAAGCTGATCCAATTATAAGTTTTGATTGAGAGGAAGACATGGAAATAAAGTTTTCAAGTTTCTTTGAAATCATTAGCTTTGTGCTTTACTAAGAAAAGAGAAGAAAGAATAAAGTTAGAGACTATGTTGGAGATATTTCCTAAGATGAGATTTTTCCTAAGAAATTTTCCTTTTTCTAAATTTCTGTTTGACTTAAACGAGAAAGTTTTAAATTTTTTCTTTTTGATGTTTATCGAGCGGAAAGAAAAAGACAACGACAGCCATTCAGACCTTCAGATTCGAATAGTCAACGACATCCGAAGAAAATAATCGAGAAACATTATTTCAGTGGTATTTCTATATGAACATGGCGATTGTCAATATGTTTGTGAAAAAAACAATCTCGAGTGCCAATCTAAGGTTTCATTTCATTTTGGTTTGTTGACTTAAATTTTCTATTCTTCTTCCTTCATGTTTGAGGTGTGAAAAACTATTTGTCTACTCGTTCAATTTTATCGCTTTTATATCACGAATGTGAGATGCTTCAATTTCCTTTCTTTGGCTTCAGAGTAGTCGGGTTTATGTAACTTCATAACAAAACAATGTCATGAAGCTTAAGCTTCCTTCTAGTATGAAACTTTTTCTTATAAAAACAAGATCACTACATACATAAGACTGCACGCTTTACCATAAATTTGCGAAAGAGTTTGCGAGATTTATTGTCGAAGCGGATTAAGCCAGTTAAACTATTTTTTAAGAATAACTTTGATAAGACGAGAATAAGAAAAGTTTTTGTTCCCTTGACCTTGTTTCGATTTTGGAAATTATTTGTTGATAAATATTTATGAATACAATTTTGTTTTCTCTTCCTGAAATATATAAATATTTGTAAGATGTAATTATTTACTAATGATGTGAATAATATTATTGAAAGAACCTTGAATGTTACTCTAATGGTTTGTTATGAAAGAAAACAAGATTCTGATGTTGGCTTTCAATGAGGTGATGGTAAAATAACAACTTGAGATTAATATTTTGGCCATGACACATCATTGGACAGTCCCAGCAGTCAACAAATATCTTTTCTTCAAGGATAAAACGTTATTGCTTCCTTTGCTTCATTCAACATCTTTAATATGTAGAAAATTCAATGCGAAATATCTTTGAATAATTTAATGTCAAGCTAGAAACAGATTTTCCTAGAAAAGCCATTGAATTTTCCGAGAAAATTTCACTGTAAAACCAATTAAAGTGAAAAGCTCTCATCGTAACTGTTATTCTGATTTTCTCGTGTCTAAGATAATTAGCTGATGGATTTACTCTGATTTGAATCCTACAATAGATTTCAACAGAACATTCGTTCCCATGGCGTCTAATGCGATATAAATTTATTCGCTTTAAGCATAAGCATTAAAAAAAAGAAATTTTAAATTAGATTCGTTTGGCGTCAGCGTTACCACATAAAATTTTCTTACAGAGCTTTGCACTCCTGTTCGACATTTAATATTGTATAACAATTTAGCATGTAGAAAGTGATTGCGTGGGTCGTGACTTGACGAATGATGTAAAGTGAAACTTTCTGACGTATTTAAACGTTGATTTTTTACAAAATATTTGACATGACACTTTATGTCGCTACACATTTTAATGAGATTCAGTTAAGATCATGAGAATACATTTGAGTTTTATTTTTATTACTTTCAGAATGCGTTAAGGGTGAAGAAGGTACTTTGACACGTATCAAAAATGACTAACGGATCACTCATCGCCACTTTGGATGATGAACATTTTCTGCTGACAAAGAATCCAACAAGAGCGAGCATAATGAATTGAATCTTGAATGCTTGACGACAATCACACAAGCAGAAGGAACGAAGAAAATCTGAAGCATAAGCAGAAGAAGGAGAGAAAAGATGTCGTTGAAAAGTACTAACAGTGAATTGAATCAGAACATTGAACGTGTCTTACGATATGAAATAAGATGGAAAACTGTGTCGAGTTTATAAAGAAGTTACAATGATAAAGCCAGTAAGGACTTTTTGTAGTTCTTTTTGTGTTGCATTTTGCTTTTAAGTTTAGTCGCGAACAAGTGAACGAACGATAAAGATTAACATAAAGTTAAGTGTAGTGAGTTGGAGAGAGAAAAACTCTTCAGAAAGTGAAGTGCATTTATCATCATTGTCGAGTACCTTTCATCAATTAAGCTTTCTTTGCCTCTCGATTTCTTAATGAAGACTTATCCTCTGATTAATAAGGTTGAGAAGTTTTATAAATTCATTATAGCTCATTAAAACAGAATAGACGTCATTGCAACGTCAATGAAACTCGAGAAAATTCAATAAGAAATGTCAAGCGATAAAGTTTCAGACTTAAATTAAATCATCATCATAAGATCGGATGTCAAAAGTTGGACGTAACTTGAGAGTGCAAATCTAATCAGTCATCAAAAGTCAGACAAGAAAAAAGAAAAATCAGTTTTAATCGTCATTTGATTAGCAAACTGCTAATTGATTTTTCTTTGATAAGTGATTGTTTAACAAGAAAAAATAGAAAATATTCAGACTCATTAAGAAAATACTCCAGAATAACAATTAAAAAAAAGAAAGACAAAAAAAACTTTCATAAGAAACAAAATTGACGGAATACAAACAAGTGAAATATTTGCTGGAAATATTATGCCAAGCTGGTTCAACAAAGTGACGGGCTATGTTTGTGATGGTTATGTCAGTTCGCAGATCCAACACCGTTACCGAAACGGTACCTAAAGAGATCAACATCAATCACAATAACTTAAAAAATCTGAAGAACATCAACTGCATTAATAATCATCTCAAAATCATACAGAACAGTGCAAAAACCGCGACAAGCAACTGCTGTTCAATTGACAAAACTATCAAACGAATTCTACCCATAGCCGTTGACACTTCGACTATATTGTCGCCATCGGCATTAACATCCGCACAATCAGCACAAAATTCAAATAAATTTTTATTAACTGAACTTAACAATTATCGTAAGCCACCAAGTATACAGGTGAGTTGTTTAAATAATAACATATTCGATGTATCGGTGATTGGGTTTCATTATTGTTAATCGTTTATCGGTTGTGAAACTATTTTAATACATTAATTCACATTAATACAACAGGTACCCGTGGCCACCATATTAAACGATTTGAGTCCAGTGCCTGCTGCACCGGCAAAGGATTGTAAAAGCAAAAAGCTACGATTTCTCATGAGCCCTATGACCCCCGTGGGCATATCAAGCAACTCGCCCGACGTGAAGGCCATGCGGTATTGAAGATTTTTTTTCTAGAAAATCTAATCTCGGAAGTCTAATTATTCTTTTTCTCATACAGGTATTACAGATTGTGGATCTATACATGCAACGCTGTGTTATTAATGGCAGTCATTATTTTCTGTGGCGTTGCTGGAAAAGTCTTATTAGCCGACTATCGTCGCTTATTGGTAAATGGATTAAATTTAACGCAGCCGAGTTTTGTGTATGCTTATTTAGCTTTGCTGGTGCAATCAGGTGATAAAAGTTGAGAGTCCAAATGTTATGAATCTTCAATTTATGGAATATTTTCAGGTTTCTTACAATTAATAGGGTGTCTTGGTGCCTTAAGATTATCTGAGAAACTATTAAACGCTTACTGGTTACTATTACTCGTACTTTTATTAGGAGATGCAATTCTAGGAATATTTTGGATGTTTAAGTTTGACAAAATCATGCAAGAGCTTCAACCAATGCTAAGGTGAGATATTTTGTACCTACATGAGTTATCTAAGTCTTGTTTTGGGAATTGGGATATTAATAAATTTTGTAGCATTTCCTTTTCTATTATTCACAACCATAAATATATTGAAAAAGGTATCACAAAGCTGACATAATGTTTTCAAATCCCAAAGACTTTCATGAAAGGATTCTTGCTGTCAAATATGATACATTGTGCGGTTAAAGAAAGACGAAAACAAACTTTAAGACTTTAACTGACTGAAAACATTCTGTTAAAGCTAAAATAAGCATTGATTGATAATCAATGAGAAAAACTTTGTGTTTGTTACACAATCAAGGTGTCATATCTATCGGAAAAAAAGAGAGAAAGAATGAATATTCCATCCAAATTGATTTCAATGTTCCGACATATTAATTTGTTTTGTTATACAAACACTTTCAGATATCGTTTGGCCCACGAGTATGGTATAGGGTCGGATTTCACAGAGCTATGGGATCGACTTCAAAACGACGGACGATGTTGCGGCGTCACTGGATCGAATGTAAGAGATTTTATATGTTTACTGATTAAATTAGCGTCGCTCCAGGCACAAGAAATCGTGTTATTCATGTCGTTAAGTGATAATTATGTGCCGTACATAAACTTTAATTAAAAGTTTTTCTTTTCTTTTCCTGCGCCTTTACGACAATCGTTGTCGTATGATAAAGAAGAAGAAAGAAGAAAAATTCCTATATTTGGGTTGAAACTTCCAACACAAAGGAAATGATAATGAAAATGCCTTTGGGGATAACGACAAAAATTTTAATCAATTTTCAACTCTGTGACAAAATCTATTTGCTTTTCATAACGATGCTTATCTCTTTATGGCTTATTTGTCCATGTTTTCATTCATTTTCTTCTGCTAATCATTAGGATTTCTCCATACAAAACCGAACATATCCAACGTCATGCTGCGCTTCAGACATCACTGACCAAATCAGTATATCGCATAAACCTTTAGCCTCAGCTGTTGTTTATCGTACCGAAGACGGTTTACGTGAACACCAAAGAAATATAAGCGACATGGCTGAAGTCGCATGGAGTCATGTGATACCAAGGGACAGTTCAAGGAGTAGTTCAGGTGGTGCTATTTTGAATAGTGAAAGCAAAATTATTGCGACTTGTCGTGCTGTTTATCCGCAGGTAAATATAAATTTATTATCATCATTTCGTCTACGGACAAGTCAGCAAATGAATTCGTTACGTTACACAAGCCGCATTGTGTTCAATAACCTCCGCAAAAGGCGACGATTATGTTTACATAGCATGAAGCTAAACTTGCGTCTTGCTAAGCTTTAAATGGGTTCAGTGTTTTTATTTTGACGGTTAATCCAATTAAGAGAATTGAAGGGATCCTTGGGACATAAGCTCATCAATTAAACTTTCTTTTCTTATCTGTCGTGGGGTAGTTCAAAAACTTTTGTTGAACTTCTTGGCTTAAGTTTTAATGAAAGAAAAAAAAAGGTAAAACGAAATAATAAAAGAAAAAAACTTTATTTCCAGTTTTATTATCAAGAGACATTGGGATATCAAAAATGTAAGCTTTTAAAGTATCATGAAATATTCAAACAGCACATGTTAGTAATTTAATGCCTAATATTAGAGCGCAAGTCTTAAATGAATCTGAAAAGAAGAAGAAATGAAACCAAACAAAAGCTGAGACAAGCCCTAAATGTATAAATTGGTAACAAACGTTGATGAATTCATTTGATTGAAAAGAAGACAACACCTTGTAGTAATAAATTATTTTATGGACTTTCTTTTAATATTCCCTTTCGTGTCTGTCTTCTGACTATTTAGGGTTGTATCGATGTTCTTATACTTTGGTTGAGGCACACAGCAGATATTCTTTTCGTATTAGGTTATTGCGTTATAGCATTTTTGAAATTATGTTTTCTCGGCATATTGCGATACGAGATTAAAGAAATGATTCAAAAAATCAAGTTACTACAAACTGAAATGGCACAATCGATATTAAATGCTGAGATGGGTGAACAGCATCTACAACAGGTGAGATTAGTTCATTAAACATTCATTATTGGAAAACGCTTACAAGCGATTAAATGGCATTTGTTTGATTTACTTTATAGATACCGATAAATGGCGGGATACACAGTGGAATCGAGCCAAAAGTTGGCAATAGAGATCGTGAAATGACTCGAATAGGGTCAGCGGAGAGTGAAAGAGAATCCTTGTTGCATCATCCCGAAGCTACGCCCCAATTCACAAAACATAAGCAACTTTATGCATGCATGAACGAGCATGGTCGATGTGGAGCTCATCAAGGCGTCAGCGGGAATGGCTGTGACTCTGATACAAATTCTAATTGTGCATTAATCGTCGATGATATGAACACAGCAACAACATCTGCGACAACAAAGACAATAAACGGTAATGGAAACAATAATTATGAGCTGAGCGAGTTTGATACGAAAACATCGACGTACAGGTGAGATTCAATCATTCTTATTCCCTCTTATCGACACTTTATTGACGAATGCATGTCACTCGATTATTTTTAATTAAGTTTAATGTCATTCAGTTGAGGATATGTCACAAACGATGTTGTACAAGCGAATGATTATGACATCTAATTTTGTTGTGGCATGTTATAAAAAAATTCTGACGACTCAATTATGTTGTCATTTAGATCAATGAATAACATTCGTAGTTGTAAAGACTAAAAATGCTGAAAGTGAATTAAGAGACAGTGGGGGAGAGAGACAAAGTAACTTTATTGTTTTTTTTGTTGATCAGCTTTTAAGCTTAAAAAATCTTTATGGAAGCATTGAAAGCATGTTGGTGTAAATTATGGTCTCAGAGGGTTCATGAAATGAAAATGGTCTCATAAGGTTAATCAAGGGATAATTTATGCTTTCGAAAACAAACCAAAGTTTATTGTTTCAAAAACAAAGGATGATCTTTTTAAATAACCTGATTAAAGGTTCTTAAACTGAATTAAACTTTTCCACACTTTCTTTGCCCTAAGTACAATGAAGGTGCATCATTCTTTCTCTTTATGGAAAGGTGAATGATTGATCAGTGATAAGATTCTTTATATCTACCTTCCAGCGAACACTTTTTCCATCCTTTTTATATTTTTCTAAAGATAGAAAAAGAAACTTGACAATTGACTAAAATGTGTCTGGTTGGAAAAGCAAATTCGATTTCTATTTATTATGCTACATTCTTTTATCGATGCTTTATCTACGATACCGTTGTCTAGTAGCAAAAATTGTCTTCAATTTCAAACCGCAAGGAATTTCAAAGTAAGAATTGATATTTTCTCTCGTATTTTTCGACACCGAAGGGATTTTCACAGTAAAAGGAGAACTTTTATTTCCTGAAAACTCAATAAAAAGCTGTTTTATGCTAAAAGCAAAACTTTATTACGTTCAGGAATGTTTCATAGCTTTGGAGGCGCTGTGACTTGCAAAGGTTGCAATATTTCTTGAGCAGATTTAAAAGCAATTTAACGAGGATATTTCAGAGTCTCAAGTTGGATGTAAATTCCAATGCGTATCGATATTTGAAAGCTCATTCTGTTCTCATTGATGTGGCACCCGTGCTAAAGGTTAAAATAATATTTCACAGTGAGATTTTTATGTTAATTCGACATCGGTTGTTCGTTCCCTTGAACATTTTAAGGAACTTTTTAAGAAGGAAAAAAACTTCTTTTTTTTATGCGATCCTTTGAGAGACGAAGAAAATTTGAGGAAGTCTACAGAAATGAAAATTCATTACGTGTTCATAAATCATCATTCATTGTAAAATGCTGGTTCTGATTTTATTAAGAGATGAAAATGTTGAATGAGTGATGGGGGGGAAGGAGAGGGAGGAAGATATGTAAAACCCATGAATGCCAGAATAAGCATACATGAAGATGAATATGAAGAAACAGAAGACGATGTAAAATAATTACGTGAAATATTGAATTAAATTGTGTGCATAAATTCTGTCACGAAGTAGAATTAAAGAAACGTGTCAAAAGTTGTAAGTTACAAACTTATGAGTTATGATGATAATAAAGAAAAGGAAATAAAGTGGAAAATGGGTTTTAACGAGTGACATCCAACGTTTACAATCCTTCTTAAGAAATCCTACAAAATGTCTTCTGTTTCACATGAATTTTAATATGAGGTTTGTGCTATTTCGAGTATAAGATTCAGTTACTTGTCTTCTCATATTTCTTTTACAGAAGCAACATAAAAACGAACGTTACATTATTCGTTTAAAGGATGGAGAATACCAGAGTTTAGTTTGCTTCTTAGCTCTGTTTATGTTCAAACATGAAATATGAATAATTTAGATATTTGTGTTATGAAATTATGTGGATTATGGCAATACTTCTAAAGTATTCAAATCAAACCTGTAATCATTTTGACTTCCACTCGACGTGTATGTTAAGAAAGAACAAAATCAAGACGCTAAACATCATTTACGTAAAATCATCCACCATTTTTCAATGCAATTCATTTCAAATGGAAACGACATAAATTTTTATTTCCATGAGCTTTCATTTGAACATATTTTTAGTATTTATCGTCGTACTCGAAATGTCACATGTGACAGCATAAAATATGTTTCGTCTTGAAATCGAATGATGGAGCATTTCTGTTTATGGCTTGCCAGAGAAAAGTGGTAAAAACCATAGCCCATGAGTATCTGCATTCAATATTCTAACCATCATGTCGTTATTTATACGTGTCGTAAAATGAATGAATGAATGAATGAATTGGTTAATTAACATCCCATCAATCTTATCAATTGAATTAATTAAAGCAAGCAAGAACTCTTAATTCATTTTGTTGCCACATGTTGTTAAATATTTTTATTCCAAAATCCCTTATTTAATCTATAATTTAATTTAATTTCAATTTGTTTCTGTTTAGGTTACTTAATGCACCAACAGTGACCAAAATCTGACTACGGTATTATCTAGAACAATTATTTGGTGAACGATGGCGCGCACCGGTGATCATACCAGGCCAAAGAAGCCGTCAGAATAGCGTATCGACAGTTCGCAGACGTTCACGTATCACCTACGATCGTGACTCGGGATTACGCTGCTACAAAGGAACCGACATGAATGAAAGAAGTAATTGTAGTTGCGATGATATTTAAGACACTAAAAAAATGTTTATAAAGAGTGAAAGCTTTTCTGCATCATGAATGACTGAAAATCTTCACAATGCAGGTACGATAGATTTCTATCAGGAAGAACATACCAAAAAAAAATCAATAAAAATCTAAAAAAAAAATTCATTTGTATAAATGTCATGAATCAGTCTTGAGTAATGTTTAAAAAGTATCCTCTAGTGAAAGTATAAAAAGTTAAAGTAAAGAAGGTTCGAATTAGTATTCAAATGAAGAAATATTTTTATAAATTTAAGAAGAAATTGAAGAATTAATTATGGAAATATTAGTAATGGAAATGTTTGAAGTTGCGTAATGAGCTTTAAAAGAAATTCAAGCTTCACAAATGTCAAAGATTAAAAGTTTACTCAAAATAGGGTAATGCAGTCTTATTTAGAAGTAATTTGAAAATTAGAAACTTAAGGAAACCTCTGACACCAGTTAAATTCATTGACAGTTAATCAATAGATTAAGAAGCTCCGATATCAAACACCAAAGATATCGAAGAATTCAAAAACCGATTTCGTAACTTCAAACTTTCCTTTGAGAACAAATTTAAGTGCAAAATTAACAAAATTTATTCTAAAAAAGAAAATACCAAAAAAAAAGAAAGAAATGAGAGACGAATCTACATAAAACATTTAATTATTTATTAATTGTAGTAACTTAGAAAAGAAATCATCAATTAAGAATCAATATGCATATGTAAAGCTACACAAAAATGTTATGAAAACATTCATAGTTTAAAAATTCAATAAGAATCGTAAAATAATATAAAATTAATTAAAATTTAAAGTAATTTACGCGATTAAAAGTTTTGATTTACTCTCAACTCTCATTCCTTTTTAAAAACAATCGCGACATTATCAACAATAATGTTTTATCGATTATACGCCATTTGTTAAATCTTCTTTATTTGCATGCCACCATGGAAATGAAAAGTACATATATTTAATAAATATTTGCATGCTTTTCATTCGTATTTCACCATAATCGTACACACGCAAAGCAACGCCTTTATTTAATAAATTTACTAAAAGTTATGATGAAGTATTCAATAATATTCGTCAATGGAAATAATTGATATTTTGTCACGTAATCTCTGCAAACTTCTCTTTGTTCAACATATTTATCAATTATTTTATTCAACTGTTTATAAATACTAACAACAAAAGAATTGTTTATATCAATGTATGAAGAAATATCCAAATGATGAAATAACGAGAATCCCTTCAAGCTTAGCAATGACATAAATTTAGAGTACACGGTCAAAAGGATTATCAGTGAGTCGAGTAATGTATGCAAAATATGAAATTTCGAGGTCAATGATATGAATATTTGACGACCTTGAACGTCGTCACGAACTTACGCAACAAAGCTTTGAGATGAAGGGAGAGAAAGAGAAAGAAAAGGCGACAAAAAAAATAAACAAAAAGTTTTTCCACCACGTTTTTGTGTCAGAATGAAAATGAAAAATGTCGGGAAAAGGGCGACAATGCGATAACAGTGAAACGTTCGGAGGAAGTGAGAATAACAATCAATGAATAAACTTACACTTGAAATGATTCTATTGTTGGTTCTTTGAGCGTATTTTCCAAGCATCAGTCGCGCTAACACGCCGTTTTTCATTTGAACTGACTTTCATGCTTGAAGAATTCCTGTATAGTTAATAAACCAAACGCTTCATGAGTAATGAACCTTCAACAATAGAAAACTCAGGAAACAAACAGTGAAAAATGAAAAACATAATTTTCACTGAATTATTCACAACAATGCAAATGTGATAAAGCTGTTTCTTTTCTCTTTATTTTTTGTGTCTTTCTAATTCATTCATTCACTATGCCAACCACTCGACAACATCACGGCATAAAGCTTGCTTTGTCTCTCATTTCCTTTATGGTAAAAAATGACAAAGCATGATGGAATAGAAAAAGAAAAATCCATGAATGTGCGCTCACAAATGAAGATTAAACTGCTAACATCATGCAACTTCTAAACTGTAGAAAAAAGCTTCGTAAAAATGAATAATTTCTTTTGTGCTCAAATTAAAAGATTAAAGAGAATCTGTTCAATTCCTGAATTCAACTCAATAAATTTTATGCTATACGCTTCAGTTCTCAAGGTGGAATGAAAATGTTCAAATTATCCTGAGAGCTTATTGCTTAAAGTAGGAAATTCTTTTGAATTGAAACGTGACAACTATTCGAATGTAAAGTCATTAGAGTGCTACATCTAACTCAATTTTGTGAAGCTTTTGACGTGATTTGCACAGTTTTTGAAACAACCCAAGCATTCTATAATCCCGATGCTTCCTTTCAAACACCTTTTTCCGTTGAAATATCCGCAAACTTCCCAGCTGGGAAACGTCTAGAGAACTTCTACCTAAACTTAATTCATTCGAGTGTGGTTGAATGGGAATTTAAACAATCTTGTTAGCTGCTTTTATTTGATTACCCTCCCTCATCATTCTTGTCTTGAACATATGTACAAACATTGTAATGAATCTTTCATTTTTGATGAGTTATTAAATTTCATTCTTTTTAATTATGCTCGAGTTGCCGCATCTTCAAAACTTTCTCTTCATTCTTCAAGCAGTCAAGTTATGAAAAAGTTTGCTTCGAATCATCTCGATTGAAATTCAAGAATGCACACAGAAAGAAGAAGATTATAATCTTCTTTAGACACTTGGAAGATATTTAATATTTAGTTAAGTAAATAGTTTTGACGCTTTGGACGTATTGACTCATAATGAGCTGAGAAATAATTGAAGCGGAAAATAATATTTAAGATGAAATATTTTCGTTATTGCGCAATTAATTTCACTTTTCGCTTGTTTCTCCGCTTCAATATTTGAAATCCGCTTATAGAACTTTTATTCAAATGCCAGACGGATTAAGTTTGTACGCTTGCACGATGACTCGACAGTATAATTATACACAGAGTTACGCTATAAAATCTATTAAGATTACTTTTTTCCATACGAGAATGTTCTTCTTGTTGCTCTTACTTTAATAATATTACGACGAATAGTCTATTATCAAGATAACACTTAAGCTTCATTCAGAAAATTCATTAAGTTTATGAGAATTTGCGAACGTTTTGTCGTTTGTATAAAGTTTCACGTTAATTTACTGTTACGAATAAAACATTTTATTTATTGAGAGCCTAGATGGATTATGACTGGAAGATATTAAAATTCAGTGCTTTATTTATAGCAAAATAAGTGACGATTAAGCGATGTTTTATCTCCTGTTATAAATAATTTTAAAATTGTGCAATTCTTACTGCAATATTTCATAATAATTCCTTTTTATTGCCATTTCTCCTTGTTTTATCTGATTTTATTATTTTCTTGAATATTCCATTTATGTTTTAATAACAAATGGCCATGAAGCTCATAATTTATTCAAGAATTCTTATTAAAAAGTACAAATACTTATCAAACGTTGTGCTAGTTAAAAACAATTTTCTATCATCTTCCACATCTTTCTTTTTTTTTATCAAATTCCAAACTCTTACTAAGCATTCCATAAACCACTCGATCCGATAAAAATTTCCATATGAAAAGGTTCAGAAATTATTCACAACTCAAGTATTTGAAGTAAAGAAACTCATGAATGAAAGCTGCTGAAGTTCACATTCATTACTGACCCTAAAATAAAGCTTTGAAGTGTACAAAGAGTTTATTGCTACTCCAATTCACATCATTCATATTCGCACAGTGATATAAGATAATCCTCGTATTATTCCTAACATGTTCGGTTTCATTTCACCATGTTGAAAGAAAAATCTTTTATTTACCTGCTAAATGTAAACATGATGTCAGAAATTGTTCCGGAATAAAATGAAATATAAAGAAATTTTATTTACTTATCTAACTGTTTAAAAAGGAATGAAAACAAATAGCAAAATACAAGTTCCTTGTGTGTTAAAAATATTGAATTGAGTAAATATTGACAGAATGGCGCACCATTCAGAGAGAAAAGAGTTAGACATAAACATTATCGACTCCTTTCATCCGTAAAGTGGTAAATAGAATTATATCTTTGTCAATATGAGAAAGTATTACCGTGAAACAGGAAATGAAGAGCTTATCAATATTTCATGAGTGAACTTCTTCAACCCAGAGATAATCATAGTTGGCATAAAATAACTTATCACTTCATTAAAAATTCTCGTCTCGTCTGATGTTCAATATTCGTTATTTTCTAATTAACATAAAATAATTTATACACGTTGCTGTGACTACGAGTTGAATTAGAATCAAAATCAACTTCCAGAAGCTTTTAATTTACGTATGAACGTAACTCAGCAGTTAATTTACTCGTCGTCTGCCACCTACACAACACATCATCATAGCATGAAGATAAAAGCAAAAATCACTATAAACAGTCCCCAGTCACGAAAAGAATTAATGAATTGATGTTCTTGCTAATCATTTGACATTAATCAAAATTAAATTTCCAACGAAATATTGAAACATATTATCTAATGTAGATATTTATGTAAGCATTTACTTTTCCAAGTAACGTCAATCCATCAAAATTTAAACATTTTAAATTCACTCCAATTTTTCTTTTTATTCACAATAATTAGATATTCAAACATTTGTGCTTAAAGGAATTTATATAATCGTGTAAAATGAATTCAAATATTTCAAAGTGAATATTTAAACATAAAAAAATGTTTATTTTCATATGCATAATTTGAGTGAAAATATTATAACGCAAAAAAAAGCAAGGTGAATCACACGGGTGAAAGAAAATCGTCTCATAAAAAGTTATTTTCTTCTTTTCTCAATTTTTTTCGTTCTTAACATGTTCAATGGTTTTTATACATCATAAACAAAGTAAATAAATAAATATTTATTATGGTAAAGAAACACTTTGAAGTTCATGTAGATTCTAATCATTAAAACATTCGGCAAAAGTCGCTGATTCTTGATTCTCATAATGGTTGATGAAGAATAAGAAAACCAACGCAAATTAAATGAGAAGCATGAAAAATTCTTAAAGCTCAAGTGCTCCATGTTCTTCTTGTAAGAAGAAAGTCGACGTACATGTTAAAGAATCTTAAAGCATATTAAACAAGACTTGAGGAAGCAAAAAGCCGAAACATTCTTCATCGATGTTTATGGAAGAAATCGATGTTGCCATGATTAGCAAAAGAAAATATTTAGGCAAAAGAATAAAAAATAAAATCTGATTTCATAATTTATAAATTAATATTTAATTATGTAAACGAAAGAAAATTAATTGGTAAATGAAAGCTTTTAAATAAAATCTAGTGTTACGAAGTAAGGAACAGAAATGAAATTAGAAATAAGTAAGAAAGCCAGGAAAATATATTCACAAAACAGTTCTATGGAATGGTAAAGACACGTGTACAGAGAATTGTTGTTGCATGAACATTATTTCGCAAGAAAATAAGCAAAGCAGATAAATGAGAAAAAGCTTTCGGTTCAGTTGACAAGAAAAGGAAAGAAAAAAATTAAAGAAAAATAAAACTTTAGCGTTGGAATTATGATGACAACAAAAAAGAAGCTTGTGAACATAGGAATATGGAAATCTCATTAACTAGGAAAAATGTGAAGAGAATTTTCTTTGTATATAAATAGATTATGGCGCTTTTGACTTAAGAATTTCTTTAATTTTTAGTCTGACATTCATAAGCTTATTCGCTCGTTACATAAATATGTTGAATATCGCACATTATTAATTGGAATAAAGTTTATCTTTTAAAGTATTTAAAAACACTTATGGAAAGAAACATTAAAAGCCTGTAGCTTAGGAAAGTCACAAGAAAATTTTTGATAGATAAAAAAAATTATTTTTGCATTAGATGAAAAACCAAACTTAAAAATATCTCCAAGAAAATATCATGAAAATTTCTTTCTTCGTAGGTAGAAATTAAAAATTAAATTCTAATCCATGATGATGCATGAGCGAAGGAAATTGAAAATGGCTTTAATGATAACATGCCTGAAGATGGATAATGAAAAGATAAAGATTCCATTGAAATGATAGGATAAAAATTAAAATTACATGCTTAACATGTCTTAACATGTTCATATGACCTAACGAAGATTATGATGAAATGATAATTATGAATTTCTTATTATTAAATATAAACGAGCTAAATCATGATATTTTCAACAAAAAGAAATATTTGATGCTCTCATATAAATAGAAATGTAATTGACTTCATCTTCCTGTCATGTCATACGCTCCCACCCGGTAAATATCAACGTAAGTCGCATGCACTTTTACGTTAATAAATTGAGCTTCATTAATCATCGTTGTCTCTTGGGTGACATGAATACATAGTAACAAAAAAATGAAAGTATAAATAATGTTTGAAAAGAGAGAAAATTGATATTTAAATAGGACATAAATTATAAAATAAGTACACACAAACACACACTAAACTCGTAAAGAAAAAGGGGAAATGATCGTAAAATGAAATGAAGACGTTAAAAAGAAAACTCAACAAATAACGACAAAAGAAATTTGTTTTGGATTGTCCAAGACCGACCTTTGTTTTCGAGTTTACCGAAATGAAAATAAAAAGGTTTTTTGTTGGCGATGGTATGAGATCAAAGGCATAAGTCTCTTAGTTGATTTGTGAACAGAGGATGTCTAAGCTTAGACGTATATCGTGGGCGAGTCATGAGAACTGACGAGTGAAGGAAAAGCTAAATGGAAAAATATTCATTGTTGAATACTACTAACAACTGAAATCTTACATGGAAAATGAACTTCAATAGAAAGAAAATAAATGGAAAAAGCAAATCAAATACCCGTCGCTATGGCGCGTAAAGAGAAAATCAGAGAAGGCTTTTTCTTTTCTTATTATTTGCTTTCTCACAAACAACATCCCACCATTAAATCATGAAAGGTCGACTAATATGAAGAAAAGAAATTCTCGCCTCTTGTTATTGTTTGCAAACAAGACAAAACAACTTCGCTTACGTTTCATGCCACCGCATAAACTGCAGAAGCTAAAAAGCTTCACAATGATAAATTTCAAGCTTCTTTTCCCCTTTCTCATTATTTTGTCGTGACAAAAATTGTCCATATTTTACGTGACACACTTCAGCAAGGAAAAGTTTACGACTTATACCGAATTGAATATTACTGCAATGGGAAAGGTTTTTAGTTGAAGTCACACGTGTATCTTACCACATACAGATAAAATGTGACAACGTTTTTAATCCGATGAAATTCAAATTTGTAATTTAAATTTAAGAACCCAAGAATAGAAGATCTTTTTGATGAATTTAGAATATTAATGCATAATTTACTCTCACGCATGTTTGTGTGTTTTTTTTCCTTCTGAAGTTATCTTTGTACATATATGGCAAGAAAAAACAAACAAAAACATTAAAGCTTGAGAAGGAAAAAAATAACAGAACATAAACAATTCCAGCCCTCATATTCACCAGAAGGATTCCAATCCGGTGTTAACTTCCCCTTTTTTGTTTTACCACTCATGAAAGCAGTTTATAGTTAATTATGGTTGGGAATAGAAAGTGTAATGCTTGTGAAAATGAGTTTTCTTTTCTAGCTTATGAACTTAAAGTAACAGAACAAAACTCTCATAACAACTTGTGAAAAAATAAGAAGGAAAAACTCTGCACAGAACTATGCGAGCAAATTACGAACAAAAGATTATAATAAGATATCGTATCATGAATCATTAAAGTATGAAACTGTAAATTTTATGTTTCTCCTTGTGCTTCATCTCGCAGCTAGTAAGCTTCACTCTCAAAGGAGAATAAAAGCAAATGCGAGTGGAAAAAAGCTCGCAAAAAATATATTTAGAAGAAATAATGAAAAAATACCAGAAATTGTATCATAATAAAAATATAAAAAGAAAAACATGAAAATTATTAAACATGACAGAAAATTACAAAAGAGAAAAGTTATATAACTGCATTTTGTTTTAATTTCTTTTTACAGAAAGTCGAAAGGAATGTTGCGGATATTTACGATTTCGATTGAATTTTGAAACAAAAACGCTGGTAGCACAAAAAAGGATTTAAATAATTCATGGAAGGCTAATACGACGTAATTTTTTATCTTTTTTATTCTTTCCTAAAAGCAATTTTGTTTCGAAAAAAAAGAGGAAAGTCTTTTGCAAGAAGAACAAAGAAAGACTCGTGAGAATAAATTTCTAACTCATTTCGGGTGGAAAATTTAAACAAAAACTCACCTGAAGATTCTCAGTAAGTACACGATAGTGAATATCCATGATGGAACCTCCAACGATGACTGGAATGAGATTATCTAAATTATTTATTCTCGGAAAATTAGAATCAACGTCGCTGTCAAAAGCAGTTGGCTTCTCTCCCAAAGCGACTGCAATTTGCGCCGCAACTTTTGCATTGTTCTTTATAAGGTTGATATCTGTTCATGAGGGTGAAAAAAAGAAGAAAATTAAATGACAGAAGACTTAATGACGTGGAATGAAGACCAAATGTGAGAGATTATAATGTGAGATAAATTCCAGAACTTACTCGTTTGCAAACTTTTTCCGGCAGTTATCTCTGAAATTGCAGCAAGAATAAATGGAGTCACATCTTTCCCGTGAATTCCAACATGTTCCGCTTCTTTCAAAGCATTGGATATTGATTTCGATATAACTGACTCTGTGACAGGAAACACAATAAATTTACTAAGCATTGCAATCATTTCCGAACAATTTATTTTTAATACCGTCCATCGCGTGTTGATCCGGTACGGGAACACCGATAAGTATTCCTGACTTCAAGCCTAGTTGATGAGATCTACGAATACATTTTGCAGCGTCTTCTGCATCGACAAAATTGTAAGGCGCTTTAACGCCACTCTTTCTCGTGTAGAATGCTGGAAATTCCTTGTCAGTCACTTGATATGTTGACACAAATACTCCTTGAGTCTCCAAATATTCCATTGTTCGTGGAATGTCAAGAATCGATTTTATGCCACTTGAAATAACAGCCACAGAACTTCGTCCCATTTCAACCAGGTCAGCAGAAATATCCATCGTTGTTTCACCATTTCGATGAACGCCTCCAATACCACCAGTTGCGAATATTTTTATACCACAAAGTTCTGAACAAATAATTGTACCAGCGACGGTCGTTCCACCATTTAAATGTTGTCCCAGCACGTAAGCGAAATCTCGACGAGATGTTTTAACGGTTTTTGTATTGGGATCGGCCAACTCAGCCAATTCATTTTCTGTTAATCCAATTTTGATTCGTCCTTTCAGAATGGCAATTGTTGCGGGAAATGCGCCCTTTGGGTGAAGCAAAAGAGAAATTTACATAAAAATAATGGAAAATTTGTGCTTGTAAAGAACGAATTTCTTCTACTTTTTTCTTTTTTTTTATTAATAATAAAAGAGAAAAATATTTTCAATTTCTTTGTGTTTCAGATTACACCAAGACGAATGAAATCCTTTCATGTTGTGCGAAGATCATAAAATGAAAATTTTCTTTTTCTTTCTTTCATTTCATAAATTTCAATGATACTTTTTAAAGTTTTTCGATTTACGAGTTTATGATTAAAATTAAAATTCATTAGATATTCACGAGATGACAAAAGTTGGCAATGATGTTCGTTGTTGATGGGAATACTGCCAGTTGCAAAGTTGTTTAGAAGTTTTAGGACAACCCTTGAAGCTTCGATTTAAATTTCTTAATAATTGAAGAGAAGGTCAAATGTCTGAAGCTTTACAAAGATGTTAATGCATTTATTGTTAATTCTTTTTGTATTTTGATGGAATTATTCCATAGATTGAATTTAACACATGTTCTACATTCTCATGAAATCTTGTTAAAGTTAACATTAAAGCTTTAAATTAAATTTCACAACAAGGCAAGCTTCCATTTCTCATTTCTCTTCCACATAGAAGCTTTCAAATATATTTTTAATCAGTTTTGAAGCTATTAGTTAATAACAAAGCTCAACAGAAATGTTCAACCCTCTTAAATGCTTTCGTTCAATTACTCAAACAGATCCTATTGAAGTCAAAGTTTCCATTTAATTGCAAGCTCGAGCAACACAAACGAGTGTAGCCATTATAATGCTTCAAGATTAATAAATTATGCACTTCATCCTATTTGAAGGCAATAGAAGCTTAATTATTGGCAACAAATCGTAAATGGAAAACTTATTTAAAATTCAGATTATCAAGACTTCTCTGCATTTGTTAAAACCTTTTTTGAGTTGAAGAGTCACGATGTTAAATATCAAAACGCGACTACTTGACAGATGCTTTCGAGTTTCGTGGTTCCGACAATTACAAATATTCTTCATTATATTTCAGATTCGAAAAGTGATTGAAAATTGAATTGCATCTTGTTGAGAATGAATGAGTTCATGCATTGAAAATTCTTGTAAAATTTCAACACTTCAAGCAGAGCGAGGCAAACTTTTTGATTCGAAAGTTTCCTTCATTCGTCATAAATTGAAGACCAAATTCAAATTTTCAAACTCTGACTACATCAATAAAATAATTGCAATGAAATTCGAACAAGTTTTTTCCCATTAAACATAAATTTCATTGTGAAACAGCTTCAATCTGATTTTTTATTATTAAAAAAGTTCTTAATTAAATTTAGCTACCGTTTCACTCGAAATTCCATTGAATTCAATTTTAATAATTAAATTATAATAGGAAGAGAATTTTAATTTGAAATCCGAATCGTTTACGTGAATAACAAATAAATAAACAAATGATGACTGGTGATTTAATGAAGCCAAGCTCTATAATGGAAAGGAATAATTTGACAAACTTAATTACCTGTTCTCGAACTATCTTTTCCACACTAATAGCTGTCTCGAGGTTGTGGGGATGAGGCATACCGTGAGTGATGATAGTTGATTCCAAAGCAACAACGGGTTGTTTGGTCATTAACGCATCAAGAATCTCTGGTTTGATATCGACAAGTGAACTATGTAAGTACATAATAATATTTCAACCAAATTAAACGCTCATCAATTATTAAAATGGTAACAGTTGCAAATATTTTCTAGTTTTATTTACCTCAAACGCTTGTAGTCGCTAAAATATTTTCCTCTGCCTAAAGCTTTGATCGACATTTTTTGCAAACCTTTAAACATGTTTCAGTGTTTCACTCTTGACGTGCATATGGCAAAAAAAAAACTAACTTAAACCGCTCCAATTATCTCGTGGTCTCTAACAGATGTATTTGATTTGATTAAAAATGGAAACGCTTCCGCCGTTGCTGCAAAGTTTTACCAGTGAAACTTTTTTATTGCAGATGCAGAAAATTTTAAAGTTTTTTAACATTATTAAAGGGTTTTTTTAAATAAGGAAGAATACTTTTTGTAAGTTTAATGTTTTAATGGTTTGATGCACAACTTGAGAGAGAATTTTATGTTTCTGCGATTTTTGGCAGCGCTGCTTAAAAGCGGGCTTGCAGCTGGTCAGCTCTGGTTTGTCAAACCATATTTAATATACTACTTAACTATATGTAACAAACAAATAATAGACAAAATTAAAAAATATTTTAATCACTTCAAGGTTCTTAAAACAAAGTCGTGAAAGTTGATTACTATAAAAAGTTTGCTTTAACTTTGTTTCAACTCATTTGTAATTTCTGTTCTGAACTTTCTACTTCTACTTAAATGGGCGAGATCGTGAACAATATCGTTTTGTTAATAATTTTAACACTTGGGTCAACGAGTAAGTAAACTTTTACGAATAACCTTCAAAAAATCTTTTCAAAAATAATTTAAATTTATCTTCAACTTCTAGCATTTGCAACAAGACGTAAGTACTTCTGTTCGCTTTATAAAAATATACTTATGGAAGTATCTATTTTATCTTACAGAATGTGCAGCTGGGCCACAGTTTTGTACTAGAAATGGTATAAATTATCAACCTGGCGATAGCGTTCCAAGCCTCGATTCATGCAATACTTGTTGGTGTAATGGCAATGTATCCCCACCTGCAATCGTCTGTACCAAAATAGGTTGTCCTTCTTAAGCTCCATAAGAATTCTTTGTATAAATCATTCCCCTTAAGTTACAGTTCTTAAAGATGTAATTTGAAGTTTGAAATTTCAAATAAACATTCTGATTGGTAGTGCATTTTGCATTTATTTTCAATTTAAATAGGTTTTGAAAATTGTACCTTCTTATGCAAAATTCTTCGAAAAACATTTCTAGAATATCTGCACACACATTCACATTGAATTTTCTTGATAATTTTTTCAGAAATTTATATTATAATGTCATCATTATGTTTCTTTGATCATTATTGATAATTTTTAATTTCACATGCTTAATCCTTTAATCTAAGTTTTTCAATTTATTGATGCAAACGAATTGTTGAATTGAAATGAAGTTTGACTACCTAATACCGATAATATCGATAGCATTTTTAACAAAGAGAAACAAACTAAATTAACCATTTTATAGAACACATTGGGAATTCAGATTTTTAAAATACAATTTTCATCTTCTATTTATTCAAGGCAGGTATTTGAAGTTTTAAAAATAAAACTAGAAAATACTTTAAAAAAATAAAAAAATTAATTAAAATACTTTTTCCTTACAAAAGTTATTACAGCTTAAGCAAAAACGATTTTTAAGTCTTATGCATGCCTTATTCCAGTAAATTCTCGAATTTCCTTGATCACCAACACATGCAGTGAAACTTTTTTTATTGCTGATGCAGGAAGTTTTAAAGTATTTCAATATTATTAAAGGTCTTTTTTAAAAAATGAGGAAGAACACTATTTGTTAGTGAAGTTAGTGTTATGATGATTTGATACACAGCATGCTACATAATGTACTTAATTTTTATCTTAACAAACTCAACAATCTTTCTGATACCTTTTTACACAATTTTCATGATTCTGAGTTTATTTTAAACATCATCTTAAATCCCATCCCTTTACATTTAATGTTTTCATCATTGGAACAATAGCTTTATATCGTATCAGGGGAAGTTTCACCACCTGACTCATGAATTGATGAAAGTTTTTATGACAACATTTCATAGTTTCCACCTTAGTAACCAATGTTATTTAAACAACCTTTGAAAAGTTGTTTTTCTAGAGAGTTTTTATCTACAGAAATATTTCTAGCTTTATTTAAAGTCGAATATCAAGAAAATTTAAGCAAATTACTCCAAAGCAAAATTAATAATTGAATTTAAAGTGAAGTGAGTGATGCATTGCCGAAAAATAACAAGCTTGCCAGGATTATCACTTGAAGAACGTCAGAAACGCAATCATCATGTCCCGCAATCTTTTTTCTATCAAAATGGACATCGACAGTTTCGAGGACCTTCAGTTGGAATAGGAAAAGAACCACTTCAAGAAACTTTTAAAGATTTTTGTTCAGCAAGTGAACCAATTGAGTGAGATTGCAATAAAAAATTCTTTTCAAATAACATAAAGAAAACAAATTTCTCCTTCGTCACTATTAGATACGATCCGGCATTGATTTACGGTCAAAGAAAGAAGCAACAAGTTACACCATTCCGTCCCCATTTTGTACTCTATGATAAAAAAACGCTTAAGTTCATGGCCTTCTTTCGCCAACACGTTCCCGATTCGCGCATGGAGCATTATCGTGTTCGTCATGTCAACATATTTTACTACTTGGAAGATGACACTGTTGCGGCTTTTGAACCGCTCGTAAAGGTAAATTTATGGTTCTCTTCTGTCGTATATGAAAACAAAATAAAAATACCTAATTTTTTTAAATTGATGATCATAACAACGACAGAACTGTGGACTTTCTCAAGGTAAATTAGTACGACGTGGTAAAATAGCAAAAACATCGCAGCCCGGTTTCTTTTATACGTGGAAAGATTTTAATGTTGGAAATGATGTGGAACTAAATGGAATTATATTTCATATCGCTGATTGTGATACGTTTACAAGAGAATTTCTAACAGCAAATGGCATTGAAGTGAATGAACGAGAATGTATTCCAAAAGATCCGGTTTCAATTGAAAAGTAAATATTTAATGGATTACATGAGTGATTTTAAAATTGCTTTCATGCACGTTTAGAATGTTTAAAACATGATTGTTTATTTTGCTGTTTTTCAATCACTAGAATGGTTCAACAAGCACAGCAGGCTTTAAAACATAAAACGCCTTCAAACGATGATAAATTGAGAAGATTCTTGGAATATTCGGGAATGAATTTATGCTTCGATTGTGTTCTTGATGAGACACAACGACCTGGTGGCGAGTTGATAACATTCAAGATGTATTATTCTCTTGAAGATGACACTGTTGCTATAAGAGAACTCCCGGAAAATCAGCAAGGACGTGATGTCTCTGGGATGCTTTTAAAGAGAACAAAACTCCCTAAAGATTGGAGAAAAACTCCAATTGACTTTCCAGCAATCATTTTTAACACAACTGAAGCGGAAATTGACGAATATTATCAACCGAGAGATTTTATCATTGGCAATACAATTTTTGTATTTGGCCGGAAGTTTTTGTTGTTAGATTGTGACAAATTTACAAGAAACTATTTCGATAAAGTTCTCCGTTGTGTCCAACCTGGTAAACTTGAAATTCAAAAGCCAAAACCTTCACAAATTAAATTGGTAAGTTGTGTTGAAACGAAATGATGATTTTTACATCAATTTAAAAATAAACTTTATTTTCTTTAGAAATTGCCGGATTATTTAGGTCTTGGAACACCAGAAGATTCACTCGCTTCATGTTACAGTCTCATACCAAGAACGCCAAAAAAGGATGTGACTTCTTATCTTATTAATTCTAACAAAACGCTAAGATATGGCTGTCGTATAGAAACAGCACATCCTGAAGATAAGGACAGACGTTTTATAATGAGCTACAATTTGTCAGATGGCTCAATTAAAATCATGGAGTTTCCTTCGCTTGGAATTTCTGGTGGAAAATTTTTAACATCGCAAAAAGTGCCTCGACCTGATTCCAACCCTCATAAGCCTGATTACTACACGCCAAAAGATTTGTACATTGGAGCCATTATCAAAGTTTATGCAACACGATTTGTTATTACCAGCGCAGATTTGTTTGTCTATCGTTACATGCAGGCACACCCTGAACTGTTTTCACCAATGATAATTGATAATGTCAGAATGTATCATTTAAAAGAAGGGAATTTACGTGATGACATTCAAAAAGCTATTAAAGAAGATCATGAGAAATATATTGCAGAAGTTGAAACTAAATCTAACATTTCCGATGCCATTCATGATGCTATGACTGAAAGAGTTCCTGAACTTGTAACAGGTAAACGCATTCCAAGTCCATACATTAGTGAAGATGAAGTTAAAAAGGAGTATCATGGCAAAGAAGATAAATATAAATTGCCATGCAACATTAACATAAAAAACGAGGACACAATTCTATCCGACACTGGACGAGTCAGATTTCTTGAACCTCACGAGGAATAACATTGAACAATGAATAATTTATCGCGATTTCTCATAAAAAAATTTCAAACTGACCTGCACGCAATTTTCTGCTTGATTTAACTCACTGATTTGTGCAAAATAATTTGTAATTCACGCACAGTTTGTTGACAAAATTAATTAAAGTTTGTTGATTTGAATAGGAATGTTGTTCAATACTAGCCGGCTTTGTTTTATTCTGAGAATAATTAGAATGTTTTCAAAGAGTCGAACGCTTGAGCGAATGTTATTAAATTATTTACAAAGTAAACAAAAAACAGCTGAAAAAATAAGCTGTGGAGAAGTTGGGGTTGATTGGGTCAGTTTCGACTTTTTGTGTTTTCATTTGTGGGAATAACTTTGGAATTAATTAAGCATTTTGACAACATTAACAATGTAATAAGTGAATTACTAATTAAGATACTATTTATGTAACAATGCAATCCTTATCGATTTTTCCATGAAAATTTAAAAAAAATCAACAAGAAATTTATTATAAGTGACATCATTTATGAAATAAGTTTTAACCTGTTTACATCATCTCCGTTTTCCCTCCAATGACAGCAATATTTTCCGAAAAAAACTAAAATCGCGTAAGTTTCGCGATTTAATGTTTAACATTGCTAAATTAGTTTTTAAAACTGCTAATTATACAATGGAATACATCACGATTTGTTTCTTATCAATTGTCACGAAGTGAAAATCTGTTTTTTAAAATAGAAAAGTGTTGTGCAACTATAAAATTGGGTGTGGGTGTTTAAACAAAAACTATAAGGTGGAAGGTCAAAATCAAAACATAAACCTGTTGAATGCTGACATTATAAATTAAAGAGAAACAATGTACGAACAATACGCAAATAAAGAGTTTGAAGTTTTTGTTTCGAGCCCAGCAAGAAGTAAAAGGGTAAGTTTATCAATTTAAATGTTTTATTTAAAATAAAAGAAAGTTAAAGGAGAAAATGAATCACTAATCCTATGATAAAAAGTGTTACAAGCATGCCGGCTAGCATTACATATTTATCTTCTTTGATACGTCTCTCAATTAGTCTCATTGTATGATCAGAAAGTCCTAACGTATTTCCTACAGACATCATTTTATTCCTGGCTCCTTTTAATAATTCACGTTGATTTCTTAAACTATCAAGAATGTTGCTACCAGTCGAAAGCATCTCATCGACACCTTGATGAGCGTTGTTCATTTGTGTATGATGTTGAAGGGAATAATCAAGATCAATCGCCGTTTCTGCATTTGCTTGAAATCTTCGCGTAAGAAGTTGTTCTCGCTCAGTTTCTTCCATTTCACGTCGTTGTCTTTTTTGTTGATAGGTGTTTAATGCAGTCTAAAATAAATATTTGAGTTTACGCAATTCCATTACTTGATCATCAATTTTTTACCTGTAAATGCCTGACATCGTATTTAAGTTGATCTACTTTCATTTTGGAGTTTTGACGCATTGCAGCAGGGACTTTGAATACCAAAACGTCTAAACGATCACAGTTTCTGTAAATATAAGTTATGAGTTAAATAATTATAAATTATTCAAGAACTTCTATATCAACACAACATACGCATTCACAGTAGAAATCTTTGTTAGAATGTTGTTTTCAATGGCAATATAGTCAGCACCGGGAGTGTTCAATTGTTGGAAACAATGCTGTATTTCTAGAATTATACTATTTGTAGCATGATAAAGTGAATCCATGTTTAAATGCTTCTAATTTAATTAAAAGATTCGGCTTAAATGTTTACGTGTTCACAAAAATTTATTCGAATGCGTTTAAAAATTTCATTATTAATTTGAATTAAAAGACGTTAAAATATCTAAGAAAATATTTTACTGATAATTTAAATTTAATAACATTTGAAATGAAGAGGAAACAATTGCCTAAACAAAAATAAAATCAATTTAATAGTCGATTGATTGTATTTTCATAGGTTTTTGTTTTGGCTTGTAAAAGTTCGTTTTTTCTTCGTAAATCTAAAATATCTTCTATAAGCTGAAGTTTTGTTTTGTCTTTGAATTGAGGGTAGACTGCTCTTATAAATTTATCTTCCCGAGTTATATCTACTGATGATGTGGAAGTGCTTTGAGCTTCTTGTTCTTTGTTAGGTGTTGTTAAATCAGCTTCCAGTTTTTCATTATATGTGTGCTCGTTTCCTGATAAAAATAAGATTTCCATTTTATCCTCATTTTCGTTTTCAGTTCCCGACGTAAATCCTTCAAACAAAATTTCTTCACCTCCATCTATGCTAAACTGGCTAGTCTCAATACTCTCAATATCTTCAGATTTTACCTTTTTTGCTGAAGCTGAAGATTTTTTCTTACTTTTCTTGGGACTTTTTCCAATTCCTTCAGTTTCAAAATATTCTTTAAATCTTTTTGTGATTACTGATTTATGAACTAAATTTTTGGGCGAATCGTAAATAAATTCGTCCTTGAATCTTTTTATTTCGTCACCAGTTGTTCCTTTACAATGTCCTGATCTTATATGGGAAACAACTTTTATGGTTGACCAATATACTTTCTTGTCACCTTAGAATATAGAAATATAAACATGAAATTTTATATTCAGATAAAATGATTTCATTTGAGCTTTATTACATCGTTTGCATTCTCCGAAATTAGTCTGCTTATCTCGATTACAAAGATAGTCTGATATCTTTTGTATTAAGCTGTTTGAGCTCGACATTGTGATAACTGTTTTTCACGAAAATCGGTAATAAAAGTTACATTGACTAAAAGTTTGCGTCAGATGTTTGTTTACTTTTGGTATCGAGTACGTTTAATAATCTGAAAATTTCATTTTCGAATCTTTAAATTTAAATTTTTGTTCGTTAACATTATATCATTTTTATTATCTTTTATTTATCAAAAAATCTTCATTCAAATAGATCATGAACTGCCCTTTTATTAAACACTCTTGAAAACAAGCATCTTATCTTCGGAAGAACAATTCAATAAGCCTAAATCCCATCAGTTCGGCTCCTAATCGTATGAAGATAAAAATAAAAGTCTTGCAACATCTCAAAACAAAATATTTTTAATTGAATCGTTTTACCACTGATGGCACCTATGAAAAAAAGGGCTATTAATGATATTTCCAGGACACCCATTTTTGATTTTATTTTTTATTGTATTCAAAAATTATTCTTTATTTAATTTATTAACAACTCGAATTACTCATCGACTGATAACGCAGATGAAAAATAGAAAAAGAGAAGAAGTTCAGATAGATTTTAAATGTGTTTGTGAGATCATCAAAGATTGTATGTATAAATTCAGAGAAGAGCTTTCATTGCAACTTCCAACTTGTGATTTTTGTCTTCAAGCTTCTCAATTTTTTGAATTTTCTCTGTTAAAAGTTCACCAAGTTGAACTTTGCTTAAGCCGATGAATTCAGGATAAAGAATACAAAATAATTTATCGTCTTTTGATTCGTTCGAATCATCTTGTTTTTTGTGGGAAAATAGGAATGCTTCTGTCTGTGTTTCTCGATCTCTTTGAGGAACAAACTCCTCTTTAATACTCAAAGGATCTTGGTTATACTTTTCAATTTTCCTAGGAAACTGAAAATGGAAAAAATAAGAACGAGAAAATGAGTTTTAGGAAGGAAATGGGAAAAACAGGAAAAGTAGGAAAAATTTTAAAAATTTAAAACTTGCCTTCTTTTTTTCTGAATCAACAATATCATGTTCAACTCTCAAGTGGTAAATTAATCCTTTAGTACCAGATGAATATGACTTTATTTGGTTGCAGTTGGAAACTTCACATCTTGCTTTTCCGTTTTGATTTGTTTTCGAGAAGAATCTCCAAACAAATGATGGCATCTGATGTGGAAAAGCAAAAAAAATCAAGTCAAAATTAATTGATATAATTTATGGTACTACACTTTCAAATTTCTGCGTTTTATTAAATTATTCACAAGTTTTTTATTTGTTCCTTTTTGACATCATCTTAAACCATCTANAACTCTAATTTCTCGGAAAAAAAAATCGATTTTCTTGTATCTTTCGCGCAATTCCACGTCATCTTTACCTTAGAACTTGTTTTTTGCCCGTGTCACCAATGTTCCGGTAGTAAAACACTATAACTAACGTTATAAATCTTATATTTTATTCTGGTGCGTCCTCCCAGTCTGCCGTCTAAACGTAAACTGAACTGAACCGGTTCTAACCGGTACATACACTTTCAAATTTCTGCGTTTTATTAAATTATTCACAAGTTTTTTATTTGTTCCTTTTTGACATCATCTTAAACCATCTAGATATGACCGTCTGTCCTGAAATTTAAATATTCCTATGACCAAAATAGGAAACAGGAAAATTACCGGGAAAACAAGAAATTTCGTGATTGAAACCAAGAATAAAACGTTGTTTACAATAAAGTAGACTCATAGCAGTAATACAATTAAGGGCGAACATAAAAAATATCGAATAAATAAAGTGAGTGATCTTTTGAGCGGGTTATTTGAAAATTAAACATCAAATCTATTATGATTGATAAAAAGAAGATGAATTAAGAATTTTCGATTATTATAATAATCCTTAATAAGAATTCAAAAAATATATCTTGAAGAACAATTCAATAAGCTATCCCATCAGTTCGGTTCCTAATCATGAAAAAATAAAAATCTTGAAACATTTCAATTTGAGAATATTTTTAATTTTTCAGTTTTCTCAATTTAAAATTTCGTTTTATCACTCAAGGCGCCTATAAAATAAGGGCTTTTAATGATATTTTTTATTGTTTGCTAAGGTTATTCTTTATTTCATTTATCAACAATTTGAATTACTATTATATGTACAATAATTATACAAAGAAGTCACAAAAGTGTTCAGCGTTTTATATGATCAGTTTTTGGATTAAAGAGAAGAATTTCAGAAAGATCTTAAATGTGTTTGTTACTTCATAGAAGATTATTTGAATTCAGAGAAAAGCTTTCATTGCAGCTTCCAACTTGTGATTTTTGTCTTCAAGTTTCTCAATTTTATGAGTTTTTTCTGTTAAAAGTTCACCAAGTTGAACTTTGCTTAAGTCAACGAATTCTGGATAAAGAATACAAAATAATTTATCATCTTTTGATTGATTAGAATCATCCTGTTTTTTGTGAGGAACTACGAATGCTTCTGTCTGTGTTTCTTGATCTCTTTGAAGAACAATCTCATATTCCTCTTTAATATTTAAAGGATCTTGGTGGACATATTGAAAATCGTTGTAAAATTTACTTGCGTCTAAATCTTTTTCAGTTTTCTTTGAAGTTTTCATTGCTTCCATCATTTCCCATTCATCTAAAAGCTTTTTATGTGTTTCTACATTTTT